AAAGGACTGGATTAAATAACTATATAATGTTAGTTAATAAAGTAAATAGTTATATAATTTATTAAAGATATTTATTATAATATAGTAGGTATAATAGGAGATAATAAATCTTAAAAATTTATTATAATCTTTAACTATTTAAGCTTATAACTTAAAAGTTATAAGTTAGAATAATATTAAAAGAAAAACTAATTTTATTTTTTTATTTTTATATAGATATTAAGTATCTATTTAGGATATAAGTAGTATAGTTATAATAAGGATAAGTTTCTTATTTTTAATAGTAATTAAACTTTATTTTAACTTTTTTAATAATAGTTTTAATATAAATATTTAATTATTTTTTATTAGTAATATAGTTTTAAAGTATCCTATATAGTTTTTATATATTTAATAAATTAGATATTATAATAACTATAATTACTTAATAAGGTTCTAATTAAATTCTCTTTTAAGTAGTTATTATTATTTAATAAAGTTAAACTATTTATATATAATATTTAATACTCTAACTTTTAATATTAAAATAATAAAATAATATATAAGTATATAAAGATTAAAATATAAAGCCTTAATTCTTATTTAAGAAGGAAGGTAGCCTATTTATTAATTTAATATTTTCTTTTTTATTTAACTTTATAAAGTAATAATTTATTAATAATATAAATAAAATAAGTTACTTTATTTATTTTATATATATATTTAAAGCTTTATTTAATAATAAAAATAATAATTCTATATAACTAGTTAATAGCTTTAAGATACTTTAATAAATACTTTTATAAATACTTCTATATATTAAAGATTATAGCGCTTAATAAGATAAGTAGCCTACTTATTAAGTTCTACTTACTTCCTTAAAGAAAAAAAAGAGAACTCCTCTTCCCCTTTTAAATATTTAAATATTAAATTTAAGTAACTTTTATTTTTATTTATATTTATAACTTTTTATTATTTATATTTAATAAAAGTTTCTAACCTTTATTATTTAAAGGTAGTAAATTATTAAAATTAACAAAAGAGTTAAAAATAGTATTAACTTAATAAATTTATTATTAATACTTATAACTATATTACCCTTTTTTATTTCCCTTTATATTAAATATTTTTAATTTAAAATAGGAGGTTAAATAAATTAGATAAACTATAATACATTATAAAAGGAATAGATTTTATTTTAATTATTATATATATAGTTTATATAAATACTTTTATTATTAAAAGATAGTTTTTAATAATTAAAGTCTTTATATAACTTTATTAAAGATTATATTAGAATTAATATTTATTATATATTAGGTTAAATATATTATTAGTAATTTAAGTAAGGGTTATAATTAGATTTTTATTAATAAGTAATATATTAAAGGTATTATTTAATATAAAAGTTATACTCTTTATATAGTAATAGTTATTATTAATAAGTATATTAATTATTAGTAGATCTAATAGTTTCTTAACTTATTAATTATTTAACTTTATTATAAAGTCATATTTTTAATAATAAAAATATATATTTTAATATAATCTTATATAAATATTATAAACTAAATTAATAAAGGTTAATAAAAATAAGAAGATTAATATAATATATATTTTTAATTTAATTAATAAACTTTTATTAGGAATAAATAAGGAGTTTATTAATTAATTTTAATATTATATATTATAAAAGAGTTATATATTAAAACTATTATTATTTACTTTATTATTTCCTTTATTATTATTCTTTTATAACTTTAAAGTTATTAGATATTATTTAAAAATATTAGTTTTAAGTTTATAAAATAAAATATAAAAGGAAATACTATATAGATATATTAGTATTATTATAGTTATTATTATTATTATTATTATTATTATTATTACTATTATTATTATTAGTAATTATTTTAAAAATATTATACTTATAAGTAGTACTTTTAATATTTTAGGTGTAGTATTAGGTAGTATAAACTTCTTATTATATTAAAGTAGGGAGTTTATATTATTTAGAGTAAGACTTTTAATTAAATTAATAATTAAGTTTTATTTAAATATTATTTATTTATTTATATTAACTACTTATTAGGACTATTTTTAGCTAGTTTCTTTATTATATAATACTTCTTTAACCTACCCTTTTTAATTTATTCTTTTAAATAATATTAGCCTTTTTTAAACTATTAGTATTTAATTTTATAATAAACTAAATAGTTTATTACTTTTTTATTAAGGAATTTCTACTCTTTAAAGTTTAAACTCTTTTTATAAACTATTTAAAGTTATTTATATTTAGTATAATCTATTTAAACTATTCTTTTTATTTTTAATCTTATAATATAAGTAATTAATTATATATTAAATTTTATTTTTATAAATATTCTATTAGTAAGTATAAAGTAATAAATTAATATTAATATAGAATATTAGGTTTTTAATATATTATATTAAAAGTAACTTAAGGTAATACTATTTAAAGTATTTATATATAGCTTTTATTATTAAAGATATATAAAGATTAAATAATAGTATTTTAAGTATTATATTATTATTTTAATATATTTTATTATTATAATAAAATTTTAAGTTTATAAGTCTTTTATATTTAAGATTTATATTACTAGGTTTTAAAATAATTTATAATATAAACTTAAAAGTATTTAATATTTAAAAATACTTTATACTTTAAGTCTAACTTTTTTACTTATTAGTTTTAAATAGTAATTACTTTTAAATTAAATATTCTATATATCTTATAATAGTATAACTTTATTTTATTTATTCTTTATTTAATTTAAAATATTTATAACTTTTAAATATATTATTAATTTTAAAGTTATATTAACATTAATTTTTATATTATTTATTTTATAGCTTACCTATTTAATAATTATACTATTTTTAAAAATATTATTTTATAAAGATAGTTAGATTATATAAATTAATAAATACTTAACCTTTAAATAGGCTTTAAAAGTAGAAGTTCTATTAATAATTAAGGCTATATTCTATTTATACTTAAATAGTTAAACTAATAATAAAAATAAAGATTATAAACTATTTTTATTTAAATATCTTCCTTATATTATATTTATTATATTATTATAAATTTAAAATATTAGAATCTTATAATAAATTAAATTATATAATAATTCTAATATTATTAATATTAAGTTTAATATTAAATAATATAGTTAATAATATAATATAGTATTTAAAATATAACTTTTATACTCTTTAAATATTAAATTTTAGTTTAACTTTTAAATATTTATATTAAACTACTTTATAAAGTTTATAACTTATTTATTTTAAAAGCTATATTTTCTTTAAGGTATTTAATTAGAAAAGTTTAAGCTTAAAGGAGTAAATTCTTATTATTAATATAAATAAAAACCTTAATTATAGTTATAGAATTAATAGGATTTATATTATTAAATAAGAAATATAAATATATAAAGTTAAATAAATATTTATAAAAGAAAGGTTATATAATAATTAATAATTTAAATTAATTAATTAAAATATAGATTATTTTAATATTATTAATATTTAACTCTATATATTTAAATATATAGTTTTAATTAATTTAATTAAATATAATTATATATATAAATAAAGGTATTAATTATAATATTAATAGTTTAATTTAATAAATAAAGGAAAAATAAGTTAAAACTTTTTCTTTATATAATAATTATATAGATTTTATTAATAATTATAATATTAATTATATTATTAAATAATAAATTATAATAAAGCTTTATAAAGTAAGTATTTAATATTTATTTAGAATTTATTATAATATAAATATAATATTTATAGTTAATTTTTTATATAGTTAAATTTTATTTAAATATAAATAATATTTAAAATAGTAAACTTTTTATTAATAATAGGTAGAGTTTATAGTATAAAGAATAATTATATATATTTTTAAATATAAATCTATATTAATTTAAATAGAGTATAAACTAACTATATTAAATATAATATTCTTAATCTATTCTTTTAAGTTTAATAAGGTATAAAATAAATTATAATTTTATTTTATAATCTTATAAATATATATTAAGGTATACTTTTATTATATTTAATAATAATAATTAATATTATATTTTACCTTTAATAATATAATTATAACTTTAATTTAATTATATTAAGTTAAAAATAATTAATTATATTTTTAATTATAATTATAATCTTATTAAATATAATTTTATTAAAACTTCTTTAAAAATCTATAAAATAAAACTTTAATTATAAACTTATATTATTTAATAATTATATATTTTATAATAAAAATAGTTAATTAATATATTTTATTATTTATTTTTAATAATTTAAAATTATAAAAGATTTTATAAATAATATTATATAGTTTTTAACTATAAATAATTAATAATATATTAATTATTTCTCTATTTAAATTTTAAATAAATATATTTAAAATTATAATTATTATTTTAATTTATTTAAAAATAATATTTAAGAAACCTTATTTAAAATTATAACTTAAATAATTAATTTAAAAACTTAAATATATTAATAGTAATATAATTAAAAATAACTTTTAAGTATAAATTTATTTTCTATATAAATTTATCCCTTTATTCTAAATTTTCTATATTTTAGTTTTAAATATTCTTTACTTATATTTAAATATTATTTAATAATTAATTTAGTTATAAAATTATTATAAAATATAAAGTCCTTACTTAAAATAGATAAAAAGTTTATATTAAGTTATATATATCTTTACCTTAATGTTAGGGTATTTAATAGTATAGTTAATTTATATATATAGACTCTTTATTTAGAATAGATAAGGAGTCTATATTTGTATATTATATAAGTAACGGCTAGGCTATAGGTCTAGCTAAGGGTATCTAAACATTTGAGATAAGATTGTATACACTACGCAGCCTCCGTGCCACACTGCTCTCTTGGCACACGGTAGCGCGGATTTAGAATTGAAAACAACTCAAACACACCGTTACATATTGCCCCACCTTACCATGCACATGTTGGTCGGCGCAGAGGTGCCATTGCAACCAACAGCAAACGCTGAGCCGGTTTCCGCCATCCTCACCATCCCGCAGGTCGAGATTGCTGCTCGCGCTCTGTTCCAAGGTTCATCAGCTGTCCAGTGTTCTCATTATCACTCTGCGTTTAACATTCTCAGATGATCTCCGAGTTGTGGCTCTACAAATAAGCTCGATCATTGCTCTGTACAACATGTCGGACTCCCAGATTTTCACTGCTTTGGCTGGAGCTATCGCCGAGTCAGCCATCTTACGCCCCGGCAACGCTGAATTTGAGAAAGACAATGGTTCCTACTTCAGTGCCTTCGAAAATGAGATCACGCCGTCCTTCATCGCCAAACCAACCACCGTTCAGCAGGTCCAGGAGTTGGTTCGTAAACTCCGTCCATACCTTCTCAATGGAACCTGTCAGATGGCCATTCGTGGCTCGGGCCACACGCCGTTTGCTGGCAGTGCCAACATTCAGAGTGGGGTTACCATCGATATGAGAGGCCTCAAAGGTATCAACCTCAATGTCGCAGATGATGCTGTCGAGGTAGCTGCCGGAGAGACGTGGGAGACTGTGTATACCGAACTAGAAAAGCACGGGTTGACTACGGCGGGCGGTCGTGTGGGGCGTGTTGGTGTCATAGGACTACTTCTTGGCGGTAAGCATTTACAAAATGATAATGTATGTCAGATGTTGAAGCTAACCGAATACAGGTGGCCTCTCCATGTTCTCTGGAAGAACTGGCTTCGCTTGTGATTCTGTGTTGGAGTTCGAGACTGTGCTTGCATCTGGCGAAGTCGTCCGGGCGAGTGCGAATTCCAACACGGATCTCTGGCTAGCCCTTCGGGGTGGTCTAAACAACTTTGGCATTATCACATCTCTCAAACTGCGTACCTTCAAGGATAGCAGTATTTGGGGTGGTGTTATGTACTATATGCCCGAAACATTTCCCCAGCTTGTCCGCCGTGCTTGCGAATTTGCCTCGGATGAGGACCAAGATGCGCACATTATGGCTAGTGCAGGTTATGGGTTCGGTCACCAGGCGGTTACCTGTGTGATGTACCACGTAGGAGGTATAGAGAATCCTCCTTCCCTTCAGCGGTTTACTTCAATGGAACCACAAATTCAGCAGATGAGTACAATACGTACATCAACGCATCTTGGCTTCTGTAATGAGCTGTCAAAGTTTTCTAGTGACGGGCTCAGGTTCGTACCCCCGCCCCTTTTGAAAGTTCCAGACAGACATGACTAACACTACTTTAGGCAGTATTGGGCTTCTATTACAATCAAGCCTGATATCCCCCTAATGGAGGAATTCTACCAGAAATGGCAAGAAACTCTAAATAAGGTCAAGGATTCAGAGGGGTTCATCTTCTCCTTTGGATTTCATCCTATTACTAAGGCTCTTCTAGAGCATTCACAGAAGGCTGGAGGAAACATGATGAACATCCCCCCATCTGATGGGCCTCTGTTTGTCGTCCTTATAAATCCTGTCTGGAAGCTAGCTAAGGACGATGCCCATATCTTCGCAGAAGTCGATAGTCTTGTAACAGGGCTGAGGAACCTTGCTCGTGAGAAGGGCCTACTGCATCGTTATATATTCACGAATTACGGCTTTTCAAAGGATGATGTGATGGCAGGGTATGGGGAAGAAAGTGTTTCCAGACTCAGGGCTGCAAGTCAGAAGTATGATCCTGAAGGCATTTTCCAAACCGCTGTTCCAGGTGGTTTTAAGCTCAGGGCTTGATCATTTCCGGAGAAGAAACAGCGGCAGAAGAACCGGATAATCGAGGATTTAGCGACCAGAAAGCTGTATTTAGAGCTAGTGAGGTGCATGTCATGAATTTATTTGTATTTCACTCGGTTTGAAATAAAATCTTTTTTGTTCCTTCAGTCAAAACTGGATGCGATGCTTTTCGACATATGTGGTTGTGTTCTTTCTGAGCGCTGGGTCTTGAGCGCTCACCACTGTATGAAGGGATGTCGGGGGCTCCCAACAGCCGCCACGGTGATAAGAAATGTGCACAGTACGTCCACTTAAACCTCAATCTTAACACCACCCATCACGCTGCAAAACAGGATATCGCGAGCCAGTCGACCCTTGCAATGATTAAAGGACCCTCTCGCAATCAAGTGAGTTGCAGATCCTCCAAACCCCTTGATAGGACACTTGGGGCCAGGCGCCCCCATGGATAAGCGCCAACTACGCCCAGACAACCTCGTTCGGCTCAAGAGAGACCTCATTTCTGAACTTGAATGCGGCGAAGTGCAGGAGCATTGGCGCTAGCTGAGCCCGACTGCATCCAACTGGCATATCATGGATTGAGTAGGCGAGGCTGAGGCCGACCAACGCAGCTTGGCTGAAGCTACACAGGAGTCCGAGTCCCCGGTCTCCACTCGGATGCGCCACAGGGAGATCCCGACTGGACACGCTGGGGTGCCTGGGACGTCTTGGCTGAGTGTGTGTTGGTCGTTATTAGCATGGGAAAGGTTGGCGGTCAGATCCTGCCGAGTTCCCGAGCGATGCAAACACTTTCCTGCCGTGTACGGATTGGTTGCGGATCCGGGCCGACACATCTGCTTGTTGCCCCTAATTTCGGTGAGGTCTCAGAGAAGTGGATCATGGTTCAAAGAAAGAGAAGTGAGGAAGGAATGAGAATCTAATGGCGGAATCTGGCCCGCGGCTCATGATGCACCGTAACAATAGAATGTGTTGCAGGAGTTGACTTAACCTGGCAAACTGAATTCTTTGTGTTTTGACGATGAACATCTGCCTGTGTTGTTCCTAGTCCTTCTCAATCACGAATTTGATGAACTACAGACGGAATTTTGACTCCCCTTTCCAATAGGTTACGCTGCAATGCCTTTTTTAAAAAAAATTTGAACTGACTACTGTATATTACAATTTCTACTTGCAAACATTATGGACATTATGCCATCACTCAATTTCACGCTAGGGCTCACTTGCTAGATTTTCCTTGAGCCAGAACATCGAGACCAGTCTTCATTTGAACACCATTGTCCTAATATACGGTCAGTAGCCGTCTCTGCAGTAGTGTAGTAGTAGGGAATGGCGGAAGATGGAGGGAGCAGGTATCATTACCATTAGCCATGTTGGCAGCCAAGAGAGGCAAAACTTGACGACTCCCGCACTCGCTCCGTACCAGAACTTGCCCGTGCGGTTCGCTGTGATCTCTGATACCACCCGCTTAGCATAGACTTCGGGTTCCATTCTAGGTGCTCCCTCTTGGCCGCGAGCTCGATCCCGAATAGTCTCCTCCACAGGCTTGTAAAGAGAGTCGACAGGCAACTTCCAGCTATCAAAATGGGTCTGGCCCATGGTTTTGAGAGCCCCGGACACCACTGAGAGAACCTTTACACCAAAGGGCGCAAGTTCAAGTCTCAAAGTCTCGGCCATAATCTCTTCGGACATTTTGGAGGCAGCATATGTGCCTAAAATCAAAGTTAACCATAGTACTTAAAACGTCAGCAGTTCCGAGACCACCATACCTTGGTAGGGCGTATTTAAGTGCCCAGCGAGAGATGTGATGAAGACAACAGATCCCTTGGCCTGAATCAACAGAGGCGCAAAGGCCTGAGTGACAGCCAACGGACCCCAGACGTTAGTGTCATGGATCTTCTTCGCATCCTCAATCTTTTCGTCAAGCAGCGGCATGAAGTGGTTGATGGCGGCGCAATTGATGAGATATGACAGAGACCCTCCTGTTTCCTCACTGACTGCAGTCTTTGCAGCTTGTATGTCCGTCCCACTAGTGATATCAAGCTGAAGCACGTGGATCCCAGCTAGACCTGAGACTTTTGACATGGATTTCAAGCTGCGAGAGGTCGCGAAGACACGATACCCTCGCTCCTGGAAGGTGGCTGCCAACGCCGCACCAAGACCCCCATCGCTGCAGCCCGTTATCAACACTGACTCCTGGGAAGACATCGTGAAATTGATAGAGAGAGAAGATGGCCCAGAATGAAAAAAAGAAGGTCAAAAGAAATGTAAGTCAACACAGGGTCCGCCGATGGCAATGATTGCGAAACAAGACAAGCTGAGTACTGTCGGAAGCCGGAGCATGCGGCGGGGGAAGCAGTATCGAGGGAGCCAACGTCCATTCTAGCCAGCCAGTCAGACGCACCCAGGCTTGGCTGCACCGATACTACACAGTACCGTGTACTGTGGCAACAATGTAGGGCCTAGCAACCAACAAACCACTCCCGAGGCAGCATTTGCTATGGGGCCACAGGAACCAACAACTCAGGGTAGCATTTACGGTCGAAGGCCCATGCTGAATACCTTGTTGTTCTTAATGACTAATTGATATCCAGAGACCAGGACACAAATAGTCGTGATAGGAAAAGCGCGAATGTGGGCATGGGGCGCGCGCGTGTGCACCACTCTCTGATCTTGGTTTCGAGGCTCTGCGCTGTGATCGGCGCCCATCAAATTAACAGTCCCATCCATTTTCACGGAGATATAAATTATAATTTTTTATATTCAGTTTAAGAAGAGCCAGCGTCCACCTACCCAGCTTTTATAGCTATCTACCTAGTGATTTCTATAGACCTACTTAGTACCAACTTTTTATATAGAGGGCCTATATAAAACTATATACCTAACTAGGATTCTCTAAATTTTTAATACTTAAGGTATAAACCCCTTTTAAACCCCTTTTAGTACACCTTTATATATCTTTTAATACACCTTTTAATATGTTTTTTAGGCCTTTTAGACTATATATATTTAGGTATTAATTAAGTATTTAGATACTAATTAAATATTAGGAGGCTAAAGGTTAAAAAGGTAAAGGTAAAGATTATACTCTTTCTAGCCTTTTAGTACCCCTTCTAACTCTTTAATACTCTAGACTTCTAGCTTTTTAATATTTAATTAGTATCTAAATATTTAGTTAATACTTAAATATATATAGTTTAAAAGATATACTAAAAGGTATATTAAAAGGTATATTAAAAGGTATATTAAAGGGGTGCTAAAGGGGCTTATATTTAAAGTATTAAAAATTAGAGAAGGAAATTATACTATAGGGTTTTTTAATACTAACTTAAAAAGTATTTATAAATATAAGGGAGTTATTAAGAAAAATAGATATTAAGTAGGTTTAAGTAAATTATTAAGTAGGTAGTTATAGAAGCTAGGTAGGTGGATACTAGCTTTTTAAGAAGCCTATAATTTAATAGTATTCTATTAATATAATATTTTTAAATAAAACTTTAAGTTATTTATATTTTTCTATAATATTAATATTTATTATATCCTATTTTTATTATTTTAATATAAATATATTATTAAAGTTTTAATTAAGATTATATAATATAATTAATATAAAATCTAGTTTATAAGTATGTGTGTTTGGGTGCCTGGGGGCCCTAACTACCTAGGTACCTAGGTAGGTAGCTTCCTACTTAGTCATCCAGTGGCTAGTTGCCCAACCCACTTTAGGACCTTAGCCTTCCTGTCGCAATCCCCTCAAACCTTGTAACCGCGAGAGAGGAGCCTCGGCAGGCTCTACCCGTTTGCGCCTATACCCATGGCCGTCCGATAACATGCGACCCGCGAAAGCTTGCCACCGATGCCGGGAAAGTAAACGGAAGTGCACTCGTCTGAGGGGCCAAGTGGGAGAGGCCTGCGATCAGTGCCAGGCCAAGAACCTGAAGTGCACGAGCTCCTTCACTGCTGCTCCGGCCCGTCCATTTCCGCTGCTGCCGAGGAGTGAGAGTCCCGGGGAGGCGATTCTTCCCGTGTACACCGCAACGGGTGTGGCTCTCAACGTCGCCATCCGACTTGTGGACTTTTACCTTTCTAAGCTGCACAACCGGCCCCACAGCTTGTTCCATCCGGCCACATTACGAAGCCAGGTGCAGGATGGCTCCATCAACAAGGCATTACTTCTGGCCATCTGTAGCCTGGCCGCGAGGTTCGACGAAGATGATCAGATACGCGCTGCAGAGAATGACTATATGGGAGAATCCAAGCAGCTGCTCCTTGCGGATCTGGAGAACATCTGCATTGAGAATGTCCAAACATGCATACTGCTTGGCAATCTCTACGCTGCCCACCTAAACCCATCATCAGAGGCCTTGTTCTTTCGTAAGAGTCATCACTCAATTAAAGCTGTTGCAACTGAAGCACCCACTTACAGCGTCTAGGAATTGCGGTCAATGTGTTACAAATCATGGAAGCAGGCACTTGTCCAGCAGCGACGACATTGGTGGACTGCGAAATCAGACGTCGAGCATGGTGGACCCTATACATGGCTGACCGTTGGTCGTCTTCCAGCCTCGGACTGCCCCACCAAATTCGCGATACTGACTTGGCTGTGGATCTCCCCATGGATGAAAGTGTATTCGAGTCCTTGACAGCAGATGAAACAAGACTCAAAGACCCGTGGCAACCTGGTCTATGGGCACACAAGATCTCCTTGGTCCGGCTGTTCGGCCCCATACAAGAGTTAAACCACCGCAGTGTATATGGCAATGTCGGCACCGAGGAGCTCGAGTCGACAGTGGCTTCTCTTTCAACGCTACTAGACGGTTGGGACTCGGCCATTCCCTACGAAGTCAAGATGAACCCAGAGAATCTCCATCGTCACATCCAGGCGGGTCACGGAGGAGCATTCGTCGCACTTCACCTTGGTTATCACCACTATGCAACATTGCTCTACTTCCGGTTCTTGGAACCCGCGGCAGCACAATCGCCATTCACTGAAATTTACCGCGCCAAGTGCAAGTCACATGCCTCGTCATACAGTGAGCTCCTCAAGCTTGCTCGGGGAAAGGAGAACTGCGAGGTTCTTTACCCCACTGTTGGCCATATGGCCGTTGTCTCGTCGGCGGTGTTGCTCCACACCTTATTGTTTAGCGAAAACGAAGACCTTCAAAATTCTCGCGACGCGCTGAATGCGAACTTCGAGGCTATCCTAGAGCTTAGGCGATATTGGCCGAATACTGCACCAATGGTAAGTTTGCCAATGTGAGACACGTGTTCTTATTGAGGCATTCTAACCTCTATTAGATCCAACGACTCGTCACATTCCAGAACTTCTGTCTCCTGTCCAGTGATTACAGAACGCACAAGCTCGACGGCTGGATGCTGCGGTTCCTCATCGAGTACTCCTTGCCATTAGGAGATAAGGACTTAGCACCAGTGACATCAGGCATGGATCTTGACATGGACAGTTTCTCGGCCCGGACCCAAGCGGTGGCTGAGCAGGGTAGATACACTACATTCGAGACTAATGATGGCATCTAGCAACAGGTCTAATCAGAGATCGAGTAGAACGTCACCTCGGCAATCATAGTCCTTGCTGGAACAGTGACCGAGATGGGAAACCCGCCATAGTCAGGGTCCTCGTTGGGCATCATGGCAAACTCTCCACTCCGCGTCTCGTCTCCATTCAGAACACGGACTGTTCTCAGACGGCCCGTCTCCTCATCGTCAACGGCTTTCTCCTCAAACTTCAGGATTCCAGTGAAAGTACTATCCGTAGACACTGCCTTCGCACTGACCTGGAAGCCCCAGCCGATCAGTAGGAACTTGCCGTTACCGCGGTCGATTACCATGCCAGTACCAGGCCCCGGCTTTCCGAACACGAAGCATCGATCGATCGTGAGCTCGAAATCGCCCCAGACCTTCTTGACAGGGTCAGACGATCTGCCGGACACGCCGTCCGGTAACTCGTCAAAGCAGAACCCGATAGACGAATCCGGGTGACGCTGAGCCTCGAGCACGATCGCAGAGACAGACTTGAGCAGTCCATAGTGCTTTGTCAGGGGGCTATCCGCGGGGTCCACCGTGTCCACACCGAATGGTGCGACTCCCATTGCTGCATAAGATCCGTAGGCGATCCAGATTCGACGTGCGCCGTACTCGTCCCGTCGCTGTTCCGGGATGAACAGCGGCTGATTCCGATGCCTGTACTTAGCACAAGACCTGTCGTAGTTGTTCAGATAAACGTCGGGCCCTATGAAATCCAGGCTTGGTGCAAACCGCATCCACACGTCCATCACATTGCTCACAGCGCCCCCGGAAGGATAGTCGCCCGGCATGCCGCCTCCGCCAACGACAACTGGGAAGTCATTATCCGAGTCTTCTCCGGAGTAGTTCATCCATAGGTTGGTGTAGTGAGGAATGGGATATTGTTCCTTTCCAGCCGCGGCAACTTCGTTGATGTAGAGTGCGTAGTGATATGCCATGAATAGCTCGTCGGTCCGGGGGCTCGATCCAAAGACCGTCTCCCAATCTCCCCCATCCGCTATCGAATCACCAGACCGGGGCTTGAATCGGGTCAGATTATGCTCCTTTATGTCCGGGTGCAGGTTCTCCCAGTCCGAAGCAAGGAAGTTCACTAGGTCCTTTGGTACGGGCTCATGAAAGGCTTTCTCGGCCAAGTTGGACCCATCTCTAGAGTCTCCAAGCAGACCACTCTCATTCTCGACCTGGACCATGATGACCGTGGAGTGCGACTCGTCGAATTCCCGGAGGTGCTTCATGAGAGCCCCAAAGGCCTTTGCGTCGGCTTTGCGGCCCTCTTCGTTGAATAGGGATAGGACGTTGGCCGTCTCGAGCCGGCCACCAGCCTTCCGAAGCTTGACTCGCGGGAAGCGCTTTGGGTCTTGTTTGACCCATGGAGGCGCGTACGTTGAAAGCCCTGTCCGATTGTCAACGATTCCGTTCTTTGGTGTACCGCAGACGACACGACCAAACTTACCGTTCTTGAATGAGCCAAACCACAGCAGCACCAGATGCATGGAGTGCTTGCGTGCGGCCAGAATGACATTGTCGAGGATGGAAAAGTCGAAGGCACCTTCCTCGGGCTCGATCATCTCCCAAGTCACACAGCCCAGCAAGGTGTTGATGTTGGTATCTTTCATCTTCTGCCAGACGGGCTCCATGTACTCGACGGACGTCAAGGAGGAATTTTGGAGCTCGCCGCCTCGTATGAGGAACGGCTTCCCATTGACGATGAGCTGTGAGGAGTGTCCATTCTCAGCCAGATGAGGTATGTCGACGTTCAAGTGTCCCATGTTGGAGGCTTTTTGTGATACCACATCAATGGATGTCGGCGTACTCATAAGATAAATAAGAGTAGCAGTTGTTGAGGTTTTACAGATGTGAAGAGATTCGAGGTTATAAGAGATCGTTGGGTAGAACGCGAAGACGAGCCCAGCTCGGGGAAGACCCAGCGAGTCCTACAGGTGGAATTGAGACGCCATGATTGGCTCATACCCCGACTATGGCTCCTTGGGGATTGAATTATCTCCGCTCAGACAATGCGGGACAGCAAGCTTCTGAGAGGCCCAAACGCCGGTACCGGATGTGACATAGAGTATCCAACCTGTCGCTTATCCATATGCACGTCGAATTGATAGGTTCTGAGAAGATTTTAAAGTTACCTAGGTATTCACCAGAGGTACTGTAGTTGCAGATACGAGATCCATTCACGGGGTGGCTGCGGTTACTTGAGTCCCATGCTTTAGATTTGGAAAGCCGCTAGGCTCATCCAGATTAGCGCCGAGCTGCTGTCTGTGTCAAGCGAAGTGATGCCCCTCCCCCCGGTTTAATTCGTGGTGCACATGCCGCCGTTTTTTACAGCAATCACTGCTGTTTTCCTCCCGAGGTGTTTCTAGCGATGTAGTTAAAGGGACTCTAATTAAACTAGTATATTTAGTATTTACACAATCCCTCTATTATATAGTAATATATTTTTATTATAATAAAGTATTAACTATTAAGGCTATAAGTTAATTATCTATAAGATTAATTAATAAGTTTATATACTATTATTAAATATAAAGACTAAAGTTTATTATAAAAGTATAATAAATAATTAATTTATAGTAAATTTATTATTAAATAATAGTTTATAATAAATTTATAATAAATTTATAAATTATTATAATAAATATTTAAAGTATTTACTTTTAATATAATAAAATTAACTTTTATAATATAAAAGTTTATAAAATAAAATAATAAAATAATATTATTAAAAATTATAATTTTATTATAAAATTATTTATAATATAATATTAAATTTAATAATTAAAAGTTTTATTATTTTAAATTAATTAATATAATTAATAAAATTAATAAAAAATTTAAAATATAATATTTATAAAAATAAAATAAAATAATTAAAATAATAAGTTCTTTTAAATTAAAACTTATAAATTTAAAAATTATATTAATTATTAAATAATTTTTTAAAATTATAAAAACTTAATTTTTAATTATAAAAGTATATAAAAATTATTATAATTATAAAAATATTATTTTTAAATTATTAATAAATTTAATAATAATATTAAAAAGTTAAGATTATTTAAAAGAATAATAAAGTTAATAATAAATATTTAATTTTATTAATATTAATTTTAAATTTTATAATTTAAATTTATAAAAATATAAATATTTTAAATTAAAAATATAAAGAAAAATAAATTATAATTTAAAAGTTTAAGAAATAAATAATATAAATTATTAATTTAATATATAAATTAATATATTATATTTTAAAAACCTTTTAAAATTAATATAAAAATTATAATAAAAATATAGATAATTATAATTAAATAATATATTAAAAATAAAAATATATATAAAATTATTTTTAAATTATTATAAAGTTTAAAAATATTATATTTTAAATAAATTAATAAAAATTATTATAATAAAAACTATTTAATAAAGGATTATAAAGGTAAAATAATTTATTATTTAAGTTTATAATTTATTATAAACTTTATAAAAATATTATTAATATAAATAATTATATTTAAATAAATATAAAAGTAAAAATTATAAATAAAAGTTTTATATATTATAATATTAAAAACTTTTAAAAAAGTTATAAGTTTTAAATATATAAAATAAATTTATAAAAATTATAAAAAAGTATAAATAATTATTTATAATAACTTAAAAATTATAATAATAAAAGATATTTATATTATTAAAAGAATTTTAATTAATAAAATATAAATAAACTATATAAATTCTATATAAATTAAAAATATAATTAATTTAGAATAAAAAAGTTTTATTAATTTATAAAAATATATATTAAAAATTATATCTTTATAAATTATTATTATATTTTTAAAAAAGTTTTTAAAGTTTTAAAAGAAATAAAACTATTAAAAAAGGTATATAAAGTTTTAAAGATAATATAAATTTATAAATAAAAGTTTAAATTATAAAAGGTTTAAAGTTAAAATTTAAATTAAAAATATTGTAATTTTTAAAAATAAATTAATTAAAAGATTAAAAATAATTTTTAAAATATTATATAATTAATATAAAAAATAAAAAGTTTTTATTATAAATATAAAAATACTTTTAAAATATTTAATTATATTAAATTTAATAAATATAATATTAATTATAAATAATTATAAAAAACTATTTAATTTAAAATTAATTATATATAATAATTATTTATAAATAGATAATTAATAATCTTTTATTATAATATATAATATAATATTAATTTATATTAAAAGTTTATTTTATAAATAGAAAATATTAATTTATATTTAAAATTTTAATTATATTAATATTTTAAAATAATTTTAAAAGAAAATATTTTAAAATAATAAAATAAATTTAATTATATTAAAAATAAATAAAATAATTTTTATAAACTTATAAATATTTATAAATAATATATTATTAAATATTTAAATTATAAATTAAAAATTATATTTAATATTTTAAAAAAATATATAATATTTATTAAAAGATTATTAATAAATAAAACTTTTTTATAATATAAATAATTTAAGTATTTTAAACTTAAAGTATTAAAATATTTAATAAATATTTTTAAAAATATAAATTTATAAATTAATAATAATTAAATATAAAGTATATACTTTAATTAAAATTATAAAATAAATTTATTATTTATTAAAAAGATTTTAAATAAAAATAAAAATAATATTAAATTTTTATAACTATAAATTAAAATTTATAATTATAATTTATAATTATTATTTATATATAAAGTTTTAAATATATATAAAATTATTATATAATAAATTAAAATAATAAAATAATATTTAAAATATTTAAAATTTTTTAAAATAATAAAACTTTAATATAATATAAAAGTTAAAATTATTAAGTATAATAATAAAATATTTAATTAAAAATAAAATGATAAAAATTATTTTAAATTTAAATATATTAAAATTAAGTTTTTATATTTAATATATAAATATAGAATAATAAAGTAAAGTATTTAAAAATATAATTAAAGAAAAATATAAACTTTATAAATAAGTTTAAAATTTTTAACTTTTCTTTAATTAAAAATTAAAAATAATTATTTATTTTAATAATTTAATATTATTTTATAATTTAAATTAATAGATATTATATTATTAATTTTTTATTATTATTAAAAGTAAGAAATTTTAAAGTTAAATTTAAAATTTAATTAAATTTATTTAAAAATATTTAATTATAAAGTTTATATAATAATTATAAATATTTAACTTAAAAGAAAGAATATTAATATTTAAAATTATAAGCTTAAATTAATTATTTTATAAAATATTAATTATTAAATATTTATTAAATATAAATTTCTTTTAATAAAAAATAGTAAATATATAAAATATAATTTTTATAAATATTAAATATTTAATAATAATTAAAAAGTTTTATTAATAAACTTTTATTATAAATATTGAATAATTAATAAAATAAATAAAAAAATATATTTTAAATAATAATAAAATATTAAAATTAAAAGGATTTTTTAAGATTAAAAATTTAAAAACTTAATAAAGAAATTTAAAAAAGAATATAAAGAAAATAGAAAATATATAACTTAAAATAAATTAATAAAATAAATTTTATATAAATATTAAATTTATATTATTTTATATATTACTTTAATTATTATTATTAATACTTTTAATATATATTATATAAATATAATTAAATAAAAAAGTTTTATTAATTATTAAACTTTTAATAAATTTATTATAATAAATTATATTTATAATTAAAATAAAATAATATTTTAATAAAATTTAAATTAAGAAATATTTATATTAAAAATAAAAATATTAAAAGATAATTCTTAAAGTTATTAAAATAATATAAAATTTAATAAACTATTTATTTTATAGTTTATTTAAATAAATTAAAATTAATTATTTATAAAATTATATTAAAATAAAATTTAAATTAAACTTTAAAAGAATATTTATATAATAAAAATAAATTTTAAATTATATATTAATATATATTTATAAATTTAATAAATATAATATTTTAAAAATATAAAATATAATTTATTATTAAAAGAATTAATAAATATAAAAATAAATATAGAAAATCTATATTATAATTATAATAAAATAATTATTTTATATATTAATTATTATTATTATTAAATTTAATTTTAAATTAATTTAATATAATATAATAAATATATTTATTTATATTTTAATTAATTAAAATATTTTTATAAAAATATTTTATAATTATAAAAAAGGTATTATTTTAATATTTAATAAAGTATTATATAAATTATAAATTTTATTATTATTATAATAAATTTATAAAAATATTTATTAAATTTAAATATTAATAAATATTATATAAACTTTATTATTATAAAAGAATAATATTTTAATTTTTTTATATTAATATTATTATTATAATATATTAAAAAACTAATAAAATAAATTAATAAATTTATTTAATAATTTTAAAAATATAAAATTAATAAAAAAGTTTAGTTTAATAGTTTATAAATATAAAAATTTTATAAAAATTATTTAAATTATTAAATTTAATTAAATTAAGTTATATATATAAAAATTATTAAAATAATTAATAAAAGAATTTTTTATAAAGTCTTTATAATAGTTAAAAATTAAAATTATAAATTAATATTATAAAATTTATTAAAATTAATTTATATTAATAAAAATTAAATTTATATTATTTATTATAATATTTATAAAAATAAATATTATATTTATTATATTAAAATCTATATAATTCTTTATAAATTTAAATTAAAAATATTAAAATATTATAAATTAAATACTTTTTATTTTAAAAATATTAAATATTTTATTTTCTACTTTATAAATATAAATAATTTTATAATAATAAATAACTCTTCCTTTATTAATAATATTATAAATTAAAATTTTTAAATATTTATAATAAAGTTATTTAAAAAATAATTAAATAAAAGTTAATAAATAAAATATAATTATAATATTAATAATTAAAATAAAACTTTTATTTTAATATAAATAATAAAAATATTATTTATAAATAAACTTTTATAAAACTATTAGTAAATTTAAATAAAAAATTAAAATTAAATATAATAATATATAAATTATAAATTTAATAAATTTTAAAATTATTTAATTTAAAATAAAATTATAATATATAAATATTTATAATTATTAATTATAATAAAAATTTAAAATAATATTATTAATATAGAATATATTTTATTAATATAAATAATAATAAATAAATTAATTAAAATATTATTAATTAAAAATAAAATAAATTTCTTTAATAATTAAACTTAAAAATATTAATAATTAATAAGAAAACTAAAATCTATTAAAAATTTTATAAAATATAAATAAAAATAATAAAATATTAAACTTTAATTTATTATAATATATTAATTTAAAAGTATATTAAATATAAAAATTAAAATTTATTATAAAAATATAATAAATAATTAATTTATAATAAATTTATTATTAAATAATAATTTATTATAAATTTATAATAAATTTATAAACTATTATAATAAATATTTAATATATTTATTTTTAATATAATAAAATTAACCCTTATAATATAAAAATTTTATAAAATAGAATAAATAAAATAATATTATTAAAACTATAATTTTATTATAAAATTATTTATAATATAGTATTGAATTTAATAATTATATTTATTTTATTAATTTAAGTAGCCTTTATACTTTTATAATATAAATTTATAGCTTTATTACTTCCTTATAATATTTTTAACCTTTTAAATATAAAGTTAAAAATTTATAATTATAAAATTTAAATTAATTTTTATTTAATTATTTTATTATATTATAATTTAATTTAATTTTATTTAAACTTTTTTAAATTTATTTAATATTTTCTTTTAAATAAATTAAATTTAAATTAAAACCTTTAAGTTTAAGTTTAAAATTTTTATAAATTTTAATTTACTTTAAATTAAGCTTATAATCTTTTAACTTTTTAAAAATATATTAATTATTTTAAATAATAATAATTTCTTTTAAAGTAAAAGTTTACTTTTATATAATTATAAATTTAATTATTAATAATTATTATTTTTTTATTTATAAGTTATTAAAATTATAAACTTAAATAATAAAGTATAATTATTTTATTTAATTATTTTTAGTTTAATTAAATAATTACTTTTAAGTAGTTTTATTTATAAAACTAATAGTTTTTAAGTTTACTAGATAAATATTTATTTATAAAGTAGAGTTAGAACTTATATATATTCTTAGTTAAAAGAATAATAGTTTTATTTTTATTTATTTTAACTAACTTACTTAAATTATATAATAATTTTATATATAATATTTAATAGTATTAAGATTAAATAACTTATAATTTATAATAACTTTAACTTTTAATAAACTAATAATATTAATTTAAATAAATTAAATATAACTTAATATATTAATATAAAAGATAGTTTTTAATAATAAATAGTATTTTAAATAATTATAAAGTTATTATAAAAGATTTTATATAGTAAATTTAATTAAATTAATTTTTAAAAATATATTATATTTTAACTTTTAAGACTTTAATTATTTATTTTTAATTTAATAATAGAAATAAAAATATATAAATAATTTATAATATTTTAAATAAATTAAATTTTAAATTAATAATTCTTTATAAATAATATAAATATTATTTTTATTAATTATAAAGATTATTTTATTAATTATATTATATATTTTATAAAATAAATAGTTATATAAAAGAAATAATTAGTATATAAATAGAAATATAATAATATACTAATTTTCTTTATATTATTTATTTATTATATAAAATAGTAATTTATATTTATTAATTAAATATATCCTTATTAACCTTTAATTTTTATTTTTTATTATTATTTTTAATTTAATAATTTATTACTTCTTTCTTTATTATAATTTAAGGCGCTCTAATAAGTCTCTAAGCATTAAAATCTTATTTTATATTTCCTTTTTATTATTAATAAAGTTATTTATAATAAAGTTAACCTATAATAGCTAATTAATAGTACTTTAATAGGTGGGTAAAAGAGAATTAATAGGTTATATAAGTGGTGTAAAAAGTATATATAGGTAGTATATATAGTTAAAGGAGGTGAAATAAAGTTTTTAATTAATTATAATATAGAAAGATATTTATACTTATATATTAATTGTTTTTATATAAATATCCTTTTTTTTAATTATTTATTTAATTATTATCTTTTAATTTTAAAATTAATTATTAATTTATATTTTAAATATAAAATTCATAATTATTTAATATATATTTTAAAATTTATTTATATATAAAATTACTAAGTTTATTTTATAAAAGTTCTTTTTATTATATTCCTTATATATTATATAAAATAAATAAATGTTTAATAATAAAATAATATATTTAAAAGAAAATATAATTTTAAAATATTTAAATTTTAAATTTATTATATAATATTTATTTAATATATAATAAATAAACTTTATTTAAACTTTTTAAAACTTTTAAAAGTTTAAATTTTTAATTTTAAATTTTTAAATTTTAATTTTAAATTTTTATAAATTTTAATTTATTTTATATTATATTAATAATTTTTTTACTTTTTTATAAATATATTAATTATTTTAAATAATAATTATTAATTTTATATTATTATATTCTTTACTTAAAGTTTATTAAAATTAGTTAGAATTAAAAATAAGAATATAGTTTTTAAATAGTGGAATTTTAATTTATGATCTTTAAATTACTTATTATTAAATTAATATACTTATGGAATTAACAAGCGCCACAAGCGCGGGCCGGGTGGATATGGAACGGGTTTCGGGAGGCCGGAGTGGCATTGACAAACAGCTCATAAAAGGGCTGCACAGGAGCCTGATTGTCAAAACCTACCTAGGCGGCAATATTTCCATTTTCTCCACTCGTCCTGGAAAACATCCTGCCTGTACTCAAATTGCCCTAGCAGCATGGCGTCAGAAATCTATTCCGTCCCCTCCCAAGGGGACCTTGTTTTCAAACAAGGGATCTTAGCGAATCCTCTCGTCCGGAAGAATCTTCCCGAGGAAGCTGATGCAGCTGCAAGGAAAATCTCCTTCGAGGGCAGCGACAGTCCCAGCCTCCCGATAAACTGGCGTTTCGCCGAGAGCATTTCGGCGTTGAAGGCGTGCGAGGCGACGGTTCTCAACGTACTGCTTCAAAAGAAGTATGGCATTGAGCCGGCTCAGGTCAAGATTAACACGTAAGAGGATAGGTCATTGGCAACCAGACTGTCGCATTTTGCTGATAGTTTACCCCTGATGTCGTACAGGGATCATGCGCAACTCTTCATCATGTCTACCCTTCTCTGGACACTTGACCCAGACGAAGCCAACTTAAGTCCGCTTTCCTTCATGAGCTCCGAAGGCCGTGAACAAATTGCCACTTTCTTCCCGGACAAGGATGAGCATCAGAGCTGGAGTTCTATCTATCGAGCCGCAGCAACCAACATCTACAAAACCAAAGACGAAAAGTTCTTTCATCTCCATGGTACGTCCCATCTAATATGGCTGCAGCCTTAATCCGTGGATATGACTAATTTCATTTCCTTCGCTATGGAAGGTTCCATGAACCCCGAACCAACTCTGGAGTCTCTTGGCTTGCCAAAGGACATGAATACCAAAGGCATCGAAGCAGCACTGAGCCCTTTCATCGAAGCTGTTGGCCAACGTACAGCAGAGGAGATGCAAGAACTAGCAGACCAATACCGCCAGGCCGGTACCATCTGCTGGACAACTGACGAATATAAGACGAGCGAGCACGGAAAGGCAAACTCCCAAGTTGGCCTTTTTGACATTCGCCCATTCCTCAACCCGAAGCAGCTTCCGGGCTGGTGGCCTGACGCGCCTCACACCTCGCCCGCTCGGCCCCTAGCCGGGCTGAAGGTCGTCGACCTCACCAGGGTCATTGCCGGGCCGGCCATATCTCGTGGCCTAGCTGAGCTCGGGGCCAGCGTGATGCGCATCACGGCGCCTCACCTCACTGACATGTCCGGCCTGCACCCCGATCTCAACCACGGCAAATGGAACGCAAGCCTAGACCTGCGCAACAAGGAGAACTGCGAGAAGCTGCGAGCGCTGATCTCCGAGGCGGACGTTTTCCTGCAGGGGTACAGACCTGGCGTCTTGGACAAGTATGGGTTTAGCGAAAAGGCCATTATGGAGATGGTCCAGGACCGAGACAGGGGCATTATCTATTGTGGGGAGAATTGCTATGGATGGCAAGGCCCATGGATGCACCGGTCTGGATGGCAACAGATCAGTGACGCGGTAAGTAATACACACAGGAACACGAAAAGGGCAAATTCCCACTCAACACCGATCATTCTTCATCTCCATCATCGCTGACCTTTTAATTAGTGTTGCGGCGTCTCATACGAGTTTGGCCGGGCAATGGGAAATAACGAGCCTGTCACACCAGTGTTCCCCAACTCGGACTATTGGTAAGACTCGTGTCTCGCGAAAATTAGAGCCTATATATCAGTGATGCTAACAGTGCTTTTAGTACCGGTGTATGTGGAGTGGCGGGGATCATGTCAGCACTCCTTCGCAGGGCCGAGCACGGCGGGTCATATGCGGTAGACGTGAGTTCCCATTTACCTCCCCCCTGTTACCATCCTCATCCTGGAATAGATGGAATAACTCCTGCTATACTAGGTTTCTCTCAATTATTACTCCCAATGGCTGGTCAACAGTGTCGGCACATATCCTGCGGACGTCTGGGCTGATGTATGGAAACGCAACGGCGCGCCGGTCTTCCGTCACTATCACAACATGCAATACCTCCTCCCTCGAGTGCTCAGTGGACTTTATAAGAGCAGCCATGACGTCTTGTTTAAACCTGAGTTTTTCCATCAATATCACGTTAAGGTGTTGGACAAGGAAATGCGTATCGTTGCACCGATCTTGCGCTTCCCGAACGGCGAGGTACAGCCCCGTTTCGATGTGGGAACCAGAACCAATGGGGTTGATCAACCGCGATGGCCTACAGATTTAACTGTTGAGGTGGTGGAATAGCGCAAGGGTGAACCTGATTGTCGGGAAGCACTACTCTGACGACGTGGTTTTTATAGGTGCCATCGGCTCCCATTATTTCCATCTTTAGCGCCCCTCATTCATGCACCTGGTATTTCATGTCCAAATTGAAATTAAGGTCACTCTTTAAGTTGTTGTAAGATGGCTTTAATTTTTCCAAGTGTTAGAGTGTTTCTTGGCTTTCACGATTGTTCTGTACCTAGCTGCCGCGTGGTCCACGAACTTATGAGCATGGTCAATCCAAATAAGACCGCTGCAGGTATAGGCGCCATACACCGAGCCTGCCTTACCATCTGGGTTTTCCACAGATCACAATAATCCCAGACCAGACTTTCAAGTTACCGCAACTTGGAGTCCAAGTCTTGGACTCCAGCATGCATAAGAGCCGATCGTCACAGAAACCAGATGGGGTAATGTCACAGGATCACGCAACCGCACCCTTCATCTGTAAGCTCGCCTCGACGGACTGCCTCTTCCCGTCCCTGCCTCCAGTGATTCCTCGCATGTGCCTGGCGGTCCACAATCTGAACAAGTTCTAAGGAAGCGCGCGCGGCTTCGCCATACATGGTGTTTATGTTGCGTGGCCGTGCCGGGGAACGTGACGGTACGATATAGCCCGCGTACTCCTGCTCCCGATGGCGGTGTCGGCCCCGGTCAACAGAGGTCTCGTCACTTCTAGGCTCGTAAGTTCTTCTCCATCCCGGTCCGAAATCGCGCCCTTCACGAGGATAACGACGATCTTCCTCACCCCCCTGCGACGATGATTGGCCTGGCTCGTCTTCTGTCCCCCAAGAAGTGTACTGCTGTGCCTGCCGTGATGATTCGCCCGGCTCGTCTCGCCTCACGCTAGAAGTGTGATGACTGCGATGGTGCCTGCTCCTGCTATCTTTGCCCTTCCCCTTGGACTTGGATGATGACGAAGGCATCAGGCATTGGAAGATTCGTACTGTCTTGTTGGAACTGTGCAGCTTGGGAATGTTGTAGCCGATGCTGTTCAAACTCGAAACTGCGATGTACTTGGGCTGTGGAACAGAACGATCAGAGACACAAATGGTCAGTAACCCGGCGTGTTTATAGCTGAAAACAGGGCCTTGAACATGAGTTGAGGCCGACAATGAACGTGTGAAATGAGCTCTTGTGGTCACATTCTGCAGTGACACAAAATCAATCGTATGTCAGAATCAGAATGATACAATGATCTTTCGGGCGAAGTGAGAGACTCTGGAGGGAACCAAAAACCAGTGACAAGTATGTGTACACATCCGACATGGGACTGTTACCTCATGCTATGAAGCCGGGAGTTTTACACGAAGTTGGAGGTGAGTCGGTACCTAGGTATACCGATGTTATCAACCATGGTTTCAATGTTTCAATGAATGTGATGAGTAATTGGCCTGGGGTACATTCAAACCCGAAGCGGTGACTGGAGACGTCACATCTTTTGTCAGAAGACTACAATGAGTGGAAATATTAGGAACTCTTGGAGTCCTTCTTCATGAATGAAAAGAGGTAACTGGAATGATCCAGTGCCTCACCGCTATACCAGCCACGATATAAAGTTGTTCACACCGGTTTCGTCGACAACCACTAGGTCTGCGTTTCGCTGACCATAGGTCGTGACACCTATAAGTCCTAGTGCGCATCATCTTGATTTATTAAACACTGCACAACCCTAATCACCGAGGTGGTTCAAAGATAGATGAAAAGCATCAGAGATACTGTAGCACCGAAAGTTGAGGAACCATAGAGACTTTCACTAGAGTACTGCTGATAAAAGTGCTGCACGCTAGGTTTTGAGCGGTTACCACTGGATGATGGCACCGCATAAATTATCTATATAGCAGCATTGAAAATAAAACAGCCTAGAGTACTAACGAGGAAATATATAATTAAAGTAAGTAATATACATACTAAAATATCTATATTTTACTAATTGTTTAGAACAATCTTTAAACGGAAAATACGCCTATAAGTATAGAATATTATATGCTAACTAGCTGAATTTATAAAATCTAATTAGTTAACTAATTAATTAAAATAAAAATAATTAAGAAAGTTATAAATAGTTAGAGGATAGAGTTAAAGAGGGGTAAGTAAGGTTAAAATTAATAAGAATTATTTTAATTAATAGTTTTAATTAATATTAATAAATTTTAGTTAATAATAGTAATTAAAAAATTAATTCTTTTAAAATTTATTTTTTAATTTTTAATTTAATTAAAAATAAAAGTAGGTTTTATTTTTAATAAAGTTATAATTATATTATATATTATAATAATTTTAAGTAGGATATATAAAATAAAGTAAATTAATTAGTTTATTAGTTATAAATAATAATTATTAGAAGTTTATTTTTATAAATAATAGAGTATTATAATGGGTGGACTTGATTAGTTACCCGCAGCTCGATAGATTCTGATTCGGTGGAGATGCCCACATCCGCGGGGTCCCAGACACCGAAGGCTGGGGGCAGCAAGGATAAACTCAGTCCTCTTCTTGTGTTCTGCTATTTCCTGGACTTTGATGGTCATCATATTGTCGATGTCAGGGATTCCTTCAGATTCCCGCCTTTTGATGGCGAGGTAGACGTGAGTTCTCTGGATGGATATCCGCTGCGGTACAAGAAGAAGCCAACCCAAATACGAGACGATTTGGACGAGAGAGGCAGAGCCTTTGTGGGTCTCATGGTTGTTCGCCACAAGTGGTATGAGGGGCGAACAGCCACAGAAGAGAAAGAAGAGATAGGTTCCGATGGCGGTCTTTAGTCTGTTATTATCTAGCAGTGTACACGGAAAAGCTGACTGGTGATGCAGGTCAAAAGCGATATCATTATAGGCATGGATCTCTCTACTAGAGGACGTTCTTGGTATTCTCATTCATCCGGAAAACCTTTAGTGGAATCATGGATTGCGAAGTCAACGAAAGAAGCTATGGAGCTACCAAAAAGGACCTGTAACCACACCACCTGCCACGATCCAGGTTGTATCAAGAATGCATATAGTGAACAACAAAAGACAATCTTCAATGCTTAATAATAAAACTAAAAAAATATAAATAATCTATAATTTATATTATTCTTTAAATAACTTAATTTTAAATTAATAATTCTTTATAAATAATTTAAATTTTCTTTTAATAATTATAATATAAATTCTAAAAACTATTATAATAAAGCTTAACTATATATTTATATATTATATTTTCTTTTTATTATTAATAATATTATATTCCTTTAAATATTAAATATTAAGTATTTACTATTATATAAAGTACTATATATATTTTATATATATAGGAATTAAAAATGAAACCACGAACAACACATGTACTGTGGGAATATAATTTCCCGGAACTGCGTGTGTGCTCGATCTGCCCCAATCCTGGTGAAGGCCAGGATAGTGGGTCTACCTTAAATACTAGAAACTAGGCACTCTCTTAACATATAACCAATTTCGGGGTCGAGCAACAAATGAAGCGGAAACGTACACAAAGTCCAATACAGCAATATACAACCTCCTATACATAAGTGGTATGTTGAGGTCAACGTCAAGTACCCTAGGGTACTTGGTAAAACCCGGCAAAAGATGTCAAACGCAACCAATACTGTGGGTTTTGAAAGTGCTAGGTATGTCTTCTACCTACATGTGCTCATGTCCTTTTTGCCTCTCTCAACTTCCGATATGCAGACCCAAACGCAGCTGTACTGTGCAGCTGAGACCAAGATCGTCGGCCCTTTTGTCTCCTGGTATGAGGACACAGTTGAAGTATCATCTCAAATTAAGGGCAAGCCTTGTGCCTACTGACACGAGTTCAAATCCTATTCTCCTGCCGTCCCAATGACAAGGCGTTTGCATACTTCCTCCTTCGGACTGGCAGTAAATCTAAGGATTATTTGTGTGATACCATTGTTTAGTACGGGTTTCCTGCACACTTTGTCGCTCCAACCGCAGTGAAGATGAACAAGTGCGCCCGGAATTTTTTTCAATCAATCTCGTGGCCGAACACGATTCAAATGCGATAGCTCAAAGGTTCCGAGACTGAATATGTGGTCCAAGCCCACTTGCTGCCTGGAGTTTGTGGAGAAGGCTGTGGGATAATCAAGTCACCCAACGGTGGAAAAAAGCTTGGCATGCACCCTATCACTCTCATTTGGCTAGGAGAGATGTGAATGGTACCTTAGTAGGTGAGTGGCGGCTATGCAGCAAATCGCAGCCAACGAGTTGGTGAAGCCCCGATGTCTTGAAGCCAACAGCAGTTGGTGCCTAGTACAGTGCTCAATTTCCATGCACCTCCTTTGGTTATTTAAGGGAGCCCTCCATCTCCTCCAACCTCGTCTCTCCGGCAGAAACACACGCATCATCCACAATCTCAGATTTCAGTCCTGACTTTTTAAAAAGTCCAAAACTCTCCTCCTCAAGATCCTTATTGAATTCCGCTTGCTGTGAACAGTATCACTGCAATTGACAGCATGGCAACATCCCAGCCAGACACTCAACCCCAGACCTCTGGTGATTCAGTCACGGCTGGACTGCTCGAGCAACTGCGGGAGGAGCTTGGGAAACAAACTGCGAAGACCATCTTCACCTGCGGTGGCACTATTCCCGTCAGCAAACGTGGGAAAACCCCCGAGTCCGACGATGTCAAGGTGGCATCAGCGTCTGAGCCTGTCACTATCCGCTGGGACCCTCTGACACCGGAGACTCCGGCTTCGCAGGCAAAACTCGTCCTCCCTTTGGAGCACAACGACCAGGCGGCCCTAAAGAATCTGATCAAGGATTTTCAGCCTGCCAGCTTCGGCTTCCAGGGCAAGGATGTCTTCGATGAGACGTACAGAAAGGCCCTGAAGATGGACACGGACAAGTTCGCTTCCACCTTCAATCCCTATGAGTGCGGCATCATCGATAGCCTGGCTCAGGCGCTCCTGCCAAGCAACCCAGACTTCGACCTTCAAAGAGGTGTGAGGGCGGAGCTGTACAAGCTAAACGTAAGTCTATCAGCCTCTTCTAGACCCCACGACATCCTTGCTCATCATTGATATATCAGGTCTACTCGAGCCCATCGGGAAAGTTCAAGCCACATGTCGACACCCCTCGTGGCAGCACCCAGTTTGGATCCCTAGTCGTCTGCCTGCCGCTGGAGCACGAGGGCGGACAGCTCCAGGTCAGACACAAGGGCCAGGAGGTGACTTATGACTGGGGCAGCCATAAGGATCAGATTTCGTGGGCCGCCTTCTACAGTGACTGCGAGCACGAGGTACTCGAGGTAAGGTCGGGCTACCGTCTGACCTTGACGTACAACCTGTACGCCATCCGCGGAGGCGGCATGCTTACCGGCATTGACCCGCCCGTGCTTGATGCGACGCAGCTTCCAATCTATACGTCGTTGAAAGACATTGTTCAGAACAAGGAGTTCTTGCCCGAAGGTGGGTGACTGTCCTCAATATTTAAGACGTCGACGGTGTCGCTCTGATTAAACTGACTCAAATTTCCCCGACAGGCGGCTATCTCGGCTTCTACTGCAGCCACGCATACGCGCACACCAACACTGAGGCCGTCATTCTCCCGGATATGCTGAAGGGCTTTGACATGATCATCTGGGAGGCACTCGGCCGTCTTGGTCTGGAGACAATCGTGAAGCCCGTGATGGATGTCAAGCGGTTCTACGAGTATTTGTACAAGGACTACGAGTACTACAAAGAAAGGGGCGAGGATTTGCCCAAGCCCGCGGAGCGGGACTTCATGGTCATCGGAAATGATCGTGCGCTGCACATGGACAGTGGCTTGCGTATAGAGGAGTATGACCAGATGGACGACACGATCGCGGAGTGGCGCAGGGGCGAGACTCTGAGCAGCAAGGTGGTACACTGGCTCACCGAGCCGACCCACAAGCAGGTTCAGCTGGCGTATATTGCTGTAAGTAAAACCCCCAGGTCCATCTCCTCCCTGAGCAATGAACACAAAACTAATTTGAAAACCGTTCAAAGTATGGCAATGAGGAGAGCCTAGCGTCGTTCTATTCCTACTGTGCGATCGTTGCCAAGGTCGAGCCCAGCAATGCTCGCTCGGGCTGAATGAATTTGGAAACGGGTTGGTGTTGGTTGATGTTGCCAGCCAAGGCGGCGTACATGTGTGAATGAAGCAGGACGTCTCTCCGGCCCAGTAGTGCAGGGGGCGCATCCACGGCGAGAGTATCCTCTAGGCACGGCATCTGGAGCACAATGGTTGTTTGAGCTGATAGGATTTCGTCAATTCGCAAATTCTCATACATTCGTTCAGTTGGTGCCATAGCGTAGGAATGGCAGTCGGCCAAGTGAAGTGTAGTTACATACTCACTGATCAGACTTGCGTGCTCGAAGAGGAGACCAGCACGCACAACAGATATGTTAAACACCCAGGGCCCAGGGATAAGATAGAAGAGGTATACCAGGCAATCTATCTCATGGGCACCAATGACGTTTGAAAAATTCGAACTTCACACACCCCGCTGAACAATACACACACATTAACCATGTGCCTGGGTAGTTTCGTTTTTAATCCCTATATATGTAAAATATATGTGGTACCTTTATATAGTAGTAAACGCTTAAGACTTAGTATTTAAAGAAATATAATATTAATAATAGTAAAAAGAAAATACAATATATAGGTATATAGCTAAGCCTTATATTATATAGATAAGGCTAGAAGGTATCGCTCCTAATAGCACCGTATTATTAACATAAGTAGCCCAAGGGCTAATAGCCAGTAAAGCAGTTATATAGTAAGACTAGAATAGTCTTAAAATAGCCCCTATAAGAAGAAGAATTCCATAATGTAAAACCTAGTAAGCTGGCTCTTCTCTATTAATATACTCATTATATAACTATTTAAATCTACCCTTATTAAGTAAATTAAATATATTATAATCTCTATTTTAAATATATAATTAATAAAATAATAATATTATAATAATAAACCTATTTAAAAAGCCTTTTATATAAATTCTATAAAAAGATTAAAACTCTTTTAAAAACTAAGTAAAGTTTATTTATTATATATTAAATAAATACTATATAAAAAAGTAGAAGTTTAAATATTTAAAAATTAAATCTTCCTTCTTTAAATATATTATTTTATTATTAAGAATTTATTTACTTTTATATAATATATAAGAAATATAGTAGAAGAGGGAGCTTTATAAGGGAAGTTAATAACTTTATATATAAATAAGTTTAAAAGTATATATTAAATAATTATTAACTTTATACTTAAAGTATAAGTTGATAGTTAGTTTAAAAGTTGAGAAGATAATAAATAGATAAATAGTTAAATAAAAAATATAATATAGCTAAAGCCAACTATGTGCCTATTGTTACACCAAAGACGGGGACAAGTATTCCTCAAATGGAATACCACATCTGGTATTTGGGGCATGGTAGCTATGTGCCTCGACATAGGATGGGCTACTGCGGCTGTTGAACTTTTTATCTAGCAACATGCATGAGCGAGACCAGAACCAAAAGGCGTCTGTCACAAGATATCATGCTCAGCCAGCCACTTCAGTACCAAATGTGGGCGACAACTTACCTGGCGGATCAGGCCGGTGCCAAGCTGCCATGCAGCTCTGCCACTCCACAACGGGCTAGACTGCGTGTCGCGATGGCGCGTGCATATCATCGCCTGGGCAAGATTTTCAGCTACATGCTAAGCTGAAGTGTGGCAAGAGTAGGTACCAATGTGTTTTCACACTGCCCGATTCTCTTAACATCTGGGGCGGGGACACAGCTCTCTGTCCCATCGAGCATTTCGATCTCACTCGACTTGAGGATCTTGAGACTTGTCAAGCAATGAGCGCCAGTGGACCGGTAGACTCTGATAACCACAAACAAGCAGTCGACGATGTCAGCCATGCATCCTTTCTCCGCCTCTCCTACCGAGGACGAGCCAATCATTCGCCCTCTTGGGGATACCGTATTCGAGGTCACGGTGTCAAGAAAGAACCGCGCAGCCTTCTTCCACGATGCACTCCAGCGACTCCGTGACACCCGAGAGGAAGCAGAGATCACTCTCAACAACCTCAGGGCATGGTCGCCAGAAGTAGCGGAGTCTTTTCAAATCCGAGATCCGGAGACCGTGCTCAGTACTCCGTTCCGACTGATATGCGAAAGCGACGCAGGCCATGTGCCCTTCGACAGCGAGATGATACTACGCCAATACTTGGCTGTCAGCTATTGTTGGCGCCACGATGATAGTGACTGGCCTGTATCAGTACCTCGTTCGCCTTGGCCTTTCAGCAAAGCCTTCGTCGATGCTGTGCTCGCTGAGCGCGGCGTCCATTCGGATGCTCCAGAGCCGGACGCCAACTTTCGGAGAGAGGGGATCTGGATCGACCAGATGTGTATTCGACAGCAAGACGAAGTCGAGAAGGCGAGGTCCCTTGCCAGTAAGTAACCGGGCTGGATTGGGTCCTTCTAACCCTTTTCAACGCCTATTTGGCAGAACCTTCCATGACAAGCGTATATCCACACACATTGCATAGTGAAACTTGCGTGTGGACAAGCTGTGCGAAAATAATACCGAAATGGCTGACTCGGGATGCTGTAGTGATGGACATGATCTACGACAAGTGCCGCAAGCTACTGATCCTCCTCGAGGATGTGACATTCACAAAAGACGAGGTCAGGGTGCTAGAGAAATATGATAACCCTCGAGCCAAGACAGTTGAGGAAGCTATTTGGAAAGTTGACACGGTGGACATCCCACATCTTGCCAGCCTCTGCGCCAAGGTCGAGAATTCACGTTGGTGGTCACGATCATGGTAAGTTACACCGAAACTTTCCATATTCTCACGCTCATCATATCAATCAGGTGCTGGCACGAATACGAGGCCAATAAACCATGGAGTGACTTGCGTCACCACTACTTTGCACACAATGCGACATTCATCGTCAACAGGGTCACCTCCTCCACTGGTGAATGCAGTACCTATAAAATGCGAAATTTAACGCTGCAGCATGCACGTCATGCCAGTATGACTGAGTCAAGTTTCGATTTTGGTGAAGAGTTTCTACACAGAACGATCCGCTGGACCTTGGGAGACAATGATGTATCGCCTTACCATGACCCTGCACATCGTGGGCACGGCACTGTGAGATCGTCGATAATGGTACAATATTTCGTCGTATCATACACCGGGTCTGAGATCCCGTCAGACGTCATTACAATCACAATCAATCTCTGTGGGCTCGCTCTTGCGTTTGTCACCCAATTCCGCGATCGAAGCCAGTTATTTTTTACAATCTCCCTGCTCGCCCTCGCCTGTGGGGAGAGTAGGCCTTTAACCTGGCAGAAGTCTACCGCCGTCCCAGATGCCGACATGCCTACACTTGAGGTCCAGAACCATGTTGAGACGACGTGGCTGTCACCGCCCCATGCGGGAATCGACACCGCGCTGCCAAAATTCAGGGTCGGGGGCGTGGAAGGTATTCATAGGGTGACGGAACGATACATCGAACTCGATATGCTCTTCTTCGACGATTTAATCTACGTCGTAACAGATGAAGAGTTTCAGGAAACCTTTGACTTCTTTCCGGACAAACCAATCCGTTCCCGCGAGGTCAGGCCAAGGTTTGCGACCATTGGTCACGAGGGGGCACGCAACGACGACGACGCCAGCGACATGCAGCGGCGACAGTTTCTCGCTACAATCTGCAAGAATAGCTCGACCGATCTGTGCAGACTATGGGATACAATAGACAAACAGGTTGTCCAGCCTTCATTCAACAATGCGCGATTTGAACCATTCGCGGGAGATGAGGCACTTCGTCCGGCTGCAAAGAAGCTGTTGGCTCGGCTGCGTCAGTCCTCCACCTCAAACAGCATTCCGTCCCCGACGGGTGACCTGGAGCAGATAACCCTCCTGCTCCTTACCTTCATCACCGACCCACGCGCCCTCTATATGATTCACATGTTTGGAAGCATCCGCTGTGATGAGAGCTCCTGCGCTGTCGTCGGATGGCCCATGCTGACTCACCTATCCGATTATAATACATGGGATCGCTACCGTCTGGCCATACCTACTGACCTAGTACATTCACCTTCTAACGTAAGTCGCCTGTGGGTCCTGCGGCCTATTGATGGCGAAAACACTCCGCAAGAACCCAGCCCAGATGGAAGGGAGGCAGCCTATCAGACTGCCACTGGTCTGTGGGAGAACCCGAGCGGTAGATGGAGGCTGGTTGGGAAGAGTCTTCTCATTGGTGAGCCTGATCTCATTCTGGCTTCTCAGAACCAGCAAGGCGCAGGGAGGCGCTTCGTCAGTCTCCGGAAGCGCCAGCACGTCGAGGGTTGACGGGATCAAAGGTCCGGCGATTGGGATTCACCACGCTCGCTTCAAGCATTCAGCATTTTCGTAGTTATATCTTCCAACACCTCAGATACAATCGATGTTGCTCACTTTCTGGCCGGGCGTTACCAATCTTATGATCTAGCACGCACACGGTTCTATGAACACCCAACAGCGGTCTCCGACTCGATCATCCAAATGAAATCGATTGACCACTTCATGTACCTATGTTCCTACTGATCTATAAAAGTTGCCGTGCGTAGTTATTCGGCCGGTGATGCCGAGCTGAGCCGGGTTGAGGATTACAGATTATGTAAACTTTGTTGCGGCCCACTCTGCGACAGCATATAGTAATGCTGTCGAGTGGCCGGCTACCTGAAGTGGAATCACGCTCAGATCGATGACACGCACGTTACTTGTTCCGTAGACCGTGAAATTGTTGTCCACCACGCCTCCCATATCCCGAGGCAACATGGCACACGAGCCGAGATGATGGTGATTGGGCCCGAAGGACGAGTTCTTGAGCCAGTTGAGCCATAACTCATCGCCCGCATCCTCCGGGATTTCTTCGAAACTGGGTGAGATACTTGCCGGGTCAACAAGGTCCGACAGCGGCGCGGTGGTCAACACTCTGCGGCTGAACCTCGCCGTCTGCACCGCAGCTAGACCGTCAAACTCCGACTGGAAAAAGTTGGGATTGATGGATGGCGGCGTGGTATCGTTTTCACTGATAATGTGCACACTTCCTCGACTGAGCGGTTGCAGAGGCCAGAAGACGACACCGACAAGGTTCCCCACGGCTAAAGGTATGACCTCGGAGGTTGGTGTATTCGAGTCGTAAAGGAGATCCAACTGGCTTTTGAGCAGGCGATGTTGAGCGCTGGCGCTGCTTGCTCCTCCATTCTGCGCTGCGATTTGCTCAGCATAAGCCGGGAGCTGTGCTATAGCCGTGTCATACACCGACGTGGTGTTGTCGCCGAAAATATCTTGCAATGATGTAAAGGAGACGAAGTTCGGAAATCCCGTCTCATTTCGGCTGATGAAGTTGGCCGTGACACGAAGCACGGTCTGATCCTGGAAGTTCTCACCTACGGCCGGTAGGTCGATTGTGGTGCTAATATTGTATTTCGACAACACTGATGGGTTTCCGACACCAGAGTACTCCAGGATTGCCGGGCTCCTGATAGCGCCCGCCGAAAGAATGACTTCGCGATCAGCATAGATGGTTGATATCTGGCCGTCCTGGCGGACCACGCTGGCTCCCAAGGCAACTGCCTTCCCGTCCTCGTTGTTCTCAGACCAGATAATGCGAGCAGCCGTCGTATTGACCATGACATGGAGGTTCTCACGATCCTGGACCGGATAATAGTATGCTCTGGCAGCATCCTCTCGTACGTCCAACGCGCTGTCCTGAGTCACGGCCTGGCACCCAAACCCTCTCAGCTCTCCCCCGTCAAAATCCGCGATTGGCGGAATCCCTACATTCTTCATTGTATCGTTGAACACAGTATGGATATCGCTGGAGGACATATGCTTGCTGATGCAGGTATCCAGAGGACCATCGAAGCCATGGTATGCCGCAACATATCTTCCCCCTAGGGCTTGAATGCTCGGTGGAGGGATAGTATAGCGTTCGTACTTCTTTCCATATGCAAACAGCTTGTTCCAGTCGAGGTCCAGACCCAAAGAAGGCCAGAGATCCATCTGAGAGCTGGCCGGGCGGATATGCGTCATCCCATTGATCAGACTCGAGCCACCGAGGCCTTTCCCCGCACTCCATGCGATGGTTTGGTTGGCAGCATAAATCTGCGGCGCGCTCTCGTATTGCCAATCGACATCAGTGTTCCTGGCTATGCCCAACACAGTGGTGTTCGTGACAAGGGGATTATCGTATTGAAATGTACCGGCCTCGACGACGAGGACAGTATTATTCGGATTCTCGGACAGTCTGTTCGCGATCACCATGCCAGCAGTACCCCCGCCCAGGATTACGTAGTCGAAATGAGCATCGCTGTAGCTGTCCGGCGATCGCGTCGCAGACGATGCAACAGCCAGCGCCGACCCTATGAAGCAAGCGATGTTGAGGAACATTATCTTCCAATGCAGAACGGTGCAACAGCCTAGTGAGGAAGAATAAGGTAGGTTTCACAAAATGAACACGATGTAGGGGTTGGTATCCAGTATGATGCTGACATCCGGACGCTGACATTCTGATTTTAGTCTCCGTAGACTCAGCGAACTCAGACCTGCTTTCCTCTGCCAAGGCTTCTCATCCCCCGACTTCAAATTGATCTGCATGGTTGCAGGAGCTAAATTGATGCCAATCAGACCTTCAGAATCAGTCTTTTAGTGGGTCCCAGCCAGCCAGACCATCATGATTTGGGCATGTAAACCCTACCGGCCGCGTAAAAACCTTATTTTTATATTCTGGTAAACCTAGGTAAACAACTCTTCGGTCTCATGGATAACCTCGCCAGTGCCAATACTGCGCAACGGCCTCCAACTCATCCTCATGTCTCTCTGGCAGGATCCTGTCGATGAGGCCACCAGATCCCACAACGTCATCATAAAACTTTGTCTCCTGACAAATAACTAAGCGCATCTTGCAGTATTCCCAATACTCCGGTAACCACCCGGCCTCTTCCCAGTCTATGACACCCGTCACCGTCCGTGGCTGCGATGGATCGTCTGATATCATGACATTTCCGAAGTGCAGGTCGCCATGGCAAAAGCGAATCGCGCAGTCGTCACTAAGCAGATGCCGGCAGGGATCCTCGAACTGCCGATCAGCCAGAGGAATTCTTGGGAGCATGGCGTATTGAAAAAAGTCGTTGAACGATTTGACGCTGTCAAATGGGCCCGAATTCGCCATTAGGAGTGGGTGGTCACGGAAAAAGCGATCATGGAGTGGTCCTCTGGTGATGGATCCTATGCGGTCAACGATTAGTCGGGCTGCTCACCATAGCCTGAGGCCTACTGGGCTATGGTGTGATTGACCTGAGGTACCTACCCACGAACTCTTCTGATGAGCCCTGCCAGAGACTCATCAAGTGTGATTGAATGCCGCCCAACTGGTTGCAGATCGACACCTTATCATCTGCATTTAGTTCATCCCAGGCCTTGGACAAGGAGATGCCTGGTATGAGACTCATATAGATAAAATGCGTGCGATTGTGGGTTCTGCACCCAAAGACTTCGGGAACAGGGACCTCGCCGCCAGGGAAGGCTTTGCGCAGCGCCTGCATGGTGAGAGCCTCCTCCAGCCGGCCATCTTGGGGGATACCCAACTTGACCACGAGATTGAGCTCCTCGAACATCGCGATGCGTTCTCCGGCCCATTCTCCCTGTCTGGCGTAGACTTCGAGCGGTGAAGGGAGCTCCATGCCTTTCTTGCTGAAGAAAGAAGTCTCCCTGAAGTCTATGTCGAGTGACTGGGAGACGTATGAGTGCGGGGGCAACTCGAGATTGACCAGAGGAGGTGGCCCGTCCTCAGCCATACCGTCCGTTTGAGCGAATTCCCCAGGTTCCATTGTTACGAAGATGTTTTGTCTGGGCCGGGTCGACGAAAGAGGTCGGATGTGCTTCGAGGTCAAAAAGATTCTTGGAGTTGTTGGTTCCAAGAATGGTCCCACATGGGCCCCACTACCTACTTAAATAGGTAACGTACGTTCTTGCCGGGCTGGCAGAGCCACTTTCGTAATAGTGCCGGTGCCGGCCAACAGTCATGATATTAATAAATCGTATCCACATCATGTCGTGGACGCCTCGAGGCTGCTTGAGTGGGACATTAATGATGCGACTGTTGGTAGTCTAAAAATACTCTGACCCCCTTCATTTCGTCGGCCTGGACGCTCTCGGCTTCCTTTTTGGCCGCACCTTATCCACAATTTGACACCAGTTTCGTGCCTGTCCAACCCTCATGGGTTCAATTGGGTGCGCTGAGCCTCTTGGGCTACCGGCCACCTACCTCTCCACATCGACAGCGACAGTGTTGGCTTGAGGATTGGGCCGCAGATGGCCGTGAGGTACGCCAGCAGCCAACGGGTGACCAAGTCAAGGGACACAGTTATGCGCACATCCTCCAATGCTACACCCTTGAGTCTCTTGAGCTCAACGGCGTTGCTCTTTTTGGTTTCTGGATGTGTGGGACTTTTTTTCGAGTGCCAATGCCACCCAAGCATTCCAAATTGAATCTTTAAGGCGGTATATGCGGGTTTTGTAGTCTGGCACGCTAGGACACAGCTTCCAACATTTGAAGGTTCCCGAGACATCACATGGCGGATAGCGCCATGCTTGGCCGAAAGGCACAGTTTGCTGCAGCCCTTCGGTATTGTGGACCCACAAAATTCCTCTTTGGTTGGAGCATTGTTTTTTGGAGCCGTCTCAAAGGGACACCGAGATATCTGGGCCATCGACCTGGGCCTCTGTCAGGATCCTACGGCCAGTTTGAAGCCAACGGGCGAGGAGGAGGCACAGTGAAGCAGTTTCTAAATTTGCGAACCTACGAGAATTGTTCTGTGTAATTCATGGGATGAAGAAGTCGAGGAGGGTTGTTGTTCTTCTATATAACATGAATACTTTTTGCTTCTTGCAAATTATTCCTCTCATCAGATGTCCTACACCATTCATCACTATTTCTTCTTGCTCTTACGATTCTACACTTTATTAGACTTCAAAGATTCTAGACCATATATCATTCTGGATCTATCGATCCATTAACGCATAAGTCCTTCAGTAGCTCTTCACAGCTTTTTGCAATGTCTTCATCCAACACCACAAGCACACGACCTGTCTTCCTCCTTAAGTTTCGTGGCAACGACAACCAGCGCCACCATTTGGCTGCATTCATCCCTAACGAGAAGTACGCTGGCGTCAACCTCGAGGATAATGTTATCCGTTCCTGTACCAAGTGTAAGGGGCATCTAATTCACATTATCGGAATGCCGATGTCTGGATATGCCGTTGAGTTCGTCTCCAACTTTTCCACTCTCGAGAGCAGGACCCTCAAAGCCGCGCCAAAAATCGGCGACGTGGCAACCAACTTGATTGTGGATCCTCCTGCAGATGATGTAGAGGATCGTGTATCACGAAGTACACCAACAGTTGGGGATGTACTGGAGAAGCTAGCCATGTCGCTCCCGGCTCCAAGAGCGTTCAAAAATCTCTTGGGACCCGTTGACGATGTAAGCAGCAAACAATTTGACCCAATCTCTCCCATTACTCTCATAACCTGGTGCAATGGATGCCTTACTGACCATGGAGCCCTGTAGGTTAATAACCGGGACTGTCAGTCCTGGCTCGGCGACTTTATCGCTCTTGTGGTCAAGCATGGCTATCTGCCCAACACCGCTTTTGCGAAAGTCAAAGCCGAAAGGGACCCTGGCGACCTTGGAACCAAGCTCAAGAAGGTAGAGCCAAACACTACCGCGACTGCCACTGGGGAGAGATCCAAGAACACGCCTTCGAGGGCCACTCCGTCTCCCAACAACGCCGCAACTGCTAGACCAACAGCACCCGCAACTAGCACATCTAGGTCTTCCAAGCTGGGGTGGCACCAGGAACCAGGGACGCAGAAGTGGCGAAAGTGGGATGCAAATGGAAAGAAGTGGATTTACCGGTAGTAGCGGTCCTCAACGTCTGTGGCTTAGAGCTACCAGACAGTGGTGCTATATGGGTGAGACCCGACTGTAAATACTTGTCCGGAGGTGGAAGTCATTGGCTTGTAGGGTTTTGATTATATTCAAGGCTGGCCCTTTTGCAACTTGCCTGTCGTTTAGCAAATCATAGATGGTCGGTCCTTAACTTGTGACACGGGAGCGATGCCTTCCAGCCTTCCAAGGTTCCAAGGTTGTCTGTGCGGCACGAGGCTGAGCCACCTGCCCACAGACGTACTGTATTCTCTTTCCACTGTTATTGGCACTGTACTTTTTTTTTTTTTTTTAAAAAAAAAAAAGCTGTGTTTTGAGCGTTTACCACTGTATGAAGGCGCCAAATACATTTTATATGTACCGGTATGGGGATTAAAAACGAAACCACTGGGCCGCAGAATTTCTTGTCTACGGGTCAAGTAACCCAGTAGTTGCAAGGCGGGATGTCCCAGGGTGTTGTCTTATGGACTGTTGTCTTATGGACATGGACCTTTGTCGTCACATGCATTGGCTGGATCGCACAAATCCTCAAAGGTGTCGTACTTTACCGCCTTTTTATATCTCATATTGTGAATAGTGAGAGGTTTGATGGGTAATCATGCAAAGTTTTAAAACTGAGAGAAACCTAAGCTCATAAGCCACATACCTAGTTCAACAGGGCACATGAAAATGTAGTTGCAGACAAACATGGGCGTCGACCAGCTCTTTAGCCACGATCCAGACCCGCACTGTCTACATACATGAGCTGACTATTGCTTGGAGAGCCACTTCCCAGCTTCGTCTGCAGCATGTTCGGCTTCTTTCTTCCATCCAGTCAGGTTCCCCGCAAAGACAATGTCATGGTTCGCTAGTTTTTCCACGCACAATTCGACCTCGTTGCCCTGGACCGTCCTCATCTCATCCACAAACCTCACGATATCGTCGTAGAAGAGTTCGCGGCCCCCACAGAAGACCCATATCGGGCTGGGGCTCCTGAACTCTGCCCCTAGTGTATTCATGTAAGGTCTTGCTCCAGGCTTGTCAGAGACAAAGCGTCTTGCGCCCCAGTTTAGGAAGGTCGGGTCAAGGTAGTCAGTCCCATAGTTCCGAGCGCTTGTTATCCCTTCCGGCTCCAGCGGCGCCAGCATGTCGATAGCTGGCGAGAACAGCAGGGCGCTCTTGGGCGGCCGGAGCCCCGTCTCGGCCCCATGTTGGGCAAGGTAGCGCAGCAAGCCGATGACAACGTGCCCACCGGCCGAGTCACCCGAAAGGACAACCTCTGAGTCTGGGAAGCGCTGCTGGAGGTAGTGGTACGCGCTCAGCGCGTCCTGCAGCGCCGCGGGGAATCGCCCCCCGGGGTTCGAGGCGAGCCTGTACAGGCTCATGCACACGTGAGAACCCGGGGCGACGCGCTCGGTGAGCATCTTGGCCATGAAAGTGGCGTCTGTCCGCACGTCGCCCATCACGTACCCGCCTGGGTGGAAGTGGAGTAGGACCACGGGTTTGTTCGGGGCAGTCGCCGTCGTTTGGGGGACTTTTGGGAACCATATCGCACCGGTATCAGAGGGTACAATGTCCTCATCCGAGACTGCACCCACAAAGATGGATTCTGGACCTTTGGGAATGGCCATGAATCGTTTTCCGAATCTTCCTGGCTGAAGGTCGAGTGTAGTGATGCCTTCCACGGAGGCGATATGATATAGAAAAGAGTTCATTGCAGTGTTCATCACTGATTGGAAGATGGTCCATTCTCGGTGAGGTCGTGAGGACTTGGGGATGTAATATAGGAACGACAAGGGCAGTTTCGCCAAATTAAGAATGATGGCCCCCGTTGCCCACACGTATTTCCCAGGCTTTTCAGTTTTCCAAGCCATGCTAGAGGACTAAAGAGGGCTGCTCAGATAATAATTCGAGCGTAGGAAGAACCTCGGGGGCTAGCCACTCCGACTGGCTCTCCAGGCAAATGTTTTGAACAAGCTGTGATCACAAGATGACAGAGCTTCGATTGCTCCTCTTGCTTGGTGCGAGGGATGCGCCCTTTCCTAGCGACCAGCTTCACCCTGAGTGAGTGCTGCCTGGCGTTACAATTTAAACGGCACGGGCAATGATTGCACGAAGTTCCGACGTCTGCCAGGTACTTTTGTAATTCAGGTTACACAACAAGGATGACCAGATGGTTGGCTCACTATTGGAAGCTCTGTAGCGTTGAGTGGACTTGCCTACGTGATCGGCATTATAGTCTGTAGACGGACACTCCATCTTTTGTCAAAATACCCGGGCCCGTTGCTTGGCCGAATCACGGATTGGCACTCGGTCATCCGCAGTACTTCAGGGGACCGCCACGTTCAAGGTGCGATTTCCTGAAACTGCATACTGAGTACGGTTCACATATCAGCCCTCCACACATTTCATGTCAGGATCTCAGAAATCCTTTGCTCCAGGACCATTTGTTCGATCCGGACCCAAACAAGATACCTGTAAACACGATTGAAGGACTGCACAATATCTATGGCGTAAATGCCAACACCCAGAAGTCATCTTACTAAAACTTATTCAACGATGTGTTCAAGGGCGACACTGGCAGTTCGTTAACCATTAACCACGATTGACCGCACCGTCCTTTCGAGGGAAAAACATGTCATGTCTTCTGCACTTTCTGAAAGTTCCGTCAGAGCGATGGCTCTAAACGTGGTCATAAACCTGGGACACGATGTATGTAAATATCAGTGTGCCTGAGTAACTTAGTACATACCTAGGTACCTTAGGTATCAAAGGCCGCATCAAAAGCACGCCTTGCGATCTCTGATCTCTGCAGTATTTAAACACCCCGCAACACACAGTGTCAGATAGCAACCGTCTAACCGGGAATCAAAACCATCACAACAACATGTTGCCAGCACTACACCAGCCATCAATGCCCCCCCAGAACCAAGCCATGGCACCAGCCGCACAGCAGGCCGCCCCTCCCGACCCACTTGCGAACGTCAAAGCCTGGCTGGTCGATGTCACGCTCTCCACGGAAAGAAGAAACATTCTCTGCGTGAAGTCAGGATGCTATGACAGGTCACACGGTGATGACTACTGCCGCCAGCGTGAGTCCTGTCCTCCGAGGCCCGGCGCCCCCTTCTCCCAACCCACATCACCACGGCACCACACCCGCCCAAGCGTCACACTCACTCGCACTTATCCAACGTTGTCCCCCTCCGTGCCATTCAACCCACCCACCTACGCACCCTACTTGTTGCATGTGAGCTGACCGATCCGCCCGCCTGCCTCCCACCACCAGACTCCTGCCACCTCTGCCACAACGCGCCCTCAGTCGTCAGGTTCCGAAACGCGCAGGGCTTCTGCGAAACTTGTAACTAAGCCTCATCTTCCCTCCCCCCCCTCCCTTCTCATCACAAGTTCAAACCGTCGTGAGCTGGGGCTGACCAGTGTGCACGTGCCTCAGGCTACAACACGGAGGTGAAAGGGCGGCGGTGCCAAGATGGGAGCGTTTACCCGATAAGTCTACTGGGCATGTCTTCCCATTCAAGGTTGGCACAAGAGGTTGCCCGTTTTGGCGGGGGCGCAGGGACAAGTTGTGATCCCTGGGTCGTAAGGTTTGACGAATAATTGGGATGCCACTGCACTATTGGTACAGAAACCGACGCCGCCCCTTGCCATAGGCACCAGTTGACGTATTCCTTATCACGACATAAGGTGATCCGAACGTGGGCAGGTAAACTTGTGTTCACAGCCCCGTCGCTGGAAGGATCCCGAGGTCTGTCGAGTACGTATGGATTCCCGATGGCAGCGGGCGATATGTCAAGAGAGTCGTGAACTACAGAATCACCGGGATAATTCCGCCCCGTTGGCTGAGAGGACCCGTCTTTCAAGGAGATAAGAGCCATACCCTGTGGTCAAACGTGGCCGGTGTTATTTTCAACGTGATGGGGGACAGCAAACCAAGAAATCCTGTTCTGCTGCCTCTGGGGCCACCACTGCCGCTTCACTTGTTAAACCAGTCCACACACAACCCCCCGCCAAAGTCAAGACCGCGAGCGATTCTGGGTCGGGGCATGGGCCTAATATTCTAGTCCAGGTAAACAGGCGACTGTTGATATCACAACACCACAGCAGGGCCAATGGACCGCCTCAGGAACAGGTGAAAGCACCTCGTCGGTCGTTGGGATGCAATCCAGACATCAAACGAGCGCAGGGTGAACAAACAATGCGCAGCGTTTTCCCACCCACCTCCCATACCAAAGCATCAAAACGGTGTTTGTTGTTATTGTCCTCCAAGTCATTCACCCAGTCTTCGAGTCGAAGCCCCACGCAGCAACCTCAACACTACAGCAAGACATGAACAAAATCCCTAGCTGTGTCAACATCCAGCCATTCCCTCCCAGGCTACATCAGCAACCCTCCACCCAGCCGGACAGCCACTCACCCCCGTCCCTGCAAATGGAAACAGAAAAGAAATAACAGCCATGGAACCACCACAACCACCCCCATACACGCACCAGCCCCTACCCTTAGGCCTTTCGTTCTGGAGCATCAAAGCCTGGATAGACAAGGTCTCACAAACAATAAACAAACCCTGCCTCTGCGCCCTGCCGGGCTGCTACGAGACCTCGAGGCCCGACAACGACTACTGCGTTCAACGTGCGTCAGGAAGTCCCCCCCCCCCCCGAAGAAAATAGCATTGATCATTTTGTTCTCAACTGACCCTCCCGCCCCACCAAACCACAGACGCCTGCCACCTCTGCCACCAGGCCCCGTCCAGGGTGCAGCTCCAGAACGCGCAGGGCTTCTGCATCCTCTGTACGTGTTGCGGCAAGACTGATCTGATCGTGCGGTCTCCCCCTCGCACACTGCCTCTCTTTGACCCACTCTCTCTCTCTCTGTCTTCCTAGTTACTCACTCAAGCCCCAACCTTCTCAATGCCTATTGCTGATCTGTTTTTCTTCCCTCGTCTTCAGGCTACAACACCGAGGTCCGAGGACGCATAGATGCGAATACTCTGTGCCTGCCGGTCCTGGAGCCTGATCCGGGCCGGCCGCCACTTGCGAGCGGCTTTGGTTGGGGTTACTTGTGATCTATCTGGACCGATGATGGGCTCTGCCGGGGAACGCGAAGGGGTTGGGGGAGTGCTGATGAGGACTGCGCCTCCGAGGTTCTTGGGCGGGTAATTTGGACCTGCCGGTGGTTGAGCGGCGGAAGGGGAACAAACAACACACTCTACTCTCGATGGCCTAGATAGAAACTGCCTGCCTGGCTGTCCGAGCAGACCAGGCCAGACCAGGACATGAATTAAGAGCGCATGTCGCATGTCGCATTTCGCTTGTCCGGCGTCAAAAGTATTTGCAACCAACCATGTCGCCCACATCAAAAGGACGGCCGAGGGGGGTGGTCACAGGTGTGATTAAACCACCCACTCACCCTCATCCCCAGATCCCAACCAACCCCTCCCAGACCTAGAGCTCAACCTCCTCCACCTCCATCCCACACCCGACACAAGTCTTGGTGCTCACCCCAGCCTCATCGACAACCGCCCGCCCCCACTCATGCACGTGCCTCTTGACGCCCGCGCCCGCGGCGATCCCCTCGCCGAACCGCGCGTCCCCGCCCGCAAGACTCCCCGTGCCCCGCCGGAACGCGTCGGCGCGCGTCTTCTTCTTGAGGTCCAACAGCCTCCCGCGGAATTTTTCTTCCTTGCGCTTCTTCTTGGCCGCCTCGCGCCGCGCGAACTCGGCGTCGAGCGCCTCGGCCGACCCCCACTTGGTGTTGAAGGCGTAGTCCTCGACCTGGTAGCGCAGGAAGAGCATCATGTCGTGCCAGTGGGTCTTGTGCGGGTTGGGGCGCGAGAGGTGCGGGAGGAGGTCCTTGTCGCGGAGCTCGGCTGGGGGGCGTTGTCAGTAAGGGGGGGTTCCATGAGGAGAGAGAGAGAGGGAGAGAGAGAGGTCTGAGTCATTGGGAACAGGGACGATGGTGGGCTTACGATCCGTAATGAGGTAGTCCTCCCTGCACTCCGTCTTGGTCAGCAGCGAGTACTTCTCCGGAAACTTCTCCTTGCACCCGCCGCACACGCAGCACCCAAACACCTCCTCCCACGCCCAGTCGATCTCGAGGCTCCCGCACTCGCGGCACTTCTTGCGCTCGGCCTTGTCCGCGATGGCGCTCAGCCCGGGCTCGAAGGGCCCCGCCTTCTGCTTCTGCAGCTTGCGCAGGAGCTGCATGCGCTCCCACTCGGCCTCGGTCATGTGCTTGGGCCGCTGCGGCTCGTCCGGGTTGGCGCCGGGCTGTGAGGGACCACCGCCTCCGCCGCCGCCGAGGCTCTTGTTGAAGGGGTCGTCCTCGGTCGACAGGAACCCGCCCTTGGTGTCTGTCATGTTGCTGAAGTTGTAGTCGACGAACCGCGCAAACTTCCTGTTCATCGCCCGCGGGGCGCCGTCGCCGTCTCCTCCACCGCCGCTGCTGCTGCCGCTGCCGCCGACATCCTGGCGCTTCGCGGGCGACCGCGCATCGCGATTTGACTCGGGAACGTGTGATTGTGTGATGGACTCGTAGGGCCTCTTATTTCGTAGTGACCTGTTGTTCCCCTTGGCGACGACGTGGACGTCCTCGGTGTCGACGAAGCCTGACTTTGATCGTGGGACGGGCTGGTCGGTGCCGGACGCGCGGGCGGCGGCTTCGCGCTGGGAGCGGAGGTCTTTTGCGCGGAGGCGGGATTCTTCCTGTTGGGTGGGGGTGGGGGTTGTTAGAGAATTGTTTTTGGTGGTGGTAGAGGAGTGGAGTGCCGAGGAGAGATGGGAGGCAAACCAGTTTGCGGGTGGCTGCTGGGGTCGGAGGTGAGGCGATCACGGCCGACTGCGATGGTCCCTGCGGTGGCGGGGTCGAGGGGCCCACCATGGCGGGTGCGGGGGTAATTACGATTAGTATGCGAAAGTAGTGGGAGGGGAGTGGGCTGTGAAGAGCAAATCTGAGCAGACAGACGGTCAAGTGGAATTGGGTGGTGGTGGTGGTGGTGGTGGTGGTGGTGGTGGTGATGTGAAAGTGAAAGTGAATCCAGTGAAGTCGACCTGCATGCAGCCAGCCCATTAACGGTCAGCGGCCATCATTTCGATGACGGAGTTTGGGCTGTGACAAATTGGGTGGGGGACGCGGCAGGCAGGCAGCCGCGCCCGACTCGGCAAGAACGGACGGGCCACGGGTGGCGAGTTGCCCACGGCTGAAAAGAGTAAGAGGACAGACAACGGCAGGGGAGTGGTGTGGATGGAATTGAGTTGAGCCAAAAGCTGCTGCTGCTATCCACGCGTGGAACAGCTCCGATACCAGACAGATCCAGAACAGGGCTGCTCACGTACATGCATCTTGTTTTGTTTCTTCTTTTTTTTCCCCTCTGGTGTGATGTCCCGTGGTGTCGTGTCTGTCCAGAAGATTGCTCCTCCAAACTTGCACCACCCAACCACCCACCACCCACTCACCCTCCCTCGCCCAGTAAATCCCCCAGCCCAGCGTTGACCCAATCATGAGCACGTAAAGCCGTTCATTACATCAACGTCCAACAATAAACTTTTGTGTGTATGTGTGTGTCTGCGAGCCTCCTACTCCTCCTTGGCACCACCACGCCCAGCCCGCTCGGCAGCCTCGACGGCCTTCTTGTCGCTCTCGGGCGGCCCCTGCATGCCCGACATGAAGCCCGCGGCGGCCTTGAAGGGCCTCTTGAGGTCGCCCGCGGCCGGCTGGCCCAGCACGTGGATCTTGAACAGGTTGCCCTCGAAGGCCGACTTGAGCGGGATGATGCTCTGGATCAGCAGCGGGTTCGTGTACTTGAAGTAGAAGTGCATCACCACCATCATGCCCATCCCCATCAGCTGCGACCGGAACGCCTGCTTCAGCTGGCCCATGTCGTACGCGTGGATCGTCGTCGTCACCAGCTTGCCCTCCTCGGTCGAGCCCATCGGCGCCGGTTCGACGTACTTGAGCGTGGTCATGTCTGGGCCCAGGGTGTTAGTTGTAGCCAGAGATGGGGGGATGTGGTCTACAAACCCTTCTTGCCGTCGATCTTGGTCTTGATGTACAGGTAGATGCCCATGATGATCAGGTTGCTGAGCACGTACAGGCCCCGGCACGCGTTGAGCACGTTGGGGTCCTCGAACGGCACCCGCTTGGCCACCTGCATCATCCCGAGGATGATGACGATGTTGGTTCTGTATGCGACAACACAATGTCAGTGGTGCTGCTGCAGAGGAAGAAGCAAGTTGGGCGGGATGCTTGCTGTCGCGTGTCTGCGACGGACGACGACGCATCGCCAATGCTGGGATAGTTTGCGACTCACACTTGGGGACCTAGGCCGGCCATTTTGAATGATTTTGTCTAAAAGACGAGGAGACCAAGGGGGATAGACAGATACAAGTTGGCGATGGTCGACGGGAAGAATGGGAGAGGATTGTCTGTCGGTGGTGGTCAAATGTGTTGCAAGAAATGCGAAATGCGACAGCTCAGGCACCGAGTAGATGTTCTGCGGCGGCCCGGGCGAATTGGGGTCCCCGGAGTCTGGCCTGTGCGACTTTTTCGCCGCAAGAAGCCACATCAGCGTGCCGTCGGCCTGCGGTGGGTCTGCTGGTGCTACAACGGCCTGTGATTGGGCGGACCCGCAGCCTTGGCAGATCCGTCAAGCAAGCTCCAGATAGGAACATTCCCACAGGGTGGGCAAGTGGGCCAAGCAGCAGGCTGGCTGATAAGATAAGCCGTGCGCACGGACTAACAGCCAGATGTCACCATGTACCTAACAACATTGGACGGCTCAGAACATTGTGGCACGGCTTGCATCTTATCCCACTCTACCCATCAAGACAACACACCATATGGAACGCCATCTGTGCCCTGACAGAATTCTCCATGGCCACAGGGGGTGCTTTCCAACAGCTCTTCTGTGTAGTAAGGATAGAAGCCTCTCTGCCCTATATGTTCCCTTTAGCGCTGCTTGAAAAGAGACCTCCCTCAAGAGTGCTGCCAGGACTGATTTGGCCCGCCCAACAATACCCTCCGCGGCCAGGAAAGCTATGGAGGACAACTTGAACCCCTCTATACTAGGCATAAATGAACCTAGAGCAGACGCAGGCCCGTGATCGTGGTGACTTCCGAGAGATAGAGATCCTCTCAATCAGATTGTACAGGTACTGACTGCTTCATCTACACATGCTGATTGATGGGTTTTATACGCAAAGTGTCTAAATTTACCCTACCATACATTATATCCCTTCCCGTATCCCCATCTATACCATATTTTAATACATATTCGGTGTTTTGGCTTCTATTCCGCATATGTCTGAGGACATATATGCCGCCTTCATATGGTGGTAAACGTTGAAGACCCGGCACTATAAAAAGATAGCATATTAATAACTACAGTTAAAATACGATGGGTGATAGGTAATTTTTAAACTAAAAAGACAGCAGATAAAAAAACATTTAAATAAAAGAGAACGGATATTCGCAGGGCGAAAAACGGATGGTACAGGGCAACTTTTTAATTTTTTTAATTTTATAAGTAATAACTATAGATATTAATTTTTTTAAAATCTTTTAATATTTATTATTACTTAATTAATATTATATATTAAAAATAGGATTCTTAGAAATTACTACTATATTTTTAAAAATTATTTTAATAAAATAAAATTTATTTTTATAAAAGTATATAATTATAGAAATATTAAAGCTAAAATTTTATAAATAATATCTTTAAATAGCTTATTTTTTCTACTATATTATAAGGTATTTTTTCTTACTTAGAATAAAATCTGTTTTAAAGTTATAATTTAAAGTTTTATTTTTATAAAAAAGTTGCCCCATACCATCCGGTTTTTGCCCTGCGAATATCCGTTCTCAAATAAAAATACAATGTGGCTTCAGCCACATTGGTTACAAATACGGTCTAGTATTGCCAGGCTGACTTCCGGCCCCCACGTGGTACAAGCAGGACCGCAGCACCCGACCAAGATGAAAACCCCGCTTCTTCATATTGAGTTGTTCATAACCTACCCGGTTTCTCTAAATTTCTATGTGGCTCTCTTCTTCGGCAGCAACTCCGGATAGCCCACCTCGTGAGACTGTACAGGGAAATGATGGCCCAAGCCAACCCGCAAATTCTGCCTGCATAGGGAAATACTTCTCATCAAGCGAAAACCTTGGAAGACGGCGCACCTACACACCCCAAAAAGCATAGTTCAAGATGGCCGATAGTCAATATGCCAACACCAGTGACGTCAAAGTCAAGCCACGTGTCTTTCGAGTCCGGAATCTCCCAGCACATGTCGATCGGCTTTCTGCTGTCGAGCTTCTTTGCCAGTCCATTGACGGTGTGACAGCCCAAGACATACGTTTATCTTCGCTGGCCTATGATTCGTGGTCTCGGTTCGGAACCAAGACAGCTACAGCTACCATCACTATACACGTGGAGGTACCAGGCCTCGATTCTAGGCTTGTATGTGGTGAATGCACTATTTCAGTAACAGGGCTTTCAAAGCCTTTGATTATCGATCACCACTTCCAAGGCATAACGCCGCTGAATCACGTGCCCGAAGGTGAACATAAGTTTGAGTAAGTGGCTTACCAGCTTCCGTGCATCTCAGTCGTTACTCATTACCCAGGCACTAACAAATCTTGTGTTTTTGTAAGTTGTCTTGTCATATCAGGACTTGCTAGCCATCCCTTTGGCTCGTGGCAGACCCACGGCCACGATAAATCGTTCATGTGGATCAGGGACGAGCTGCTGCAGAGGTTACCAGGCGTACGCTTCCTGGTTTATGGATACGATACAACGCTTGGCGACAGCAAGTCGTTTCAACTGATTCCAGACTTAGCCGTCTCACTGGTTGACACTGTGAAATCAATCGGCTGGTCCACACCTTCGGCGAAACCCGTACTCTTTCTCGCTCATAGCCTGGGTGGCGTCGTTCTGAAGCAGGTGCTGGTGATTCTTGCTGGGGGTGGGAGTGACGAGTGGTCAATTCTGACGAAGACGAAGGGTGCTATCTTCTTTGGTGTTCCAAGCCAAGGCATGAGTATCCCGGATATCTTCGAAATGTTGGGAGATCAGCCAAACAAGGCTCTCGTCAAAGACCTCTCTGACCAGTCAAACTTCCTTCCTAGACTGGATGAGCAGTTTGGAAACATATCTTATCTTCGGAGACTTCAATTCTTCTGGGCCTACGAGACAAAGGTGACGCCAATCGTAGAAGTAAGCCACTTTTGAAACATTCCCTATGAATCTACAAAGCGCCAAAGCAAATCTGATCAAACTACAGAAGGACTTCGCTACCGGGAGATTTTCCAGAACAGGCCCTGGAACGGTCATGGTGTCGAGAGAGTCCGCAACCAGGCATCTCTGTCGCTCGCAGCCGTCATTGACCGTTCAGATAGACGAGAACCACTCTGACATGGTGAAGTTCGGTATAGGGAGTAAATATATTGGGATAATTGCGAGCAAATTAGGGACTATCTGCGCGATGCCTGAACACACAACCGCGCAGTTTCCGTCGGAACCGAGTCGGAAGCTCGATGAAAATGCTCTTGCGGGTCCTACAGCGACGTCGAAACGAATGCAGAATCCACCAGGCAAACTTCAATCCGAGAGAAAACCAATTTCACAACCAGAATCGAAGATACCGGGATTTTGGTCTCATAATGACATCGTGATGTCATTTAAGGCCCCGGAACGAGATCGTCGGCTGGAGCAGATCAACCAGAAGGTAGGAGACACGTTCAACTGGGCTTACGACGATTCATCCACCGGCCTCAGCCAATGGCTTCGAGCAGGAACTGGCATATTCTGGATCCACGGAAAGCCAGGGAGTGGCAAGAGTACCCTGATGAAGTATCTTTTCCAGGATCCGCGCACAGAAGAACTTCTCCGAGCTGGCAGCTGGCAGTCAAGGGCACATTTGACAACAGCGAGCTTTTTCTTTCACCACCGAGGAACTGACATACAGAAGTCCTTCGAGGGTCTTCTGAGAAGCCTATTGAGTCAAATCTTGGAACAGCATGAATCTCTCTCGCCACTCCTGCATTCGATTCTCGAGGATCAGTATCGATCTTTAATTGCCTCTGAGGGCCTTGCCAGCTTCGAGGAGGACGTTTGGGACCTTTTGGGTCGCTTTGGAGTTTCTATTTCTTCCGAAGTCATCCAAATGGTTGAAGAAGTTGTTGTTGTGCAAGTGAGAATGACCGAGAATCGACGACTCGGGGCACACCTGATGTCCAGGTTCAGAGACATCGGGGTCAACATGGATTCAACTTTTGAGGGCCAACCTTTGGAAGACTATGAGATAATGTCGAGGGCCGCTACCAGTCCAGGACAATACCAGCGTCAAGTGGCAAAATCTCAGTCATCTGACCCAGAGAGTTGGGAAGCGGCGCTGGGAAACACTTTGAAGCGCCATTATCGACGACAAACACTAAAGGCTGAGATGTTGTGCTCCAGAGCCAGCCTAGAGGAGTGTTTTCGTCGATTAATCGGGCAATCTTTATTCAAGATGGACCTCTTCCTCTTTTTGGATGCTTTGGATGAGTACGGTGGGAGGCCCGAGTTCATCGCTTCGTTCCTGCAAGATATTGTCCAACAGACAGCCGAACCCGGCAAGCCATCATTGACCAGTGTACGAATAATTTTCTCCAGTCGGCCTTGGAAAGTAATTCACGACGAGTTTGCGGCATGCCCAGGATTTCAAATTCACGACTACACTGGGAACGACATCTTCGAGTTTTGTGTTGCGAATATTCCTCCCGAACACACCGCAAAGTCCTTATTAGCCCCCTTCGCGACGGAAATTGTTCGCAGGGCCCGCGGCGTGTTTCTTTGGGTCGAGCTGGTTATGCGGGACCTCACTAAGATAGTGCTACGCGGACATCAGCTGCAAGGTCCCGAAGAATTGGGATTGGAGTTACGCAAGACCCTAGACTCAATTCCGGATGAGCTGGATGACTACTATCACCTTATCCTGCAGCGTATCCCGCTTGGTAACCGTTGGGACAGCTACGTTGTCCTGGAGACGATTTGCCGTTCTGCCCAAGAGGTAGAAACTGGGACAATGCTCGAAATTCTGAAGTGTTCGTCCGCCAAATCATTCGCAGACGCGAAGCACAAACTCAGCCAGATCTCACACATGGCTTCGGACGGCTCAAGGCTGAAACGGGGCAAGCTTTCCATTGAAACCGTGTCGGGCGGCCTCGTGGAAATCGGTGGTCATTCCAGCAGAGGGGAGCCCACATGGCAGTTCATGCACCAAACCGTAAAACAGTTTGTCGAAGGTCCCCAGTTGAAACTTCGGCTTCTCGGAAACACTATCGGCGCGTTTTCCACTGAGAATGGGCATTACTTCATCGCGAAGCATCGTTTTGTCCACGGTGATTTCGACGAACGTTTCTTCCGTCATGCAAGAAAGGCAGAGGTCACCACGGGCTACAGTCAGTACGACTTTTTCAGTACAGCACCATCAGACCACTACTCTACTGCCATGGTCGGAATGGGCGAAGCAGGCCAAGAAATCCCTGGTTTCCAGCAAAAAGCTCTCGTCAGGTCCTTGAAGTCGGGTGGAGCAGCTGCGTATTACCAGGGCTCGCCTGTGGAGCGAGATCTTTACCATCCGTCATCCATGATCGAGCTGGCAGTTCTTGCTGGCCTGCAACTCTGCATCCGCGATTCTTGCGAGGCAAATCCATCGTGCATTCGAGACAGTTCAGTCAACCTCCTAGAGATCTGGAATGAAGCGGCGATAGCAAGTAAGCGTCGAGCTGACATTGAAAGGAACATCAACATAGCGGAGCTCTTGGTGGCGAAAGGCCTTTCCATCAGTTTGGAGGCAGATCTGCTTCGTCAGGCTAGACCGAAGTTGATTCTAGCGCTACTTGCCCGAGGCTTCCTTCCCACCAACCTAGACACTGATGGGGAGACGCCCTTGGACTTTGTTTTAAGGTCGGAAGATCCGCGGCTGGATTTGGAGGAAAAGTATGACATCGTATCCCAACTGGTCTGCAAAGGCGGTCTATTACGGTCAACACCACGATGGCTATGGGCGGACTTCGAAACCATGTGTGCATCTGAACATCTTGATACGACACTCTTTCGGCAGGCTGGGTTCCCACTCTGGTATTCAGACACAGAACCCGCAAGCGAGAACAAATACTTGCGATCTCATTTGTCTCGATCAGACACAGAACCCGCAAGCAAGAACAAATACTTGCGATCTCATTTGTCTCGATTTTTACCATCGTGGAAGAAGAAGACCACACATGCATAACACAGATAGACCCAAAGCGTACGTATTCTTAGTAACTAGTGGCAAAACTATCCGGAGATTACCAAGAGTGCATTGCTTCAATGACGTGTATACGGAGCTGCACACCTTGGAAAGATACCAAATGAACTATGCTACCAAGAATGCAGTGTCAAACAGCGGGCACGAGCATATCACATGGATAAAAGTAAAGTTAAATTTGCAGAACAAGACCTAGAAGCCGATTGAATACAGCCAAGTACTAGTATTCGCCTTGGCCTTTATTTTGTAAATAGAACACCTTGCCAGTATAGAGTGGTCTATTATAATCTTGATTTCTGTCTCGTACAGTCTTGAAGGTAGGGCCTCGATGCTTGTTGAAGACCATGCCAACTGACTTGACGGTACCTCGGAAGTCTGAAAGACAGTGTACCAGAATCATTGTGAACCCTGCTCATCATAGCTTGAAGAGAAAGTACTTATACCCTAGGTGGGAGATGGCCATACTACATATATGTACGGCGTCTTCTGTGTAGGTTGCTTGACTGCTAGGTAACTACAGCGTGCAGTCGATGCCCATCCCCACCAGCTAATTAGATGCTATCTGCAGAAGTTGCGCGGCCTCCAAACAACCCTAGTGAAAGCACCCCTCGTTCTACCTAGTTATCCCTCAGGAAGGCCTAATCAACCCTCGGGTCAATACTCTGTGGAGAAAGCAGCCAGGAAACCTCATACCCTAAGGTAGAATGGGCCTGAAAATGTTGCATCAAGTCAACGGCTCCGACTAAGCCGGGTGCTAGTCTTTTGCGAGTCTTGCCCAAAATAGTAGCTCAGATCCCCGCGGATAACGATGCAAGCATATGGCTGACAGTCTGAGTTCCGACGACGGCTTTGGCTCTCTTACTCAGCGAATTCAGGCAGAAGAGCATGTCCCAAACCCTCTGCTTCATGTCTTCAAGCCACCACAATTTGTATGCCAGCGCAGTCAGTGAGACAGACGATGTGCTACACGCCTTTAATTAGACCCTCACAGAGTTTGCCGGCAGATTTAAAGAACTTACCACAACTATCTAGATCTTATTGTATATGTTTATCAAGAACACTAGAATATTCATACTATACACATAATATTCAATACTAGTAGGCACGGTGCTTATAGCCTAGGGTACTCCTAGGTTACTCTATATATATAGTTTCACTTCTATTCTATATATATTTAAGAATATATATAGTTTTTACTTCTATTTTATATATATTTAAGGATATATATAGCGCCTTTATATAGTAGTAAGTATTTAAGACCTAGCGCTTAGAAAGAATATAATATTAATAATAATAGTTATAATATAATAAGTATTTATAACCTTAACCTTATAATATATAAATAAAGTTAAAAGGTACTATCTTAATAATAATATTAATATTATAAAGAAATTATATAATAAGATTAAATTTAAAAATAGTTATTATATAAATAAATTATATTAAAGGAAGCTTAATTAAAAATTATCTCTTTAAATATATATATATATATATATATATATATATATATATATATACTTTATAATAAGATCTTTATTAAGTAAGTTTATAAAGTTAATATTATAGTCTTTATTTAAATATATAATTACTAATTTTAAAAAATTTAAGATAAAGAAATAATTTATAATATATTACCCTTAAAATTTTATAATAAAGTATTAGAATTTCTAAAAGAGTTTTAAAAGTAATTTATAAGATAAAAAGAGTATAATAAGTTTATCCTCCTTTAAGTTTATATTTTATTATTAATAACTATTAACTCTTTAATAGTATAAAAATATAATAGAAATAAAGGAAAAATAGATTTAAAGTTCCTCTTTAAAGAACTATAAAAATATATATAAAGTTATTAAAGATTTTATATATAAACTTTAGACTATTAGAAAAGAAATAAATAGTTATATAGTATAAAGGAAAAATATAATGTAGTTAAAGTTTTAAGAATATATATAATACCTTTATATAATAATAAATACTTAAAACTTAATATTTAAAAATATAATATTATTAATAATATTTTTATATATATTTTATAATAAAACTTTTATTAAATAAATTAATATTATTATTTTATTTAATTATATAATTATTAATTTTAAAAGAATTTAAAATAAAAAAATAATTTATAAACTATTTATTTATTTTAAATTTACTACTAAGTTAAAAATAAATAATTAAAAACTTAAAAGAATAAAATATAATATATCTTTTAAAGATTAATTTAATTAAGTTTATTATATAAAACTTTTATAATAACCTTATAATTTATATTTATAATACTATTTATTATAAAAGATACCTTTTATATTAATATATTAAACTATACTTAATTAATTTAAATTAACACTATTAACTTATTAAAAATTAAAGTTATTATAAGCTATAAGCTAATTTTAACACTATTAAATACTATATATAAAGTCGTTATATAATTTAAATAACTTAATTAAAATAAATAAAAATAAAGCTACTATTCCTTTAATTAAAGTTTTAACTCTACTTTATAAATAAATATTTATTAAGTAAAACTACTTAAAAATAATTACTTAATTAAATTAAAAATAATTAGATAAAGTGACTATACTTTATTATTACTTTAAGTTTATAGTTCTAATAACTTTATTATAAATAAAAAAAAATAACTATTAATAATTAAATCTATAATTATATAGAAATAAAGCTTTATTTTAAAAGGATTTATTATTATTTAAAATAGTTAATATATTTTTAAAAAACTAAAAATTATAAACTTAATTTAAAGTAAATTAAAATTTATAGAAATCTTAAACTTAAACTTAAAATATTTAAACTTTTAACTTTATTAAAAAATATAAAATAAGTTTAAAAAAGTTTAAATAAAATAAAATTAAATTATAATATAATAAAATAATTAAATAAAAATTAATTAAAAATTATAATTATTAAAGCTATAAGTTAAATATTTATAAAACTAACTAATAGATTTATATACTTTATTTATTTTATTAATTTAAGTAGCTTTTATACCTCTTATAATATAAAATTATCTACCTTCTTTATACTATTCCTTAAATAACTTTAATATAACGGTATAGGCTTATAAACTACTAGAATAACTAATTATTAAATTAATTATTATAATTTTTTAATTAAGTAGTCTAATTTATTAATAGTAATTAAATACTAACCGTCTTAATAACTAATTCTAAGGTTATAAGTTTAAGCCTCTATAATTTAAAAATCTTAGATTAAGTAGGGGGATTAATTTAAAGAGTACTTACTAAATAGTAACTTAGGGTAGGTTATATTTATAAAGAATTATTTAGTTATAATACTATAACGGTCCGTTTAAAAGACTTAATTAAACTAATAGGAACTAAACTACACTAAGCTTCTATCCTATTTAAAATTTTTAGGCCTTTTATTTACTATATATTAATTTAATAATAAGTAATTAAGCTACTTTTAGTTAAGTATAATTTAATATTTTATTATCTTAAAATTACTTCCTTATTTAAGTAATCCTAATAGGTTTTAATAAACTTTAAATAGAAGATATAATAATATAAGCTTATAGATTATTAGAATAATTAATTATTAAATTAATTATTATAGTATTTTAATTAAATAGTTTAATTTCTTAGTAATAATTAAGTACTAGCTATTTTATTTAGTTTTAAATTAATAATTCTTTATATATAATTTAAGCTTTCTTTTACTATAAGTTATAAAGATTATTTTAATAATTATAAATTTCTTAACTTTATATTTAAAAGGAAAGAAATAATTTATAATATATTATTTTTAATACTTTTATAATAAAATATTAAAACTTTTAAAAAAGTTTTAAAATAATTTATAAAAGATAAAGAAAACGTATAATAAATTTATTCTTCTTTAAGTTTATATTTTTATTATTAATAATTATTAACTTTTTAATAATATAGAAAAATATATTTAAAATAAAGGAAAGAAAAGATTTAAAGTTCCTTTATAAGAGGATTATAAGGATATATATAAAGTTATTAAAGACTTTATATATAAGTTTTAAAGGGACGAAATAAGTAGTTATATAGTGTAAAGGAAAAATATAGTGTGGCTGAAGCCTTGCTCTATATGTAACGTGTGAAACCGGGAAAACCAGCCCCAAAGAAGCTACGAACAAACATGTTCCTGGCGATGGCACTGCTGGCCACTGACAATTAGACGTCCACGATACACTTGGGTCATCAAAGGAAGGTAACTTACAGCGAGATCCCCACAAATGTATATGTCAACATCTGATCTGGCCAAGCGACTGCCGAATCGGACGTCCATGCCGCCCAGACCAACCCTCAGACAAAGGTCATGCCACTAAGAATCATCGGCGACAGACGGCGCTCAGGAATCACTGTTACCCTTGTCTCTACCGCGATCATTGGCACTGCTGTGGTGATCGGTAACGTTAACCTTGAGAACCATGGCAAGCTGATGATGATCGATGGATGTCTCAACATGACCGCATTGTAACGTTGATGCGACCTGGCTGAAAAGTCAGTGGCTTGAACTCTTGCTCGTGTCACACAAGACTCCGATTGCGACTTTTTACCTTGATTGCAATATCTTGTACGTACATTCTATGGGTTGCGGCCCAGTTGCGTGAATCCAAGACAGGTTCATTCGTGAATTTGCAGAATCTTGTCCAGAGGTGTCATGGACAGTGGAACATGCACTGACGGTCTTCACCTTCTCGACACTAGGTCAACCAGACTCGGGAAGCACCTACGTAACTTCAAAATTATCGGGTTCTGCAACAGTGAATATGTCTCACATTCATCAGTATTGCCTCCTCCTCCGCAGATCAACACACCTAAAGGTCAACGGTGAGTAGCCTCAAGCGATCAGCCAGTGCTGACTGCATGGGCATGAAAGCCATTGCGCTACCATTGCATGCCCCTTCAGTGCTACCCTAGGCCTCTTCTTCAGTCGCACCAACATATTGATGCAAACCAATAACGGAAGCACACGAACTGAACAGACAAGATTACAGGCAAGGCGGTGTAGCTAGCATTTGGGGCCCGAGGCTCGGAACATGGGACCAGTCCTGGCGTGGTGGATGACGACTGTGGTGCCTATAGGGGAGAGGACCGAGCTGCCGGGACGCCGTATTGGAGCCTATCTAGTAGCATCGATTAATACCTAATTTTGTGTTCATCTGCGGCCAAGGGTGGTGAATAGTCGAACCACCGGCCAGCAGACAGAATGACGACCGCGAGGCGAAATTGCGACTGCTCCTGCGATCGATCAACATGAGGCTGGCAGTGTCTTTGCCCCAACCACGCTTCCGATTCCGGTATGCCGCGAAGAAAACAGATGATCAAGCTGACTGGTAGGACGAGACAAGACTGCTCACGGTCTGCATCGTCGTCGATCCTCTGCAATATACGGTCGGTCGTGACACCTCGTCCGCGACCTCTCCATCCTCCAGAGGTTCGTTCGTGAAGAGCGAAAGAGCGAGCGTGCGTGCTCACCTCCACGGCCAGAAACCCTCAAGGTATAAGTATCCAGGAAAAGTCCAGACGGGATTTCCAACTGACCATCCGCAACCCGCCTTCTTATCCACCAAACCTGGGGTTAGAATTACTCACTGCTCGTTCTTCACCAAACCACCACTGCCAAACCCTTCCTCACCAACCAACAACAACCACAACAAAAATGCGTTCCCTCATCGCCATCACCGCCGTCCTGTCCGCCCTCGTGACAATGGCAGACGCCACCCACGTTGTGTGCCAGGGCGGCCTGTCCGACACCAACATCTGCCAGGACACGTACTGCCACTGCGACAACTTCATCCTGACCTGCGAGGCGGGGACCACATGCGCGTCGACCTGTCTGTGCGCTGCTTAGTGGCTGATGTACGCTGCTGTCCTGTATGTATGCATTCTTTCTCTTCCTTTCTCTCCACGTATCCACACACGGATGCTGAGATTCATTGGATCCTATCTACTTACTTGCTGCTTACCGCAATGCTGATTCCGTCCACTACCTAGTCACAGTGACCATGATCAGCCGACGTTGCGGGAACTCAGGAGTTGGGGGGGGGGGGGACGAGGGTATGGGAATAGAACATGCGAATGGCCCTCAGGAACTGACTGGTACTTAGTTTAGTGCAGTTTGGAAATTAAAATCGCGTTCAGCTGGAGAGCGCTTCCCCCACCTCCTGTGCCAAATCCATCTAAGTGACAAAACTGGTCAGTGGCATGCCCGACGGATCCGGTTGGAGACTGGGTGATACAAGCTGTCTTCAACAGACGGTGGCAGGCCGGATGGGAAAGTGCCACGAATCATCTTCAACAGAGCCCGTGTCACCTGTCACTTAGTCACCATGCAATAGACGAAAGAAAAGAAACAGAGAGAACGAAAACAGCCCATCGCTTGCATAAATCTACTCTTTTCATCCAAAGCGACCTAGTCAAGCGAAAGATTTGTGTCGTAGTTTGTCTGTAGTGCCGTGTATCTGCCTGCGCAATTATCAATCACACTTAGTACAGTGCCAGTGACGGTGAAGTCAACCCAGACTGAGCGTCACGGCCGGAACCTTGTGGAGCATAATCACCGCAGAGCTGATTTATATATCAAGATCCAGATATAGTAGGCACTGCGCAAGGAAGTAGCACAGACACGCGCGTCGAAGGCCCGTTGTCCAACACCACCAGGCTGGACAGTCACCTCAGGACAAGCCACGATGATGACCGGGCCAGTGGGCAGCCCAACCACACCACCGTACAGCCGACATGTCTCAGGTGAACGAGTTACACAGCATGGGGTGGGAGGTTTCCTGTCCTCCGGGCCTGTTCGTTCGACTGGAGAGAGCCGGATGGTATAGGCGGCGGTGGGCTGGCTGCCAAGGCTCGTTCGTAGAAACTATGCTCTCAATTCTTGTTCTTTATTTTTTTTTTTGATCAGCGTTTCTTTTCATACTATTATTCCTGTTGACCCTCCCGCCATGCCATGCCTTCTCCCACGCGGGCCCCGAACGATGGCTCGGGATCCACTCGCCGCCATCAAGACGGTCGCGGCAGCCATCACGACGAGACAGTCAGCCGCGCTATGGTCAGTCACCCCCCTCGCCATAATTCCCAAGCGCCGCGGGAAGAGAGGCGGGCATAGCTGAGTCAGGGGCCGTAGCATCTTCGTCCTGGGGCTTCTCGTCACCTCGTGTAGGCGCCCCACGAGCGCCTCTTTGGGTGAGCCCGGCGCAGCCCAACGCCCTCCCTGTTTGTTCGTCGTGCTGACACTGTTACTGTTGATACTTACAGAACACGCAGTCATGCTGTCCGCATCGGCTTTGCTGTGGGGCGGCATCGGTATTCTTGTATATACGAGACGAGAATCTGGACGGTGGGCTCCGGGCGGGCGATACCTGCGAGGAATCACACGGAGCCGGACGGGCGGCGAGGTATTTGGGGCCCTGGCGGTGCCGCTGGCGCTGGTCTGCAGGGCCTTTCTCTTTCGATTTTCCCTCTGGTGGGCTCAGTGCACCGCGCAGGGAGGCCTGGTAAGCATTTGACAAACCCCAGCCAGGGAAAGATGCGAAAGGCTGCCCCAGGTGTCTGTGGAAGACGAAATCATGGTGTGGACAGATGCACAGAGCACGTTACTGAACCCCGGAGAACTAGATTTCATTCCTCCCTGCGGCAATTGTCCTCGCCGAGTGGGCATGGCCCAGAGACCATGACCAAGACCACACGCCGGCCGCGTCCCCCGACGGGGTGCCCGCCAGCCCGCCCCAGGGGCCGTGGTCTCACCTCACCAGGATCACCGTGAAGCACGGGAGGACCAGACAGCAGTTTCCCATCCGCCACCTCGGCCTCGCCCTCGCCTGGGCCGTGCTGGCAGACCGCCTCGTCGCCCCCGCCGCGCACACGAGTACTACCGGGCTGGTCTGTCCGGCGGGCACGACACGGCCCGCGGCGGGCCTCGCGCAGCTCCTGGTCAGGGCCGTTGATGCCGGTGCGCTGTTCCTCGCCGGCCGGTGGCGGGGGGGAGGGAGATGCCACCAGGTTGGAAAGGAGCCTGGGCCTGGGCCGGTGCCGAGAGTGGACGGGGGCCACCGGCTCGCCCTGGACTGCTTCGTGGCAGCGGTGGCTATGCTGTCCCTCCTGGCGGCCACCTCGCCGTTGCTGACATCGAGCCTGCGGGAGATGTCAGCAGCCCCGGCGGTACGAAGCCTCGTCGTCAAGGACCAGGCCCTGGACAGCCTCCTGGCCGCGGGCGTAATTCTCTCGGGATTATACCTCCTTGCCCACATATCCCCAGCGACACTGGCCCTCGTGGGCGCAGCCGCGCTGACAGCAACACACCCCAACCTCGAGTCCACCACCGGCTACGGCGCGCCGCGTCCCATCCCAACACAGGCAGTCGTCCTGGGCGCCCTCGCCGTGGCCACCCAGGCCCTCCTCTCCCAGACGACGGCCCGCCTCGACACCGAGGCATCCAAGCTCCCACCGACGGACAAACCACACCACAGGCGGCGCCTGGCGGCGTGCCTCGGCCTCCTCACCCTCCTGCTGGCGGCCACCTGCGCCCGCGGCGCCCTCTCGCAGCCGCGGGACGCCGCCCACGCCATCCAGGCCGCCCAGCAGGCATCGGACGACTGGGTGCGGCGCGCGGGGGCGAGCCAGGACGCCAGGGAGGCGGCGGCCGCGTACCGGGGGCGCTACGGGCGGGCGCCGCCGCCCAACTTCGACAGGTGGGTGGCGTTTGCGCGGGCGCGCGGGTCGCCCGTGCTCGACGTCTTCGACCAGATCGAGGGGGACCTGGCGCCGTTCCGGGCGCTGGCGCCGGCGGAGCTGAGGGCGCGGACGGGCGAGGTGCTCGCGGCGAGGGGCGGGCTCGGGATAGGGGCCATCCGGATCCGGGGCGGTGGTGGCAGTGAGCATACTGGCAGGGTCGAGCTGGGCCCCGGGTCGCCGCCGACGCACTTCTGGATGCTGGAGGCGTGGAGGGACATGATCGGGCCGTTCGCCGCGGACCTCCCTGATATGGACCTTGCCTTTAACCTGGACGACGAGTGCCGGGTTGCGGTTCCTCGGGATAGTCTTGGGCGGGTGCTCCGGGAGGAGGAGGTGGAGGAGGAGGGTGCTGATATCATACTCGGACCGGACGAGCAGCAGCAGCAGAAGTCCTTACGCGGGTGGTTCAGCAAGGCGGCCTCCCCGCCGTGGGACGACAAGTCCTTCGCCTCCCCCGGCCACGCCACCCCTTCATATTTCACCACCAAGAACCCCAAGCACGGGATATACGACGAGTTCATCACCCCGGCCTGCCCGCCCGGCTCGGCCGCGCTGCGGCACCGGTGGCCCGACGCGACCCGCGCCATGCCCATCGCCCGCGGCGGCATCATCACCGCCACGCCGGACCTGTGCGCCCGCCCGGACCTGGCCCGGCTGTCCGGGTTCCTGGCGTCCCCCGGGGGAGGCAGCGGCAACAGCGGGCCTGCCATCACGCGGCGCCTCGTCCCCGTGTTCAGCCAGGCGCGGGCGGCAGGCGGCGGATTTATTGATATCCTGGTACCGAGCCCGTGGCACTTTGCGGACAAGGTCGGCGTGGAGGCCGGGAGGGACGTGGCGTGGGCGAACAAGAGCGATGTTGTGTTCTGGCGCGGGAGTAGCTCGGACGGCTGGGCCGAGGGGAGCAAGTGGCCTGGGTTCCTGAGGGCGAGGCTGGTGAACCTGGCCAAGGGATTGCCGTCGTCGTCGTCGTCATCATCATCATTATCTGACGCCCCAGCCGTCGACGTCGCCTTCTCGGGCAGCTTCACCCGCTGCTCGCCCTCCGCGTGCCGGAGCATGGCTTCCACCTTCTACGGCCCCAGCCCCTTGTCCTCCTCCTCCCCCGACCATCCCGAGGGCGCCCCCAGGACGGACTTCCAGGAGCACTGGGCCCACCGGCACCTGGTCGACGCCGACGGGACGGGCTTCTCGGGGCGGTTCCTGGCCTTCCTGCAGAGCAGGAGCACCGCGTACCGGGCGACCGTCTTCCGCACGTGGATGGACGAGCGGGTCCACCCGTGGAGGCACTTTGTGCCGCTGGACGCGAGCCTCAGCGGGCTGTGGGAGGTTGTGCGGTTTGCCAGTCGGGAGTTTGTGGTGAGAAAGGAGAACGGGGAGGAAGATGGGGGGTACGATGACGGGGAGGGGGTTCCTCTTGCACACGACATCGCCACGCACGGACACGAGTGGGCGGCCAGGGCGCTGAGGAAGGAGGACATGCAGATTTATATGTTCCGGCTGCTGCTTGAGTGGGGCAGGCTGGTTGATGACAGGCGCGATGAGCTGGGCTATGTGCCGTAGATGGTGTTGTATTTAAATGTTGCATGGTGATGAGTGTATGACGGCTTTGTTGAGTGTAGGTGCCCAGGTGTGTGTTTGGGGGGCATATAAGAGTACCAGTTTGGGAGTTGGGAGGGAGTTAACTTGGCAAACGTTCCTTCTTCAGGCGAGACTTAATTGCTGGGATGAGGAGCAGGGTTTTACCCTGAACCATCAACCAACGTCCCTCAGGCTGATTTTCTCACCTCCTTCCAACCATCACCAACTTCCTATAGAGGCGTATAAGTCAACCTCAACACAGTAAACATCACCATAAACAATGGACCTCCCAAAGCTCAACCCCACCCCAACCCGCCACCCAGACCTCTGCCTAAGCATCTCCACAACCCTCCTCCAGACCCTCAGCGAAATCCTCACCACCACAGACGGCGGCCCAGACACCACAGGCAACAACCTCATCCTCTCGGTCGGCAGCGGCAGCGGCCTCCTGGAGGCCCACCTGCAGGACCACATCGCCCCCCCGCCCTCCAGGTCCTCCCCACCCGGGCCCACCTGCCCCTGCCCCTTCACGGTAAAAGGCATCGAGGTGCGCGCCCCCACGCCCGTGAACAGGTACCTCCCCGCCCCGCAGGCGCCCACCGTCCGCGGCACGTGGGAGGTTCACCCGTCCGCCGGCGCCGCCGACACGCTCATGTTCGTGTACCCCCGGGACCCGGGGCTGGTGGGCCGGTACCTGGGGGCGGCGGGGCAGGGGGGTGTGCGGGTCGTGCTGTGGCTCGGCCCGCGGGCGGACTGGAGCGTGTTTGGGGGGTGTTTCGGTGGTGTGGAGGGGTTTGGGGAGGTTGAGGTTGTCGAGGGGGCGAGGGCGGGCGTCGCTGAGTTTGAGATGGTTGCTGTTCTGCGGCGGCGGGGGAGGGGGTGATTGTCGTTGGGTGTGTGCGGTGTTACTTATTGTGTGGGTCTTGGGATGCGATGGGCGGAGGTTCTTGTTTGCCATGCATTGTCATGGTCATGACCAGACCACTCTGGCTGGCACGTCGAGGAGGATGTCATCTGGGCTGGGCTGCAGTGACGAGTACCGGTAAATGGTATCCGGATCGAGCCACCTTGAGCCATCATCCACAGAGGGTGCGTCATCGCCAATGATGTCTCATTGCCAGAACTGTGTTCTGTAGTGGGAGCTCTGATACTGTCGAAGACGGCCGACTCATGATGCTGGTTGGATGCTCCCGCCATATTGCTGGTGTCCCCGGCTCATCCCTCACGTCGCCCTCCGTCATATTATGACGGATGAGAGCATCTGGGTCGTAGACCTGCATAAGATACTCGAAGATGCATCTGAGGTCTCCTTCAACGACTTTCAGGAAGTCGAGGACTTATAAGAAGACATCGGTCTTTCGATCAAGGCCATCGCGGTTATCAACAATATAGTACAGAGCAGCCGTAATCACATAGTTCTGCAAGCTTACCTTGGTTGTGTTTCAGAATGGATTTTTTGAAGCGCTTCCAAGGTCTATCCACCCTTTCTGAAACCACATGACTGCCCAGGTAAATGGTCGATGGATGATGCGAGCCACCCAATGATTCACTGACGACGTTTTGTTCCGGCCAGCATCATGTACCAACTTGGCTGTACTTGGTGGGCTCGCAGGTGAGAATTACATGCCGCAAAACGGATTAGAAATCCTGACAGCTACACCTTATGAGGAACGTGTGCTTGATTGTATTGCCACCTGGGCATGACAAACACAGAGGATTCCACGAGCCCAGTCAGTACCAGGAGCATCACCAAGGGGCGGTTTCGTTTCTAATCCCCATAAACATGAAATTAATGCGGCGCCTTCATACAGTTGTAAACCCTCAAGACCCAGTGTTTTAAAGGTGCAGTGCCAATAATAAGAGCACAGAGACAATACAGTACGTTTGTAGGCACGTGGCCTAGGGGAGCATCACTATCACCCCCGGGCCTAAGGACCACAGCCGCTAATTCATTTCAACAATGCAGGGTCCTCTTGGGCCCAATGTAACATTAGAAGTTCTTCAAACTTTTCTGGAAGACATTGCAAGCATGTCCTAACATGTCACAGCGAGGCCCGTCCCGTCAGCCCTGGCTGTCAGCAGGGCTCACGAAGCGTCAGCGCCACGGTCAGTCCCTGTCAGCCTCAAGTCAGCCTCACTGGCCGGAACACAACTGCAGTCCGCTTTTCCTCAAAAGTATGCATGGCTCACTCCCGATTGCATGACCAAGAGGGGCAAATATTGCGCCTGTAAAAATTATGTGTAAATATTTGTGCTGCCCCATGCATCCACCCAGTCAGTCCCCGCCGTCGTTGCTGCCCGCCTGGGCTTATTTCCTTCCAACATTTGATGACGGCGACGTGCAGCGCAGCCTGCAAGACACGGAATAATTCTGAGTGAACATGGGCCCAGAGCGTTGGACACCCTAGCTTTAATAACACTAGCCTGCACGCATGCACGCACAACCCCGATTGTCGACACCGTCGGGCCACAAAGCCCCAATGCAGCTAGTAGCCCCTTTGGGCCATCACATGTTAGACTCAGCTCAACAAAATGTGCCCCAGCTTCAGGAGAGGGACGCAGCTGGGCCGGGCACCCGGGGCCCGGAGGTCAACACTGCGTTGTGGATGTTGACGTGTATATCGGCTCTCTTTTTGAGCCTGCGGCTGTACTGCAAGTCGTACAGACACAAGGACCTTTGGTGGGACGACTGGATATTAATACTGTCATGGGTAAGAGACCTGTAGTTGAATTTTGAAGTCTACGTGCCGGTTGCTAATAACCACAATTGTAGATCCTCCTGCTTGCAAACTCCATCACCATGACTCTCAGTGTCAGCCTCGGCTTCGGTATGCATCTATTAGAAATTGAATTTGACAACCGGGAGAAATTATTGCTCCTCGGCTCCCTGAGCACAACCTTTAGCACCCTATCAGCCGTGTGGTCGAAATCATCCTTCGGCCTGACCCTGCTCAGGCTGACACAGGCCGGCTACGAGAAGACGCGGGCGCTCGTCTGGGTGATCATGGTCTCGATGAACATCCTCATGTCCTGTGACGCGCTCTACTCGTGGGTCGAGTGCCAGCCCTCCCGCAGGCATTGGGAGATATTCACCGACGGGACCTGCTGGAGCCCCGACATCGCCGTCAGGTTCGGCATCGCCGCCGGCGCGTACTCGGGCTGCATGGACGTCGTCATGGCCGTCCTGCCCTGGAGGATCATCTGGGAGACCAGGATGGAGCGCAGGGAGAAGATTGGGGTGCTGGTGGCCATGAGCATGGGGTTGTGTGCTGGCGCGGCGGCTTTTGCCAAGTGCTCGCAGATACCGCAGATCTCGCTGTTTGATGAGACTTGTATGTCGAGACCCTCGTGGTGTGGAGAACTACCTGCTGATATTATTATCCCCAGACACAGGTGCCAGTCTTGTCATTTTAGGGGCGGCTGAGCCGGCCGTCACCATCGTCGGCGCTTCCATCCCGGCGCTCCGGGTGCTCCTGACCGATTTCAAACGTTTTACACAGCGGCGGCTGTCTGACCAATCTGAATCACAAGGGTCAAACTTTGACTTTTGGGATGACACTTCGGGGCAGAGACGCTGGTCTCTGTTCAGATGGAATGGCTTCGGGGGCTCAGATTCCGCAAAGCCCTCGAACATGACGGGCACGACGTCCACCACAATAACGAGCTGTGCCGACCCACTGGCACTGCCTCTTCCGGCCCCGATGGGCAACGCCGCCCGTCACTGGAAAACCGACACGGCAGGGCTCTCTCCAAAACTTAATCACGAGATGTTCGATATCTCGCTGTCTGACACCTCGGGAGATCAAATACCAAAAACATCCGCATCGGTCCCGAGGGTCTGCCGTCCAGCAGCACCAAGCCATATCTATCCGAACCTGAGCCAGCAGCTTGAGGATTTCTTGTGGAGCCGGAAGAACAGCTATGCAGGCACGCTGGGTGAGTCCATATACGACGGCGATGAAAAGCCCGTGGTCGAGACCATGGCAGGGAACATGAATGGCACGAGAGCTGCCAAGAAGCGCCTGGCTCATGGTAGGCCGCGGTTTATTACCAGGAATTTGAAAGACTTTGGTAGCGGAGACAGCGATGTCGATACTTGGAGTCTGAATAGCGCCTTGGAGGATGGCCAGGGCGGCAAAGCATCTTCGCTCTGTTATGGGGCTGCTGGGCAGTTTGTTGTGGTACAAACGACTGAGATCACAGTTGAGTTCGAGTAGTCTAGTCTAATGATACCTCTTGCCTCTGACATGCAAAGCATCCGCTGCCTTGCGAGATTTAATAATATCATTTGTCATCAGTCCGATTTTAGTATTCCTGAGTGAACAGAAATTCATCCATCTTCCATTCTAGTATTATCCTGGCATATTTGGCTACAAATCTTTATCTCATATGGACCCACCAGGTGGATGCAGGCCATCTCGCCATTGCTGAATCTTTTGATCCGTGGTGCAGTCGGTTTGAGGACGAGCCCGTTCCTCTTCTCGTTTGGCAGAGTCGGCTTTGATGTCAGCCATCATGGCCGCAGTAAGGTTTCTATAGGCTGTGATGTAGTAACCCTGGATGAGGCGGCCCGTTTGCTCGTCTTCATATGCCCCTGGCCTTTGCGAGGCATCATTGCCGAGATAGAAAGGAAGTTCTGCCGCCAGAATATCGCCGTTGATGCCATCATGTGGAATGAAGTATTCGTTTTGCCGTATTAGTCGTCCTCCAACAACCCTTGCCACAGTGGATCCCCTTGTATCCGTCGTCAGACAGCTTGCCTTTTCGCTGTCTGGTGGCGATGGCGGCCGTTGAGGTAAGGTGTTCATGACAGGACCGGAAGGTTAATTCTAGATCAATTCTCTTCTTGCAACGATTGAAGGTGGCGTCAATCACTGCAAGCAAAATTCAACGAAATAATTTTCAGAACTATCAAAGATTTCTTTAAAATTGCCCTTGCTGTATCACGAAGGGGCAAACCACTGCTTATATGCTACCTAGCTGGCACTCCATTCTTCGTCGCACTGAAAAACTCCTGAGTGACTGTTTTCGTGCCACCCGAAACCCAACGAAGCGGTCGCGTTCGCACCACGCCTGTTTCACATGGTGGCCAGTTGGAAGCAGACCGCTTGTGCCGCTGCGAACTGGATGGGTTGCCTCTGTTCACGGTCGAACTCTCGGGCCAGGCCATACAAGGTCGCACCGACGCGGCCCGCAGCTGGACCTTTCTAATGTTTTGGTTCAAACAGCCTTGGGTCTGGTTTCATCCTCTTGACAGAAAGCACCGCACGCAGGTAGAAGATATGCGAAATGAAAAGATCCACTGCGTTCGAGTTTCAAACTCCCACAACTTCAAAAAGCGCCCAGTCCGCATCCACAAGCATCTCTTGATCCCCCTGGCTGCTCCGTGAGTGAGGGGATGTCATGCCTTTTCTTGATGAAAAGGAAAAGAGGGAATATCTATATTGTAAATAAAATTACTATTCATAAATACAATAGATAATCCTTTCATTTATTTTAAGTTAATAACAACCTTTGAATATTATAAATAATTTTTAAAATAATATTAAGCTTATTTATATACGATGAGATTAAGATCATAAATTTAGGTAGAGTCTTTCATACTATTATTCATACAATTCTTTTTAATACCAGGTCCTTAGGTATTCACTACCATGTGAAGGGACTATATGCCTATAGGATGTATATAGATTAAGAACGAAACTACCTATATGCACTCGGTATCACCTAAACCGGGCCCATGGTGCGCGTCAGCCGAGTCAACTTCCTGTGGCGGCACCCCCTTTCACGGTGTTGGCGTCAGTCAGGTGGTGATTTATATTCTCCCAAAGAAACACGCATCAAATTTAAGACAAACGCACTGAGGCACATCAACAGCTTTTGTTTACCAAATTGCCAAAGTTCTCTGAGTTTGTTCTGTTACGCAAACGCAGCCCAAAAGTTACCAATCAAGGTTGAGACATTGAAAATATTTCGAGGTTGTGTGTAGGAGGAGAGGTATAGGAGTCGGGTCCAATATAGCTTGCAGATCGCATGAGTCCTGCAGGGAGATACCAAGTTTGCGGGGAGACTTCATAGGCCGGAAGCCTCTTTGGCTGAAACCGGGTATGTCTGGTGTCTCCCTACGACATGCGTCTTCCCTGGGCTCTCGCTCACAGTTAATCCTGTAGGAGAAGGAAACCCATCGATGAATTATTCCACCCTAGCTTATAACAGATCGGGTTGGGGATATATAGTGCCTCCCGCCGAACCATAAGGAACTAGCTCCACTACTTTCAAGCGCCGTGCTGTCAAACCTTTCCACTTTGTGAGCGGTTCGCAACGAGACCACGTTAGTGACAGCTCAAGGCCGTCTTCGAAATGTCTTCTGGTGCACAGGAGCAAGAGCCTGCGCACGAGCCCGAGGCGCAAACGGGCACATCGCACGAGAACAAAAGGCCTGCCAAGAACCCGAACGTGTGGGCACGCTATTCGAAGGATGGCAAAAGCCGATCACACATTCACCCGGTGACGTCGGTTCTTTTCGGCCTGCGCATCGCCCAGCTCGCCCTGGCGGTCGTATTTCTCGTTCTGGCGGCCTTCTCGGCCTTCACACTGAACTTCGGATCTGTAAGTTAGCATTCCCAATTCCGATGGTCTTGTTGACGCCGCGGTATGCAGGCTGACAGATGCTTCTTTTGTTCTTTTTAGCTACCTGGTTTCGGTATTACACGCGATTCTCCCCCCCTCCGAGAGCTGCCCGGGTCCTCCTGGCTGAGCTGGATAAGGCCACTCTGACAATACGCTTAGGTCTAGCATTCTTTACCTTCTCTTGGACTGTCGTGTACTTCATCTGGCTACTCGTCAGCGTTATCGCATATCCAATAGCCTACCATTGGATCGCACACGTGTATGTTGCCTTTTATTATCCTTAGACATCGAAGTGCTTCTGACCGTAGTTGGTGAAATACATTAATAGCACCATCGAATCATTAACCAACATATTCTGGTTGGCAACTTGGGCAACATTCGCAAGCTACGCCGGAGAGCTTAACCTCGCCGGTGCGGGTGCAGACGTTAACCGAAATATCATCGCAGCGGCCTGGTCTAACCCGACAAGGACGACCGCCATTGCACCTAATAGTCCTGGGCCAACTGCTCTCCCGGGGATCACTTCGGCGAATCCCATCAGTGTCACACAGCAGACTATCTACGCCGCTGAGGTCTGTATTGGTGTCGATGCCGGGTTAGGTGCTATAATTTGGGTGCTGTTCGTTGTCACTCTGATATTGACTGGTATGTAGCAGCTTCAGTATTTCAGGCACCTGTTCCTATTCTTATTGGCATCAGAAGAAGGATACACTGACACCACTTTCCTTATTGTAGCTGTAGGCGTCCACTCGCACAACAAGAACAGAAGATCCAGCATTTAAACGCGCTAGTCAATGCACGCTTCAACTGAAGTCCTAGTCGATCGAGATTCGCAACAGTCCTCACCTCGCTCGAATGGGAGTGGGTCAGAATTTGCAATATTGTGCACTGTTGCCGAATAATAATTTTCTTGGTATTAATAGCAGAAATAAAAAGATTCGTATTCCCAATGGACACGTGCGATGCTGGTCAAGGAGTGCAGGAAGACGAGCCGATGCTCGACACAAGAGAAAGGAGTTTAGAAGATATCCGGCTGTCAAGGATGTTTTCCAGCCAAAAGAAGACGAGCAAAACTAGCTTGAGGATATGGCTTTCTTGTCGTCGATGGGGTGAGCTTGGTGAAGGTGCCTCTGCAAAGGAAAGAGGTGCTCTCTGGTACTTAAATCAAAGACACGGATTGCTCGCGGTAATATTTTCAAATTGACGACCTCTTTCCATGCTGGCAATGTCGCGTGATACTAGGCTGACACACTCAAGTGCGTACCGGCATCTATCCATCCTATATTACATAGCCAAAGCGGAAACTATGATGTCGGGCTCATTCACCCAGATTTCGAAAGAGATGACTGAGCGTGAATCTTCACATGTTGGATGATCTTGCTAGAGCTCGAATTTGGGTGGCACGTCCCTCCAAATAGACCTTCCATCAATGGCCACTCCTTCGACGGCGAACGGGAAGGCGATATATTTGTGAAATATCCCGCAGCCCCACCAGCAAAATAGAGGGTGAGCCTTGATGGACTGTGAAGACCTGATCCACGTGTTCTTTATTGATGACATCGCCTGGGAAGGATATTTCATTACCGAGGTTGCTAGCAATAAGGTGCCTGAAGGTTGAGCAAGAAGAAGTCGAGAGAACATGGTCGAATTCGGTTGCCAGTCACGCAAGCAACAAGGCTTACCTAAGTGTCGCCAATCAGAAATTGGGCTCCAAATGATCCAATCTACAATCAAGATACCTAGACACCCGGGCGTGGCATTCAGCCTGCTCCTACCGTTGGCCGCGCGCTGATGGTCGTAGAGCCGTCTCGAACTAGGCCACTTGGTTGTTGCAGATCCAGAGGTCTGGCCCAGCTTCTTGCGCGGCCTATATAATTGGCGCGCATGGCGGGAATGCCTAGGTATGATGTAAATGGTCGCGCCGGCATACCGGCGGTCCTGACCTCGGGACTCCTAGGGCTGAAGCTCCAGAGCTCTAAACTTGAAGCTTGGGACCGCTCGGGTGCATCCATGAATCTCGATGTAGCTCAACGAATTGTCAACACGAAGTCTGTTGCGTCAGAGTCAATTATGTAATAAAAGACCTCGGAGTCCTGCTTATGGCATTCTCAACATTTTTGATGGATCTCTCATTGGCTAGGAGTTGGTCATTCTTCCATGCCCAAGGGACAAATGCCATCGTAACGTTGCTTAATCCTCCCTCAATACCTTCAGACAGGTGTGGGACTAGGGACCAGCATCTGTGTCTGTCTCCTCAGTCTTTACAATCGTGTTAGGATAGATCTGGAGAATATTGTGTCGTACGTCCGCCTGCCCGTGGGAACATATTGGAGCACACAACTCGAGCAAACAATATATGCTGTCTGCTCACGCGACAGTCCCGTCGGTATCCTAGGGTACCTTGGTAAAGTGCCATACCTAGCTAGATTCCCAGCATGGTCCAGCATGGAACCACTACTGGTGCCAGGGGCTGGAGCGGCGAGGATAAACCGTCCAGGTACCGCTCGATTAGTCCGCGGTCCGTGCCGACCGTTCTCACTTTGACAGGTGCGCTGTCGAACACGGGGCCTTGGCATCCACGAGGCAGTCACTCACACATAAACAACACCGGCCTGTTCGTACTGTCACATCTATACTCAGCGTGGAAACTGGGTTGACTTAGACTGGGAGATTTAGATGGTTCTCATGGATTCCTCAACAGTCAGCTTTCATTGTACAACTCCCACAACGACTGGGTCCCCGCCTCGACCCAAAAGAGCGGCTTCTTGCGCAGTCTCGAACCGGTCTGTACCAGTAGACCTTGTGACGTAAAGGTTTGTTGACATTCGTAGTCGGGGCTAGGAACCTTGTTAGTCTAGCACCGTCATATGAAAGGGGACACTGGCCTTGGCCCTTGTACCTCCCTAACCCCGTCTTCGAGAGGACAAGACAGCGGTTCCCTCTATGGGTGGAGACAATAGCGTGTGTAGACCCCTTCGAAGAACTGGTAGTATGATAGCCGACTCTTCCCGGCGTCGAAAGTGTACTTGTTGGTGTCTCTGCCGGACAGCATAAAAGCATGTACTATCTGACCGTCGAGGAAGAGCACACCCAAATGTAGGGAAGATGACAGCTTACCGAGGGACGGCGCAGAGGTATTTAAACACGTGCTCCCAGCTCATTGGAAACTTTTCTCCTATGGACCAAGTTCACATTCTCACCAAGTACTTCTGTATTAGATCTCAGTTCACTACATTCGTTCAGTAAACCCCGAGCTTCCCAAAATGGCCAAATTCAACAAGAGCACCATTCTTTACATCGCCGTCTTCACCGGCTCAGCACTGGGAGCACCTCCAGCGGCGACCAGCATCGGTACCTCTCATCATACTGAGCCCCCGACCATCAAGACAGGTGTCTTTGATTCCGCTGCCGGGCCTCGCCCGACTGAAGCAGTCCGGGCCTCTTCAAGCGGCGCGCGCTTGCAGAGACGTATGGTCGAGCCTCCGGATCATCTCACGATCGAGATCACTAACTCGTATGGTAAGGGTAATCTGGGCGAGTGACACAGCTTAGTGTGATCAGACGGCTAACATGGCCAACAGGCCAGGACATCACGACAGCGCATGCTAGCAACGCAGGCAGTCCAACGCCAGTCGACGGCCCTATTCCGGCCGGTGTGATTCCTGACGGATCGACCGCTTCTTTTGCCGTGCCAACTGGCTGGGCCGGGAATGTCGCCCTGAACAGGGGTGGTATGCCCTTGAATGGAGACGTGACTCTCCTGGAGGCGGCGTTCGCGGTGTAAGGCCATACATGTCTTGTTGATCAAACCCGAATCCACGGCTAACTGCTACATCCAGTCCGGACGGCTGGGAATTCGCCGTTGCTGGCGTGGACGTCTCCCACGTCGATGGCTTCACCGTGCCAGTGACATGTGAGTGCGACGGCGAATGGGTGACGGGGTGCAACAAGGACCTCTTCGACGCCAACGCCGAGCTCGAGAAGCGCGGCACTCACAGTCCCGCCATAGCCGCTCTCAACCCTCTCCGAGACGACATGGGCGCTACTTCTGCGACCGAGTTTTTCGAGCCGTGCGAGGGCTTGGCGTACACATATCCCAACGATCACTCCGCCTTCAGCTTCGGCGCTTGCCAGAGTGGCACAATCTCGTGCTGTGTTGGTACTACCTGTGGGGAGCCGGACATTGAAGTATCAGACGACGGAGACGAGGACGACGATGATTACATCGAAGATGACGACGACTACGACTATGACGACGACTACGACTACGACGACGACGAGGAGTAGATAGATGAGTGGAGCGGCCTTGCCCATCAGAATTGGCAACACCATTCATTTCCCCTGGCTTCCTCTGCTCAAGTGGCGGCGGCGGATCAGATATTTAGACATGGTAATGATACAAGAAATAAGAGGCAGCTTTGAGGAACGCTTTTAATTAATATTTTGTCTCACTTCTATATACCTAGGTAGACTCTACAGACCTAATCCGATAGACTCCTCATGTCGAAGGCTCAGCAATCTTGACGGTGGCCTTGCCAAAGGTCTTGCCGGTAAACAGCGACAGGAATGCATCCTGGGCCGACTCGATGCCCTCGAACTTGGTAGCACGAGCCTTGACGGACCCGTCGGCGATCCACTTGGGCATGAGCTCCCAGAACTTGTCGATGTTCTCGGTGTAGATGTTGTGGTCCCAGAAGACGAAGCCCTGGATGGTGATGCGGCGGCGGAAGATCTCGGCGAGGTTGGTGACGCCGAACTGCTCCGAGGGCGGCTTGTTGTACTCGGAGACCATGCCGCAGACGATGATGCGGCCGAACCACTTCATGTTGGTCAGCGCGGCCTGGAAGTGGTCGCCGCCGACGTTCTCGTAGACGACGTCCAGCCCCTCGGGCGCGAGGCGCTTGAGCGCCGCGTCGCAGCTCTCCTTGGTGTAGTTGAAGCACTCGTCGGCGCCGAGCGACTTGACGTACTCGGCCTTCTCGTCCGAGCTGACGCTGCCGATGACGCGCATGCCCTCCTTCTTGGCCAGCTGCACGACGATCTCGCCGACCGTCGACGAGGCCGCGTTGACCCAGATGGTCTCGCCATTCTTGGGCTTGACGAGCCCGTAGAAGGAGTTCCACGCCGTCTGGCCCGCGAGGCCCAGGGCGCCCACCCAGTTGCCGAGGTCGATGTTGTACTTGTTGTCAACCTTCCAGACCATGTGGGAGGCCTGGGACTTGAACTCGAGGTACTGAACCATGAGGTCAGTTTAGGCGCCCCCGAACAGACTTCTTGTTTACGCAGGGCAGACTGACCTCGATTGGGACGACATTGTACTCGCAGAAAGGCAGGACACCGGCAAGGAGCTGGCCTTCCGGGTAATCCTCGTTGTCGCTCTTGACCACCTGGGCGACAGTGAAGCCTTGGATGGGCTGCTCCTCCACGTAACCCGGGACGTAGCTCTCAAAGGTGGGGCCCTTCATGCGGTCGCGCATGTGAGGATCAAATCCAAGCACCAGCGTCTTCGCCACGATGCCCTTGGGCGGTGGCGTGAGCTCCAGGGGCTTGTCCTCGAGGGCCATGTCCACATCTTTCGTGATCATGCCCTCAGGGATCCTCTTAAAGATCAGGGACTTGTTGCTGACGGGCGCCATCTTTGCGGTTTCTTCGGACTGCTTGGACTTGTGCGTGAGTGTCTTGAGGCCGTGGTTGGGGCTTGGGGGATGAGGACTCGAGGACCGTTGAGGCTAATGGCCTTCGCCGAGCAGCTTTTAAAACTCGGGACGACTAATCAAATCGCCTGACTTCCATAACATATGGATGCCTCGGTACGGCAAGGAATTCCGGGGGCCCCTTGAAGGGGACCGCCACTAGGGGAATTGGACCGTGACCCATATTCCATGCAGGACTGTTTGAAGCTGTCTCATAGGCGATGGAGCGCATGTTTGGTTGGGTTGATGTGGGCTTTATGTGGATCCCTCGGTGAGCTAGACGCAGGATTGAGGGTAGCCTGGGTCCAGTTGTGGTCTGATAGCACCTCTCATATTCTGCTTTGCCAGATGGCGGAATTAGAATGTACCAACCAGCCATATCCAGTAGGGGATCGTTCAAAATATAACGCTAGCCATGTTCTACGCCCGAAGCGGAAGATGCACCGCGGGCCTATCCCGGAGCCGCATTCACGATGCTACCTAGGTATGCTGTCAAATCAGGGCTTCCCGGGAATGGCTGCTTGGCATATCCATTTTGCTAGCAAGCCCCTGTTCTAGACCGCGAAAGAGACAGAAAAAGGGTCTTCTAATTATTAGTAAGATACTGATCTCCTGTTCCGAAAAGTGGCATATTCACCCTTGTGTGCGGCACTTGTTTCGTTGGGTCCAGCAAATCCTTTCTCGTAGGATCCCACCGCCTGCTCAGATGCATCCAGGGCCCACCTTTCTGCCCAGGGCTGCCAGGTTTCAATCTTCTTACATGTGTAGTCAACTGTGCACCAACTTTAAGGAACTTGTGTCTCGTACATGAGCCAGGCTGCCGCTCATTCAGTGAGAAAGATCATCGGCCGTACAAGATCAAAATAATAAGTTCTATCAACCCAATCTGGTAGGGACCAGATGCATGTCAAGTGGGTCCCACTGCATCTCAACGTTGTGCTTATTAAGACTTCGCGACGACAAAACTCCATACATCATACCACTCATGCCCAAAGACAAGACTGCTCATTCTTGAACACTGTCATGACAAAAATTGGCAGAGGTTGAGATTGCACAGAAATTCCAACTGTTCCGTTAAAGCAGATCGACACTTTCCAAGGTTTACAGAGCGTAGAAGGAGTTCCATTGGGAATCGACCCAACCCTAGTTCTTGATATTGAGTTTTGATCTCCAAATATCCTTACCCCTGGTATAGCAAGCAGTATCTGAATATGTGACAGTCGTGAATGAGACAGAAATGTCAGATATTTAGGTGCACTGGGACTAGTCCAGCCCGTACAACTGAGCCGTATGCGCGGGGTAATGGGGATCAATTGCTCAATAACTCAATATTGAATATAAATAGTAGAATCAAGACACAAAGAACCATAAATAATTGTGAGAGAAATGTAACATGCGAATCCGGTCAGTTTCTACATGCCCAGGCATGGCGAATTACCCCAGCAGAGGACTTGAAAGTGGGTCAGCGATTGATGTCATACGGCCACCCGCGTGTGATGTCATGCATCATCAGAGCCACATGCAGGCTCATGGCCAAGCATCCTAGACCTGACCTTGATCTTGCATCTATGACATTCAACCATCGAAACATGAACGACACATAATACTATCGGTTCTATAACTCACAAAGAATAAAAAAAAATGAACTCAGACCTGACGAACATTGCCACCAATCTCGCCAACACCGTGTTGGCCAACCGGGGAGAGCAGGGCCAGCGCAACGCCGTGCTGGTCTCGCAGCACGGCACAAACATCCGTGACCCGGGCTTCCTATCTCATGATTTCCGGAAGACGTTCCACGCGCCGCCGAGACTGTATTTTACTGCTGAGGACGACGAGTTTGATTCCACAACGTTGTCGGAATGGCAAAATGCGGGCTTCACGGTCGAATACTTTCCCATGGGCAAGGGTGGCGCATCATACACGAAAAAGCTGGAGTCACTCTTCTCGAAACCACTGGAGATTGGTGAGACCTTCGGAATAATCGGTAGGTCACGGTGTCACTACGTTTATGCATCGTACCTCATACTGGAGATAGACAGGGACAGAGTCACTGCATCCAGATGTCACAGATATGGGGCCAGAGAATCCCACATCTATATCTTGCATAGTGCCTGATCAGAAGCTGACAAACTGGATCAGCATTCGGCGACGCTGCGGGGGCCTGTCTAGAACACTTCCACATCATCGACAACAACCACGACAACAAGCTGGGCGTCCTCGTCGCATACTACCCGAACATCATCCCCGACCCGCGCGCGGCATTCCCCTCCACCATGAAAGTCGTCGTGCACCTGGCTGGGGACGAGGTCGGCGAGGTGCATCACAGCCAGCTGGCCGGAGTCGAAGGGAAGCGCAAGGTGGTCCGGCACGACCTCAAAGACGCACCGGGGAAGGGAAAGAAGCTGGACTTCGCCTATCCGTGCTACAAGTACGACGCTGAGCCTGGATTCGCGGAGCGGGACTTGGATGTCTATGATGGGGAAAGCGCCATGAAGGCGCAGGATCGGACCCTGAAGGCCGTGAAGGCGGCGTTCAGTGTGTGATTGCGGCATATCGGGCCAACTGTAATGTCAACAGCTGGCACGACGTACGAACGATTGCGGAGATGGGGTTAGTATTTGTGCGCATTGTCGGATTCATGATTAATGTCTAGCGAGCGTTCTATGGTATTGGATCGCGAATAGTAATTCCACTTGCATCAGAATGGTTGTTTCTGTTACATGCGCACCGGTGAGTCGCGTAGGAATATCCGTGTTCTATTCGCTCGGATGAGAGAGCTTTCGCCACTGCCACGATCCCTCACAATTACCTAGGTATGAGAGAGCCAAGCCGTGGAAAACCGTGGAAAACCGTTTCTAGCATCGCTTAAATCCGAACATCAGATCAGATTATATGGGATAATAACATCCGAAATCTGCGTCCAACTGCTTCCAAAGTGGAGTTTTCCCCGCATCAACATCACCACGGGCGACAAGGTTCTCCAGCGCCAGTACGGATGCGGAGATGATTGCTACTGAGGAGAAGGGCCAATCCCTACCAAGTAGCCATCGTGCCATCATCGAGAGGAACGTTGCGCGTACCTGGGCCTCACGATACCCCGGCGATAAGCATTTTCCCGTCGGGTCAATAACAGATAGTTCGCCTTCTGGCGTAATTATGCTAGGGGTTTGACGTTGGTTCACGATGCATTAATTACGCGACTCGCTTTGTCGAGGCTTCACGTATAAGAAGGCGACTTTCGCATCCCCGCGAGCCGACAATCGGACTTCATCACTGCCCTCTTTCGGAGTGACGGGATAAGATCAAGATGAGGACCTCACTGTCTGCATTGGCTGCTTGCGCTGGGCTAGGTGCTGTCCTCGGCCAAGAGCTCGACGCGTCTCTTGTCGTGAATCCAAAGAACAGCCCCGGAGTCGCTGGTAGCATCTCATCCCTGCCGGTCGATATCTCCAGCCTCCGCAATAACCGAGGGTTCGGCAACAGTCCCGGCGACGCGGACTTTGACGGCTCCGGCGCCAGCTACCCGGCCGAGTTTCTACCGGACGAGAACTTCACCTATGGAGGCGTGGACTTCATCTTCCCACAGTATCAGCAAAACAATGGCAACGACAATGTCTTGGCCGAAGGCCAGACGCTCAATGTCACAAGCGGCCGCTACATAGGCGTGCAAATGCTCGCTGCGGCGGAGAGCGCCATCGCCACGGGCTATGTCAATGCCGCGTACGCTGACGGCTCGACTACCAGTGGTGCCGTGTTGGTCGACCCGTTCTGGGCTTGGCCGTACCCATATGGTGGCGACATCATCTTCCCTTATCACCTGACCAACGAGACAGTGGACTACAACCGATCCATGATCTTCCGGACTGTCACCTGGCTCGACAGCTCGAAGGAGCTGACGAGCCTGCAGCTGCCGAACGTGACTTCTGGGGCGGGGAATGGCCCAGGCGGCGGCGCGGAGCAGACGAGGCTGCACATCTTCGCGGTGTCGTTGATCCCGACCGACGCCGATGGACTGAGCTTGAATGTGGAGCTGGCCCGGAGCACCAACACGTGGGTCGAGGGCACCAACAAGACCCAGATCTTCGAGGCCATCATCAACAACGTCGGCACCGACTGGGTCCTCGCCAACCAGAGCGTCACCGTGTCGATCGAGTCCGACGGTGTGCAGACGGTCCAGCCGGGACGCATCAACCGACTGCGGCCCGGAGACCAGGCTCGTGTCCAGATTGGCGTTGTAAATGCAGACGGCGTGGCAGAAGGGACCGATGGCACTGCCACCTTGGTCATCTCTGGCACCGGCCTGTCTACCAACTACACGTTCAACGCCACATACGGCATCCGTGACTTCGAGCCGACATACGAGAGCATCTACGCCCACGAGTCCCCACCGTGGTTCAACAACGCCAAGTACGGCATCTTCATCCACTGGGGGGTGTACGCCGTCCCCGGCTGGGGCAACTCGGGCAACAACGAGTCCTACGCCGAGTGGTACTGGTGGTGGATGAACTCGGGCCCCGACAGCACCCGCGATCGGACATATGAGTACCACCTCGCGACGTACGGGCCGGACGTGGTCTACGACGACTTCATCGCCAACTTCACGGCGTCGCAGTTCGACCCCAAGGAGTGGGTCGACCTGTTCGCAGACGCGGGCGCCAACTACTTTGTCCAGGTGTCCAAGCACCACGACGGCTACGCCATCTTCGACCTCCCCGCCAACGTCACGGAGCGCACGAGCGTCGCGCAGTTCCCCCACCGCAACCTCCTCCAGGAGATCTTCGACGCCGCGGAGCAGCACCAGCCCCAGCTGCACCGGGCCACGTACTACAGCCTGCCCGAGTGGTTCCACCCGGACTACCGCTCCCTCGGCTTTGCGAGCTGGCCGGGTGGCAACGCCACGAACCCGTACACAAATCAGACGCTGCCCTACACAGGGTACGTTCCCCTGGACGATTACGTCTCGGACAAGATCCTGCCCGAGATGCGGACGCTGGCCGGCATGGGCACCGAGGTCATGTGGTGTGACATCGGCGGCCCGAACAGGACGGCTGAGTTTGCGGCCGAGTACTTCAACGCTGCGGCCAGGAAGGGCAAGCAGGTCCTGACGAACAACCGGTGCGGCACCCCGGGGGACTTTGACACGCCTGAGTACGCGAGATACGAGGCGGTCCAGGTGCGGAAGTGGGAGTCGAACCTGGGCATGGATCCTTTCAGCTACGGGTATAACAGGGCAACGCCCGACGACAAGTACCTGACGGCTCAGGGCATCGTGACGAGCCTGATGGATATTGTCAGCAAGAACGGCAACTTCCTCCTAGATGTGGGACCCACTGCCGAAGGTGAGCAGGATGAGATCCCCACGCGTATACATGTCTCATGCAGAGCTAACTAACAATGCGACACACTTCCAGGTGTCATCGTGGACATTTCACAGCGCAACCTTCGCGCGGCAGGCGTCTGGATCAAGTCCCACGCCGAGGCGATCTTCAACACGACCTACTGGTCCATCACACCAGAAGAGGGCGACACCGTCCGGTTCACCCAGACCCCCGACGCCTTCTACATCAGCACCCTCTACGCGCCCAACGACACCCTCGTGCTCACCTCGCCCGTGCCCTACGTCGAGGGTGACGAGGTGACCGTCGTCGGCGGCAACGCATCCGGCACCGTCGTCCCCAGTGAGCTCTCGGACGGCAGGCTGACGCTGACCATCAGCGAGGCCGTGAGGGATGCGGACGAGTATGCTTGGGTGTTCAAGATTGCCTATGGCGGTGCCAACAGCACGAGTCTGAATGGGCGCGACCCGGGGGAGGAGAATGCTGCACGCGCAGTCGGAAGTTCTTCCTTGTTGGCGTTGACAGCGCCGCTGGTCCTCATGCTATTCATGATCTGATGTAGCCTGTAGTATCAAGTGGGAATCCAATAAAGAGTTCATCAGTGCGGTTATTCATGCCTCGGCAGCCATGTATTATTGCCGGATCATCCCCATCCATCTCAGCAGACCTGCCCCTCCTCACACTTCAATACGCCGAAACTCAACCACACCAGCAGGGTCGGGCCCGCTCACACTCCCGACGTAGAAGTTAGGATACCTCTCCTTGACGCCCTCGGGGAACCGCACGTCAAACTGCAGCAGGATCCGCGCCATGATGAGCTTGATCTCGTTGGCGGCGAAGAACCTGCCCGGGCACGCGTGCTTGCCGAAGCCGAAGCTCGTGTTCTCCTTGGTGACGCTGACGAACTGGTACGACTCGCGCGTGCGGAAGCCGTTGGGGTCGGGCGTCCCGTCCTTGGTGCGCAGGTCGTAGAACCGGTACGGGTTGAACACCTCCGGGTCCGGGTAGTGCGCCGGGTCGTGCAGCACCGGCAGGCTGGGCGTCTCGATGAAGGTACCCGCCGGGATGTGGGTCCCGTCCTTGAGGGTGATGGGCTTGTAGACGTAGCGGCGGAAGGAGTCTGGGTGGGTATTATCAGTGTCAACGTCTCTGGGTCGCACGCAGTCCAGGCCTCTTAATTAGTGAGAGAAGAGAGACTCACCAACAAACGGCGGGCTGAACCGCTGGCTCTCGCGCATGAAGCTGTCCAGGAGCTTCATGTTGAACAAGGCCTGCGATGTCATGACACCATTCGTCTCCTCCAGCACGGATGCGATCTCCTCCCGGATATCATGCACCACCTCAGGCCGCATGGCAAGATCGTACAACATCGCAGTCGCCGACAGCGTGGTCGTATGGATCGCAGCCAGAGTGAGCAGAAGCTGCATGTCAGTCAGGTGTCCAACATCGGTAATCCCATGCTCGCCCGTCTTCTCCACCATCCACTGAAGCAGGTCGTCCGGCACGGGGTGGCCCTCCCTCATGAGCTGCCTCCTCTTGGCCACCATGGGCTCCAGGAATTCCCTCATCCGGCGCCTGTGCCCCTGCCCCCGGTTGACCGCCGGCGCCAGCTTCAGCTTCACAACGAGACCTCTCATGAACTTGGGCCAGCGCTTGATCTGCGCCGCGCCGGCGGTGATGTCGTTGGTGAAGTCGATAGCTGAGGCGAGGTAGACCTCGTGGCGGCAGTAGTCCGGCCCGACGAAGATGTCGCCTGAGACGATTGCCACGACGCGCAGGAGGATGGGGAAGATGGTGAGCGGGGTCCACTCTTTGCAGGGTGGGATCTCGGAGTTGATTGTGTTTTCCACCTGGGCTGATAGCCTCGGGTTTAATCGGGCTGGGACATGTGTGAGTTTCGGTGGGAACTTTTACCAGGCTTGGTGTGGTTTATGCTGTCTTACTTAGGCTTCTGGTCAGCTCGACCTTCACGACGCTGTTGGCCACTTCTGTCCTGTCCTTTGGTGGAAACAGCTTGATGTGGTCATTTGCGAAGGTCTGTGGTGCATTGCGTTAGTCGAAGAGACCAAGGAAAGATCCGAGGGTGCGGGAGCAGTAAGTTACGTCTGTGAATGATTTCAAGACATCGATCTCGTCATCTGACCGTGTCCTCAACTCATCTAGGTACGAATTCGGCACTATCAGATGGTCGCCTGCATCCCATGGAAGTCAGCAAGCTGGGTAGACGCGGACGATTGTGTCGTAGTAGGCTGCTAACCATCAGGCATTGTCATGCGATACACCTGGTTCTTGAAGCGACGATAGCCTTCTTCATACAGCTTTACGGGCTGGTATAGGAACGCCTCCGCACGTTTCCGCCTGTTGCCGTATTGCGCCCCAAGTAGAGGGAACTTGTTGATATCTGGCTGAGATCCCAGCCGGTGAACGATGATGATCGCTGTTGCTAACAGTGCCACGAAAGCCCAGCCCGGCAGGTTCTGCCCAAGCATAATTGGAATATTTGCTGACGCCATGCTGCACTGCTCCGATTCACCTTCTTCGACTCTTTCAGTATTCCCCCTCTGTGAAGACTAATATATTGGTGGGTGTTTAAATGGATAATAGTTATACACGGACTCTGCGTACCAGAGGGGAAATCGTAGCTTATCTAGCTTTTGTACAGTCGCACCTGGGGGATCGTTATTCCACGTTTGGAAGTTGCTGGCGCCTTAGTCAATGCGTTTCATCCAGCTGAGGGGCCGCATGTGACCTCGTGAAGCTCTGCCGCACGTCAAGACGGAGAAAGCTGGCGGTGCGGAGGTCAACCACTCGGCAGGTTTTAATAGGTGCCGGAGCCGAGTGCTTCTCCAATACTTATGCGCAACGTGCTGACCGATATGCATGTCAGAAACTCGGATTTATGATACTCTCCGTGCAATCCGTTCAAAGTCATGTCTGTAACATCAGTAGTGCTGTCGATTACCTTGCGCTGCCCCAAAGACATCCGGCTTTTGAAGCACAAGCCCTTTAAAGCTGTATCCTTGCGACCAGGTCCACCGTAATTCCGCAGGACAAGAAGATTTCGTCTTGGGGCGGGGAAGAGACGTTCAGAATTGAAGGGACCCCCCCGCCAGTCAGCTTCAAGCGTTGAAGTCGATCCACGCATGAGAACCCAAAACGTGCCAATAAAGCGCCTACATCCGCTTCAAGTATCATCCCCAGCCACCTACAAGTCATTCAATAGGATTTCGACCTCATCCCGAAACATTGTTTTCCTCGTCAGTCAATACGACCTATTTGCTGTCTTGAGGCAACAACACGGTCCGACGGATGCGGCATTATTCTAGTCATGGCTACCCTCTCCGCTTCATCACGTCGCAAGTCACAAATTGCTAAGCCTTGGCAATGCCTGCTATGAAGTGGAAAGCACAAGGCGCCCCAAACCTTACCCTCAGAAACAAGCTGTTTACTGTAGCTCATGTGAAGGTATTGTGGTCTCGACTTCAACATCAACTTTGGGCCGCACCCTTTGGAGGCTGCCTCCAGTCCAACTCCCTTTTCAGGAACGCCTTGATGGCAATCTTGATCTGCCCGACCTTTGCATTCCATTGATCTCGGTCACCATCGTTCTTCGCCGCCAAAATTTCCTTTCTTGCCCCATCAGTCGTCAGATACCTTCCCAGGTGCATCACCTTGCCTTTCCTTTTAGCCGCCGTCAAGTCTTTGCCGTTGCTGTCGACCAGAAGTTTCCGCAGCCGTATGAGGTTATCTTCCTCCCGGTCCGTGAAGACGAGGATGTAGTCGTACGTCTGGAATATCGCCTTCGTCAAGCCCCGGGAGCGTCTGGATTCCATGGCTTTCTTGACGTCTTGCTTGTACGGATAATTGAACATCTGGTTTTCGAAAAGCGCCGAAAGTGGTGGCGGCGCCGGCAGTGAGTGACCATCCTTGAAGCTCAGCTTGTAGCTCGGGTATAGCATCTGCATGGTGTTGATCGTGTCGACAACTTCGCTGCGGGTGCGAACAAAGAACCCGGCCGAGTGAACAGTTTTGATCCTCCACTGGCCTCCAGTCCGTACAGTCCACTCCCGGAGCAGACTTGCGTAGGCTTCTGCGACGATGCTCCGGGCGACGTTATAAGGGTCAACGAAGATGATCCTGAAGTCTGTGCGGGGAGGCTGGGGCGACGGCGACGGCGACGGCTGCCTGACGATCCCGGGGCTCTGGCCCACGACGAGCAGCTGGTTGATGCCCGAGCCCATCATCACCGCGAGGAGATCCCTCAGGTCCTCGCGGTGCTCGTCGATGCTATTGCTCAGCGCTTCTAACTTGTCCGAGCTGCTGCCTAGGGCGAAGTACGCCTGCGCGGCAAATTTGAACCGGAACTGCATCCCCCATGGACCAATGTCCTTGTCCCATTTCACGAACAGGACCTGCACATCCTCGCTCTCCTTGCGGATATCCTTGATAACGCCGAGGAGCTCATCGGTCAGCGCCGGGCCGAGCCGGGCCAATGAGTTCTTCTTGTCTGTGCGCAGCAAGCTCTCAAGGTTGCGTAGGATCGTGTTCAGCCTGGACATCCGCCTCCCGATGCGGCGGATCTGGTCTGGGGCATCTTGGATCTTCTTGTAGATCTCGATGACCTTGCCAACGACTTCGACCACCTGCATCAACGTGCCAAGTGGATCAGCCATGGTATTTCAAACAGGGATATGTAACGTTGTTCTAATAGATGGGTTGGTCTAGAAATTGTATGCGTGATCTAAAGGAAACGGAAGGTGAAGCGGAGAAGAGCCGTACATGTCCATAAGCGCCCTAATCATCAGCCGCACAAGGATCTGACGGGCACAATAAGCAGGCCAGAATCCTCGACGAGAATTGCGCTTGCGAATCCTTGCTCGGTAAACAGGTGCCGAGGTCCCCAATGCAGCGCCAGATCCTGGCAAGCTCTAGAGCGCTGCAACAGTGCATCGGAGTTTAAGCAGCGCCTGGGCAGAAGCTTACTTCAGCCTGCAGCCAGATGGATCGGTGTGACATAGTCAATTCGTTCGAGGCTCCAAGTATGACTGGTCTATAAAAGATGAAGCATTGGCGATAAAGCGCATGAAATACATTGATACTAGTAGAGGGAAACACCATTCAAGTGTACTTGAACCCCTGGAGCTTATCACTGTCGAGATGTAATATGAACAAGGTCGACTTGGCAAACTTCCGTTCAGGTCACTCTCTCCCACGAAATGGTCATTCGAGCGGCTGCGCTTTATCTGGCAGTCACCATGCCGGTACTCGCAAGCGATCGGCGAAAGATTAAAGGGGACGGGCAACCGGTAGCTACTGTTGCATCGCTTAGATTCACGACCGATAAGTTCAACGTGATAACTTGGCGCCATCAATACGACACATCCGGAAGGGGCATTCCCAATATGGCATGAAAGTCTTGGCTTTTGCGGGAGCGGAGGCCACTACACTCATGAGTCCATCAATGAAAACGCTCTGCCCTTTCTCAGCAAATTGCGAGTTGCAACAGTGGAACAGGCCCCTCCATACGACCCCTCTCTCAGGCTGTGAGGATGATATGGTACCCTAGGGTATGTTGCTCCATTGTGACCTGAAGCCGACTAGCCCACCATCCTAATATCATATCAGTCTCTTTCGGGCACAATTCAGTACCAGCCTAAGTATCTTGGCTATGGCGGCAAAACGGCGGAACCTAGGTATCTAGGATTTAAGATGGGAATCAAGTCCATGGCAGATTCTGCCCAATATCGATCTCTCCTGGTTCAAAACGTCCCTCATTTTACTCAGATCCCAACTCGTACTGCTTCTTGCAAACATGTTGTTCACTAAGCAAGCATTAGCTGCCGCGCTCTTGCAGGCACTCGGTATCGCTGCTTTGCCACTGGATCCAACCCCAGTCGACAAATCAGCAACACCGGCACGGCAAGCAGCACCGCCCGCGAGCTTCACAGCAAACCCAAACATCGGCCCCGGGGGCAGTACCTTCACCGACTCGGCGCACTTCCGCCTCTATGGAGCCACAGGGACCACCGCCACGAACTCGCTGAACATGCTGGAGGCTGCGTACAGCTGCTTTGTCGATACCCTTGCATGGCGCTCCTCGGGTCTGGCCTACAATGATAACACCGATAGCGACGGGCCATGGACGAAGGTCAATGTGTATTCTGTATCGACCCTGTCTGGTGGAGCAGCGGGTGTGATGCACTCCGACTACAACACAGGCATGAGCTGGCTCGAGGTCGTCAACAGCTACATTGCAGTACCCGGCGTCACTGTCCATGAGTATGGACATGGTTTGACGTATCACGAAAAGAACTGGGTAGACCAGACCCGGACGGGTGCTTGGTGGGAGACCGTCGCCAACTGGGTGGCCGACACCTACAAGACCTCCCCTCTCTGCAACACTGCCAGGTCCAAGTACGGCCAGTCCACCAGCGCCACCGAGATCAACCTCAGCAAAGTCATCGGCGACTCCTTCCAAGTCCTGGTAGACGGCACATCCGGGTCCGGGAACTACTACGAGGCCTGGCCGTTCCTCAGCTTCCTGACCTACAACCTAGACAACTTCGCCGGCCTCGGCACAAACACCATCCGCGAGTCCTTCCGCCAGTACAGCAAGGGCAGCAACGAGACCCCCCTGCACACCTTCGCCCGGCTCTCCACCGGCGCGACGATCCAGAAGGTAGTCGGCCGCTACTGGGCCCGCATGGCCTACGTCGACATTGGCCACCCGACGGCGCAGTCCGTTTTCCTCAGCCAGCGCGGCGGGTTCAACTACGCCAACCTCGACAGCCAGGGCAGTGGGGTCTACAAGGTCAAGGCGGCCCGCCAGCCCCGGTACATGGGTGCCAACATCATCCCGCTCAAGAAGTCGGGGACCGTCACCGTTACGGCCAAGGTCGCCACCAGCGGGGCGTACACCGCCACACTTGCCGTACGCAACACGAGCTCTGGGGCCACGCGCTACGTTGATTTTGCGAGTGGCTCGGCGTCGACTTCGGTTACGAGCAGTGAGGAGGCTTCTGTCGTTGTTGCGAACACACCTGCTCTTGTCCAATATGACCCCTTCAGCATCGGCAGCGATGTGAATGCGGGCTTGGACTATACCCTCACTCTCACTGGTGCAACGGCATAAATCACTGCTGATTGTTTTTAAGTCCCTTCCTTCCGGTCTACCAATCTGGTATCGTAAATGGGGATAATCAGACTCGGGCGGGAAACAGGTTCACTTTGTTTTGTTTTCTCTTCTTTCACGTATATACTTGAACGCTGCCTCAACAGATGAAATCAAGCTGATGGGCATTTCACGAGGAAAGGGCACAGTATCAAATGCACATATTTAAGAAGCTATCTTTGTTTTGTGCGTAGACTAAACCTATTCCGGTCTGAAAACGGATTGAAAAGTCTTTGTGCTTCAATTTGACAAAATAGCCCCCCAAGGACAAGGTTGGGTGAACAAAAGTCGCAACTCCAGCAAAGGTATTCACTAGTAGAACAGATGAGATTGATTACAATCAACCCCGAAAATCAATTCGGCCCGAGACGAAACTCACGCTAGAGAAGAACAGCAGTTTTCATTCTGACCAGACGCTGATTGTGGCTCCATCCTGGTAGAAAGGGTTCGAGAGCACAAAGAGTCCGCACAAAATCTCCTACGTTACTGGAAAGATGGCGGGCGCCTTGCCCTTCACGCCTGATAACCCGCCACCTCGTGCTGGTAGCAGCTTTTGGAACCCGTCGAACACCCGCACACCATCGCAGATCGCCAGGATCAGATATAGAGAGACCGAATACTTCAGGCTCTGGCGCCGAGGACTCAGGTACGAGTGGGAAGAGCCAAAGGAGAACCGGCCAGTGGGAGACCTCCCGGGGCGGCGGAGCGGGCGATGGGGCGGTCAGCCAATGACGGAGGCGTCCAGCGTCGGGTACCGCCGGGAAGATCAAAGAGATCTCATACGATATTATCGGTCTGTGGGTGCATCACCACCAGTACGCGTCGCGGGACCTGCTCAGGCGGCTGTGAGGAGGCTCCTGGGTGCCTCGCTCGTCAAGATACTTGGGTTTGGCGGGTTCGGAATCGCGGCTTTGCTGGACGTGACCAGCAAGCAGGGCACGGTCACCAGATGTGTGATGAAGACATTCATCGGAGACGAGGACGATGACGACGACGACCTGAAGACGGAGAGGGAGTTGCAAATATCCTTGATAAGAGCGATGCACGTGGTGCAGCTTGTGAGGTGGTCCACACTGACAGGCACACCGGTAACTTTAGAGGATGCCCTAATTGATGACAACCCGAACTTCTTCTTCATGGAGCTCATGAAGCAAGGTGATCTTAAACAGGCCATCGGAAGGGCAGGAAACGCTTACAGGGGAGAGAAACTACCCAGCAGATTGCTCTGGAAGGTTTTCGCGTGCCGTAGGTGACTGTCGGACATCCAAGTGGCGCCGAGAGACTAAAGGTGCAAGCAGTTATCCGAGGCTGTATAGCCATGCGTTATCCACCGAGACTGGACCAAATTGAGTCACTGACAGACGCAGAATGGATATCAGAAGACGGAGCCGCCATACTGGAACAAATACCTGATCCAGCCGTTCGTGACCGACGTGACTACGACTTGATCCATTTTGACCTTGATCCACAAAACAGTTAGCCTTTCCTGTCCTGCCATCTCCTGTTCATTTGAATCAGACACTAACCCAGTATTCAGTATTGATAGGAGATTTCGATGACATGGTCCACTCCGCCGTCCCTCTATTTAAGGTAAGCCCTACGGCATATATCCATCTTATAATCACCACGGATCGTGCGAAACGATAATGGACTTATACACGTGAAATTAGATTGCCGACCTCGGTCTTGCTGAGCGCAATCGAGGTGATGCTTTGACTAAAGAGCAAGTCTGACCTACCTGGATGGTTTCAAGCAATAACACTGAACGTGATCGCAGGAAGGTTTGGACCACACGACAGCGAGGGAAATCCGGCTTTTTTCTGCCGGTAAGTATCGAAACTCGCCTGTATCAGCTTTTAAATCCATGAAGTGAATTTTGACTAATGCAAAACGCTGCTAAAAGGAACAATATCATGAGGAGTGGGAATGGGCTGGAGCCAGACCGCGCGAAATGCAGCCTCCGCTGCAAGTCGCGGCGAATTATGGATCATGGTCCAACATATATCACGCCGCGATGGTAAGTCGACCTCAACGCCCCACAGCGATTATATCAGATATGGCTGGAGATTTACCTAACAATGATACTTGGAAGTGCATGCATATGGTGATAACACTTTACACCTTCCCATACCCTCCACTCACAGTCGGCCCTTTCAATGGTCAAGGCCTACCCTGGGAGTACGAAGGTGTGGGTACTATACAGGATATCAGCGGCACAGAAGTACCACCTTTCTATTCAAATGGTGCCGGGCTAGTGGACGAAAGAGGACTCGATCCACGTCTGCGAAACCTGCTCATTCGATGTCTGGCAGTGCTCCCTGCCCACCGGCCAGGACTGGAAGAGCTGCAGTCCTGGGCCACCCAGGCAGAGTCAGACCCAAATTTCTTTGCAACAATTAGCGGTGATGTGACCTCGACTGAACTGTCGGACCAATTTATATGTCGACCAAGAGAGGTGGGTATCTCTTTCGTGATTCTGCTTGATTGTTTAGGAAGTTGGCTAACACAGGAGTCCTGTGTGACAGCCCCCTCCGGTTACGAATCAAACTCCCTCACCAGTGGCGAGAGAAGCGTCGGGTGATAGGGCAATAACGTCCACTCCATATTTTTAGTAGCGGATTCGAGCTTCGCCTCAGAGCCTCTCGTCCACGGCTGGAAACGAAATTCAGTGGCGCCGCGTACAGGATGTCAGCGTGAGAATCGAAGCTCGAGGGGCCAAGGTTGGAGGAGTCTTGTCTGTTACATGATTTGTATCAATAGAGTACTGTATAACTATAACGATAGTGCCCAGCCCTCCTGGGTCATGTTCACTTTTAGAATCAAGCGAGTGCTTCCCTCTGAACCGCATCGAACGAATCATGTGTCAGTGGCTGAGCCCTCAGCTCCGATGCGCGCCGCTTGTACTTCTACAGGCTTCGGCCATATTATATTTTTTATTCAACTATTTATCTATTCATCATCTTCTCAACTTTTAAACTAACTATTAACTTATACCTTAAGTATAAAGTTAATAATTACTTAATATATATTTTTAAACTTATTTATATATAATAGAGTTACTAACTTTCTTTATAAAACTCCTTTTTCTAATATATTCCTTATATATTATATAAAAGTAAATAAATCTTTAATAATAAAGTAATATACTTAAAGAAAAAAGATTTAATTTTTAAATATTTAAACTTTTACTTTCCTTATATAATATTTATTTAACCTTTAAAAAAGTTTTAATTCTTTTATAAAATTTATATAAAAGGTTTTTAAATAGATTCATTATTATAATATTATTATTTTATTAATTATATATTTAAAATAAAGATTATAATATATTTAATTTATTTAATAAAAATACATTTAAATAATTATATAATAAATATATTAATAAAAAGAGTTAACTTATTAAATTTTATATTATAAAATTCTTTTTTATAAAAGTTATTTAAAACTATTTTAATTTTATTATATAATTAGTTTATTAACTATTAACTTTTAAGCTATTTATGTTAATAATTCTAATATAATACTATTAAAAATAATACTTTTTAACTTTATTTATATAATATAAAGTTTAACTCTATACTTATATATTATATTCTTTTTCTATTATTATTAATATTATATTTCTTTAAATATTAAATTTTAAGTATTTACTACTATATAAAAACGCTATATATATTTTATATATATAGGGATTAAAAACGAAACCACTTATACTTCTGCGCCATCAACAAGTTCCGGACAGCAGCGGCGATAGTTTCAGGTATTCATAACTAATCCGACAGATATACTGCAATCCCAGAAGCTCATCAGCAAATTTTAGCTTTCTTAAAAGGACTTTCACGCTGTATAACTTCACAGGGGTAATAACAGTTGTTCAGTAACCTTGCTATTAAAAATTGCTTTTACTAGACAGTTTCTCGAAGCGTGACCTTGCGGCTTTAGCTAGCTAATAGCAAAAATGAAACCTTAATTGACTTTTATTTCCCCCGTGGAGGTGTATAAACAGGATCGAGTTAGCTATGACACGCCATATCCGCTGTTTGACACAAAGGAATCGGCGTGTGCCAGAATCGAGTCTCATGGGAAGTGGAGGACCACTCGAGCGTTGGCTGGCAGCGCGCCGCCTTTAAACAGAATCCACCCCTGAAAGCTGGAAAGGTTGCATGCAATCCAAGTATTAACTTCTGACTTGGCCAAATATGGTCAATATCTTCGCAAATCCAAGCAACCTGTGAAACAGTAGGTCCAGAGGTGCCAATAAGAAAGACGATGAGACTATCTAAGCTTTGCTTTCTGTCGTGATATAAGGACTACACTTCCACAGGGGAAATAAATGTTGATTAAGGTTGTATTTTTGCTATTAGCTGGCTGAACCTATAAGGTTACGCATTGGTAAACCTTTGGTGGTAAGGCAACTAAATAACGTTTATTACCCCTGTGGAAGTGTACGTGCCCATGGCAAGTGTGGCGTCACTTTTGCTCCGAACAGTGCAGTGACATTATTCGTGACACTTTAACAAGCCTGCCCCGCCATGACAAAATCACCATCCAACTGCTTGACACCTTCAATCAAATCACGTCCTGTGGTACATCCACTTGGAAGAATACTCCATTACTACAGACCACAAATACAGCACTGTGGTGAATCAATGATGGGTAAAGAACCGACCCTCATAGAGCTCGCTGCCAAGCATGGGACAGACAAACACGGGAACAACAAGCCCGATCCCGACGGCACCATCCGACCGCCTCACAAGTACGCCGGCCACTATGACTTCCATTTCAGCCGCTACCGCCACCTAGACAACATCAATGTCCTAGAGATCGGCGTCGGGGGTTATGAGGACCCCAAAAAGGGGGGCGACTCGCTGCGAATGTGGAAGGAGTATTTCCCAAAGGCGCAAATTATTGGCGTCGACTACTACGATAAGACGGCGCTCCAGGAAGACCGCATCCGGATCTATCAGGGCAGTCAAGACGATCCGGCCTTTCTTGAGCGCATTTCTGAGGAGAACGGTGGCTTCGATGTCATCATCGACGACGGCAGCCACTGCAGTAACCACGTCATTGCCTCGTTCAAGATCCTCTTCCCTCTTTTGAAGATGGGTGGCATATATGCTATCGAGGACCTACAAACCTCATACTGGAAGCCTATCTTTGGTGGATCGAGCACAGATTTGTCAACCCAAACCACATCAATGGGATTTCTCAAGTCTCTGGTGGATGGGTTGAACCATATGGAGCTTGACATTCTTAATTACAAGCCGACATATTTCGACAAGCACATCACATCCATTCAATTTTACCACAATCTGGCATTTATTTACAAGGGTGAGAATGACGAAGAGAGTAACTGGATTGGACCTGATCACACAATCCCTAAGGGCTGGGAAGCGATTTCCAAGCCGAAATGGGCAGATTGACCGTGTTTTTTTTGAAGGTGGGGGGGCGAAATCGCCTTTCCAAGGTTGTCCCTCTAACTTGCTCCGATGAATATCAAGTAGATTCATCGACTCAAAAAGCTAGGGATAAAGCGATAGACATATATAGTAAATGCTGAAGGCGCCATGTATGTCCTCGGACGTATACGGAATAGCAGCGAAACCACATAGTAAATGCTTGTGAGGTCTTCGTGTGTCAAAAACAGATGAGGCACTTGAAAGATACTGTGAAATGATGTAGATTGAAAGAGAACTCAAGACTTGATTACACCTTTCTTCTCCACACACACAAGTTTGCCGTTGTCTACTTGCATAACCGTACCTCCTACCTCCTAAAGCAAGGCCTTTCATAGAAACACCATATCACTGGATCGACTGTTGGAGATAAGCGAGGCTTCTTCCACACCGGCTTGAAGCAAATTCATATGCCCAGGAATCAGCAACTCCAATCGATCAGCACTCAACGACTCGCAGCAAGAAGAGGGTTGTCGAGATCATCACGAATGGTGGACTGTGATCATCCGATGTACCGCTTTGATGGGGAATCCTTGGTCGGACTTGGGGTAAGGAATTTATCACCATGGAAATGCAGTCCAGCATGTAATTCTCCCAGATTCTCGCGGCGGCGTCTATGGATGTGACCGCGACGACGGCTGCAGACAAGAGCAAGGCATTCATTGTCTTCCAGTGGTGCTTCAGTGATCATCGTCTTTGCGTCTTGGAACTTGCACAGTTGCCGACTCCAACCGTGTGTGATCTTGCGCCATGAAGACAAGTGGGGTGGGTGGGGTATGATTATAGAATGATACATCGCCAGGGGTGCCGCAGGCATGCATATCGGTGTGAGAGCGTCCGGAGGATTGCATACTGTCTTACTGTACTTGTGACGTATCCGAAAAGATCTGATTGACTGGCCAAGAGCATGTTGGTATGTAGCTCGCTCGATTCCCATCACCCGAAGACCGTCGATCCTTCTGAATTGTTACCACCGGTCTGGCGAGGCGCGCGGGCGTGATTGAGGTAGGGACCGAACTCTCTTCCCGGAGTTGTGTTTCTAATCACCAGGTAATTATCTCACGCGACAGCGTGTGAGTACATGTGTTCGAAGTCTTCCTGCACACCTAGACATAGTCCTACATTCGGCATATGAATAATTCAATAACTGTAGCACTTTCAAGTCATACAAGATCTTGAATGACTATTACATATGCTGAAAGTCTTTTGGTCTTGACAGTAGATGCGCGAGAAAATACAACTGCATATTTGCATTGTTAAAAAAACCGAGCTTATAGACATTGAGCTACATGAGAGCAACGGTGGGGCGCGCTCGCTGATAAATCGCATGCAGGCACACAAAATAACAACATTGATCACCCCGCTCGCGTCTCCCTTCTCCACTCTCTTCTTCTCAGCAATACCGTCCCTTCCAAGGTTAGCAGCTCTTCTCACCCCTAGCATCTCTTGGGCAAATCCTGCTGTAATCCAGACAGGATAATCTTGAGCAACAGCCATGGCCACGGATGACGACTATGTCTTCACTCGAGACCTCCTCGACAACAGCCGGTTCGTATTATTTTCCAATACCGCAGCGATCTTAGCCGCATTTTTCAATCTAACCAGAAGGGTGTTTTGTACTCACCAGCCTCAACTTGATGCATTATTTATGGGTGAACGATTTTGGGTACCTGATTCACCCAAGAATCCCTACCAAGGACGCCAACCTCAAAGTAGCGGATATCGGCTCCGGCACGGGGTGAGTGTTTGCTTTCCATCCTATCACTTCTGAAAAGGGTATGTCTTGAAATATGGGACTAAATCATCGTACTCAAGAATCTGGCTGCTGGATGCACGGGACCGGCTCCCGAAATCGTCCCAGCTCGTTGGCCTCGACATCTCTTTTGATGCAGCGCCGCCCCCCGAGGCTTTTCCTGCTAATATCACGTTTCAGAAGTGGGATGTTCGTGATCCTATTCCTGACGAGTTTTGTTGCACCTTTGATATCATCAATGTCCGCTTCATGGTATTTGTCGTGCGCAAGGAAGAGGTTCCATTGGTGGTAGATAAATTCATCCAAATGCTGAGTGAGTTACATTCATGATCGACACATCTGATTCTTCACAGCAGAATTCTGTCCCAACTGACTATGAACCTATGCGCCCCTCAAGAACCGGGTGGCTTTCTGCAATGGGTAGAGCCAGATAACCAGACCGTGCACGGAGAACTCACTAAATCAGTCAACAAAAAAACAAGCATCGAAGAGCTCATGAGCCTCCTGCAGTCCCAAGACCCGCGGCTGAACCCTAAGTGGGTACCTGATCTTCCCGATGTCTTCTCGGATCGTGGTCTCTCAGACGTTGATGCGGACGTGCATACCACCCCGCCACATTGGGGTTACTTAATGCACGAGTGTGGCCTCATCATGCACGAACTCATCGCGCGGAAGACCCAAAATGAGCATATGGCGGCTGAACTGAAGAGGCTACTACCTCTGGCGGTGGAGGAAACAAAGAAGGGAGCTTACTTGGCCACTACCAAGTACGTTGTCACGGGAAGGAAAACTTGAAAGCAATTTGGGGCAAAATGGCTTGGGTTCAGTTTCCCGAGAAATGTTTACCATTCAAATGTGCAGATATCTGGAAGTATCTCGTTCATTGTGGATTAAGCTCTAAAACTGCTACAAATTCCTCTTCACCTGTCTTTCCCAAGCCGGAATTGCCCATCTCGTGATGTACTCGGAAGCCATAACATGTTCGGCAGTAAGCCTCTGCGTTGGTTCAAATGCAAGCATACCTCTGAGCAGCTCTTCCAGTGCCCTCATCTCACCGCCTGCAACATCCCACTCACAGTCCTCAGGTGTCTCGCCCCTGCCCATGTCCCATAATCGCTGGCGAAGGGGTCGCGAGATACGAGTAGTGATTCTTCGAAGCTGGCTGGCGGGGATCCACGATCCGTCCGGGTTGAAGAAGTCGCCTCGGTTTGCCCACTTATCCCACCATCGTGACGGCAGCACACCCAGCGTACTGACCATTTCGGCAATGATGTCATCTCTATCCCATGCGAAGGTTTCGAAAAGGGCCCGCTCGCCCAGCACTTCATATAGGTTGACCCCCAGCGTCCATACGTCAGCAGCTGGAGTCACGGGCTCGCCGAAGAAGTCTTCTGGTGGTAGGTAGAGCGCCGGCGTGTGTAGGTTAGGATTCGGTTCCTGTGAAACGACGAAGCTGGTACCATAATCAGAGATCAAAATCTCTGGGTCCATGACCTCGTCCGCGGGCATTTGCATACTCATAGGGTAGATCGCATGAGACGGAGCGTGGGGTTGAGGATCTTTTCCATCCAATCGTCGAACCGGAACTGGGTAGGGCTCCCCGTGAAGCTCGTACAGCTCCTCCGTCGCCAAATGATCGAAGCTAGGGACGCCAAGCAGAAAGTTACACAAATGTAGATCTGAAAGATTTGTCAGCGTTGAAAAACTGATCACGGAAACACGCTCAAATAGGAGAAGGTGGGAAAGATAAAGCACGAACCTCCGTGACAAATTCCATGGTTGTGTATATACAAAAGGCCCAAAGCAAGTTGCGCAGCTATTGACCTGGCAGACTCAATGGGAAATTTCCAATCGGGAGTCAACTCTTTGGATGCGGAGATGCTTAATCCTGCTGGCTCCCCAACCAAGCATGAATGGACGCCGTTGGGGCCATTAATTGAGAACTCGTCCAATAATCTGGGGATAAACCGCTTTCCTTCCTCTTTGTAACCGCGATCGCGAAGAAGGTGCATTATATTATGTTCTTCGGACGACAACGTTTCGCTAACCTTTATTTTCAACGACAGGTAGCGATTTTGTTGGCGGTCGCGAGCCAGCCAGATGGTCGAGTTGCCGCCGTAGCCGAGCTTGTGAACGACGGCGTATCGCCCGTCCCGAAAATAATCATTGATGAGGGTTGGGTGATAGCCGCCGATACGATACTGCTCAAAATCTTCGACATCAGCCTCCGGGAAGTAGACGTCCTCAACTGAAGAATCCGGTGGCTGGGTAGGTGTGGTCATGGCTGATACTGGTCGAGGACGTCTACCGGCAGCTGCTGCGGATAGGTTTATGGGGGACTGGAAGCACCCATTCGAATTTTGCGTGGCCACAAAGCGCGATGCCCGAAGCCGGCAGAAATGTTTCCACGGTAGCATGTCCGATAGTTGAGAGAGGCACATAGGCACTTGTGTGCATTCAAAGCCACGGGAAGGGAGATCAGAAGGGTTGTCGGTGTTTTCTACCGCAAAAAGTATCGGGCAGGCCAAGCCAAAGGATGAATGCTGACCAATGATATCATGATACTAGATTGTAGTGGGGTTAATACCTAGGTACCAACATGCTTCAGTACCCAGGAGCTTCACATGGGTCCCTGGCGTGATGACAAAGTACTTCCAGGGTCTAGTTGAACCAAACGCTCACGGCCTGAAAGTGAACGTCATTAGCAGCCTCACAGAGGCGAGTGGTCTTGTAAAGTGAATGCCATCAAGAATGAGGCTCTAATAACCGCCGTTTCCAGAACTTCCTGGGTTACGCTTTGAATGAAAATGAGATCGGATATTTGCACCCGCCAAAACGGAGGGTACACCCATACCAGGGAAATCAGAGTTTAAATTGCTTAGTTTAGAACTAAGCTATAAGTAATTATCTTATAAGTTTATCCTATAGGAGGTTGTCCTATGAGAGGTTATCCTTTGCCAGTGGGGCTTGGGTATACCCTCCGTTTTGGTGGGTGCGAAAATTCGATCTCATGAAAATAGCTACTTGCATCGTTCAAATGAGGAATTCCGTTACAGGATACGATGTGTTTGGGCCGTGCGTCTTGCCTGCGAGTTTTATCCAAGACAGCATGCTCCTATTTCACACACAATCGCCCAGTCCCCATCCATCAATAAGTGAAAGCGCTTAGCCGTACTTCCTATCGGCTTCAGGCTCGACCAAAATCTTTTCTCGACCTGTACCGTCTGCCAGCAGGACCCTCGGAGAATCCCCGGTCTCCTTTAGAACTAGCTCCAGCCTGCCTTCAGGAGTGACCTCTCTCACAAACGTCCGCAGTCTCCACGTTTTCCAATTACTCACCCCACCCCCTGTATTCTGTAGCAATGGGCTAGGCCGGGTAAGAATCGCCAGCGCCATCATCTCTCCAAGCTCCGACCATGCTCTGCTACACCAGCCGTCACCCAGGACGAGCAGCAGGAAATGACCATATACGAGCATCATGTGAACCAAGAGGACGCTCATTGAGAGCTTGATTATAGATCCTTCGAATTTGTAAGCATGCAATTGGTGGTAGACCTGGTATCCCAGCTTGGTCCGGGGGGCCTTCTCCGGGGTCGACCACCAAGGGTCGCTACCTTCTGAGAGATACCCAAACATTGATTGCGTTCTTCTCAAAGAGTCCGTCAAGTATAGCGCATGTGCGAGCATCGCACACTTGGGTTGTAGATCATCCATGACCCTCATGTGACAATAGCGCTGTATGAACTCAAAGGGGCCGAGATAGTCTGCGCGGGCTGACCTGTTCATATAAATCGATGAGACAGTAAAATTAGTATCTAGAGAGTTGGCGAATTCCGGTGTGATATTGATAACTGGGTTGGTTTCCGAAGTCGCATTGGACCCCGTGATGGCCCGCATAGATTCCAGTGACATGCCCGACCGCATAATGGATGCGTAAGGCGCCTTGTACCAGACCTGGGATTCGATCCATCTTGCGTCAACAAGACAAAGATAAGTTGCACTGTTTGTAAACCGAGCGCTGCGGTCACCCTGCATCAAAAATGCCGTGGAAACAGTAATTCCAGCGGGAAGGAGGTGGGTTATGTCCATGTATGTCGCGATGGGCCCGTCTTTAGTCTCCATTCTCTTTATCTCAATTTGCAGGTATGTGTCTGAGGACATTTTAAATGATGGAAAGGAGCCAAATGTCTGAAAATGCAGCTCATCTGAGCCATCGTGAGGTGCTGTGGTGCATTGCAACGACACGGAAGGTTGACGCCAGGTCCGCCTCCCTTTACCGACGTCGAGTGCTTGAGCTGTCATCATGTTTATGCTTGACGATTCCGGCATCCAAGTACGATATCGGTCAAAAAGTTTGTGAGTAACCAGCGCCAACGGTGACGTTGATTGAACCGCAACTGATTGACAGATGATGTTCGTACAATCATGATGTGGATTGTCGGGGTCCCCCATGATAGTCTCAACCGTTGTGTTTTGCTTTTTGGCGAAATACCTGCACATTCGGAATTCGCAGTCTGAGTCGTCCGTGGGTTCCTCTTGGTAAGCCAGTCCAAATGCACCATACCATACATTAGTAGGTACTAGAGATAGTCACTATAACTACCCACACACCTCTTATTACCTCTTAACTACTATACTACTTCTCTTCTTTTAAAACTATTATTATAATATTTATCTTAATCTAATAATTATAATAATATATATTATTAAGTTTAAATAATCCTTTTTAAATTTTAAAGTTATTTTAAAGGTTTAAAATAATTATAAAGAAAAAGGGGTTATAAGAGTAGAAATAAACTTATTAAAAAGGTTCCTTCTTTTTAAATAACTCTTTCTTTATTCCCTTATAGTTAGTCTCCTACTTAGATATACTAACTAGTTAAGAAAGATTTTCTCTCTTTTTCTTTCTATTAAATTTTTTTTAAGTTTTTAGCTTTTATTAACCTACTTTTAATAGCCCTACTTTTAATAACTCTACTTCTAATAGCCCTACTTTTAATAGCCCTACTTTTAAATCTTTAAATATAGAATTTTAATTAATTAACTTAAAGGAGGAAGGTAGAGGAGTTAATATTAAAATTAAAGGAAGAAAGGAAGGAAGGAAGGAAGGAAGGGGAAGGGGAAGGGGAAGTACTCCTCCTCTCTTTATATAAAAAAAGATACCTTTAAAGTCCACAACCCTTCTCCCTTTTATAAATCCTTCTATAAATTTATTTCTTTACTATAAGTCTATTTCTTCCCTATAAATCTATTATTACTAAAAAGTTACTAAGAAGCTATTTAACTACTTAAAAGTTAATATTCTCTTCTCTCTAAATATACCCAAAATCAGTCTTACAAATAAGGGGTTTCTAACATAAATAATAGCCCTAATGACCATCTCTAGTACCCACTAACGCACGGTATGGCATCGACCGTCGCGCCGTCTAATACAGTAATGTTGGTGTTTCCTCGCAAGCTACCATAAACAAGAACCCTGTCTAACCCGGTTATCAACTGCTCAATCCTGTTTGAAAGACTCGACGTCAAGCCGTCATCGGATGTGGCGAGGCTCCGCGCAAAATCACCGTCTATGAGCGGAGGGAAGAGCTCGTTGAAGGGTGCTAGTATGTATTCAGCAGTACCCAGGTCCAATTTTGTGAAGTTCACCATGACAGGATCGTCTTTTGGGATCTGCCACCAGTCGTACCTCGGAAGCATGAGGACTCCAGAGCTAGGGGCAGCAAGTAGCGCCAATACCGATACAAGCACAACCAGAAAGATCGTGACGAGTTCCGGTCCACTCTTCAGCGTGAATTTTGCCGAAGCCAAAAACGGCGTTTGGAAGATGGAGAAAGGGGTCGCGACGCGGAATGGCGATACCAAAAGGCCGAATGAAATCCCGCGGCCGGTCATTAACTGGTACCGGATCCGGTGGAAGAGAATGTCGGCGAGTGAAATCATTATAAGTGACTCGTGAAGTTTTGCAGCGAAGAGCAATGCCTTTAGCTGAATGTCGTTCGCCCTCCATTGGAACCCCTCTAGGTACAGCCAGAACAACACCATGGTGATCGCAACGGGAACAAAATGTAACCAGAGAAAGTAGCAGAATGCCCGCTTCCTACTTTTGGTCCAGATGGATTTTGGCTCTTCCTTGGCGGCCCTCTCACGTCGCAAAGCTTCTTTCCCGTCCCTTGCTCTGGTATAGATCTTCTTTCCAACCTCAGAAGTACAATCCTCAAGACTTTCGTTTCTCTGGGCGACTAGAGTCTGTAGTCCAGAGGATGGAGCGCCTGTGATATCATTTTCACTGTCGGTACTTGGGAGAGACACCGTATCTTCGCCCTCACCAGCCAACGAAGATATTGAGCAAGGCGATGGAGCTCGCGGATCATTCAATTGCTCCATTTCGAAGAAATGCATACCCAGGTAGACCTAGGGAAGAATGAGCGACTGCGGTTTCAAGTCTTTTCATGTAACGTTGCACGAGGTCATCTAGTGAATCAATGAGTTGAGTGATAAAATGCTGGAGACAAGCATTATCCCAATGAAAGGCCTGTTAGTTTGGCGCTCAGAAGTTATTCAGCCGTTGGGCATCAAACAATCAGAGGGGAAAGAGGAGAGAAAAGGGATTGTAAACGGGCCATTGTTTGGGAGGAAGGCTGTATGGCACCCAACACACCCGTCCTCATGCGGCCAAGCACGCAGCTCTTCTGTCGTGTAACAACCCGACGCGGGCGACTCAGTAAGACTTATCCAACAAGTCGACGGTGCGTATGCTGACTGCAGCAGTCAGCCAGGAACATACGGCTGGAGGATGCATTTGTGTGGTATCACCGCAAGACACAACCAATGGGCGTAGCCCGACTCATACACAACTTGCTCGAGACAAGCAACGCGATTCGATTTTCTCCACTTTAATGTTCCAGCCGGAGGAGTGTGTCCTGTCTTCAGGCTTCCGTTACGCGATGTTACCAAAACATTGCCACTCTCGAGCATTTGAAAGAACTTTTGATACAAGAAAAGATACTTTACAATGCAAGGCGTTTCCTTCAATGGGTAGGTACTGGACGGGTGACCAAAGAGAGCTGGGTGCGTGGACGGAGTAGCTGATACTTCTGCGCCCCCAACGGCCCCCACGTGGGCACGCCCACATTGATCACAGCTTGCCGTCCTTTCTCGACTTGCGCAGCTCCGCTGTTACTGCAAGCGCACGCCTGGTCGCCAGGTCCAGCATGATCTCCTCGCTTCCTCCGGGCACAGTGATTGCCTTGACATCCCTCCAGATCCGCTCTACCCGCTCCCCTCGCCCGGCTCCCCTTGTCAGGCCCACGCCGCCCATGATCTGGATCGCCTCTCGCACCACATGCTCCAGCACGATGCCGCTATGCGCTTTGACCTGCGCCGTCGTTCCCGCGAGGAGGAACTCGCCCTCTTTCTTGGACAGATGGCCCAGCTGGTAGATCAGGCTCTGTTGGTACAACAGTGTGTCACGATTAGCCAGTGATTCAATTTGGCGGGGATCATCGTTTCCCAAGCCATAGTGTGCAATATTCTGTCTAGACTTACCTCGACCCACGATTGTAGCGCTTCGGTCTCTCTGCTCATGTTGGCAAATTTCAACCGGATAACAGCTATTCCAAGAAAACCATCAGCATGCTGAGTATATTAGTGGGCAGGCGGGCCATGTTAACTTACGATGCTCAGTCAGTTTCTTTCCAAAGGTTTCTCGACTCAAAGCGTAGCCGATCGAATCCTCCAAGCAGACCCGAGCGCATCTCACTGACTGCATCGCAATGAAGAGCCTCTAGAAGCAGATAAATGATTAGCCGAGAGATTCACTCAACAAGTTGATGCCACGCCGTTCCTCACCGGGCTCCTTACCTCATGGTTGAAATTGGAGACAATGTACTTGAACCCCTTCCCGCGCTCACCCACGACCATATCCAGAGGCACTTCGACGTCGTCAAATTCCACAAATGCAGTGCCTGCTGTCGTTGAGCCCGATATCTCCATGTGCCTAGTTGATACGCCCTTCGTCCGTGGAATTACTATCAGGGTAAAATCCCCACTGTCTTCCTTGACCAATGTCAAGAAATACTGCGCGTACATGCCACCTGTGATCCACTAGTTCTCGATGTCAATATGTGTACTTTACCCATGCACACTCTTGTCGAGCAATAATGACTAGTCGCTGACACCCGTAGCACATACCTTCTTCTGGCCGTTGATGATGAGCCGGCTGCCATCACTCGAGAGTACTGCTTCTGTCTGAAGACCACGAACGTCCGAGCCTGCGTCAGGCTCCGTGACGGCCAGGGCTATCCGTGCTTTTCCTGAAAGGACTTCATGTACGACGCTTTTGTCGTTGAAAGAGTCAACCTCTTGTTAATTACGGGGAGGTTAGATAAAGGATACCACGCAATCAAGTACACACTCACGTCTGTTGCAGCTTTGCCGACCCAAACCTGTGAACCGCAGGAATCACAAGCGTCTGTTTTTCAAGTGGATTAGCAGTAACTCATTCGTTTAGGTCTTGGATTGGAGCTTACCGTTCCACCAAATAGCCCATTCTCGAGTCTAAGGGGTGTGAGGTGACCTCTTAGCATGGACACGACAGCACTTCAAGACCCTCCAAGGATGACTCACCCTATCCCACCCGTACGTCCTATCTCATCATGAACAATCAGGTCATGAAAGCCGTCCCATTCTTCAGCTGAGACATCTCCAATAATGGGGTATTTTCCTTTCCACTCAGGGGGTATGCTGGGCCCGGCGGCGATTGGCATCAGAAGACCGTCCTTGGCAGCTTGCTCATATATCCAATCCGGGATCGACGCTGTTTTCTCCCAGCCTTGAATATTTGGGGAGAGATTCTATATTCTGGTGAGTATTTGAGTGACTTTTGAAGGGGTCCTCATCTCGTACCTTTTCCACCCAGGAACGCATCGCCTCGCGCAGTCGCCTGTGACTGTCCCCGTAGTATGGGCTGGGGCAGCCTCGCGCCCATGCAGGCTCTGCGAACGGCAGAATCGAGCCGTGCAGCCAATTCCTGCTTACTTCTTCTGAAATCACCGACATGGTGTGGTTGCTGAAGGTGGGGTCGACCGAGTTGGTGTGATTAGTGATTCAATGGGAGTCCGCGGCAATCAGGCGTGTGGATCTGAGCAGAGCATATGTCACTGTCTCAAAACTCGAATCAAATGTAGTCACACAAAACATCGACCATAACTACCCCAGATGTCAAATTCTAAAAACGATCACGGTCTGCGCTAATGCATTCTCCAGCATTCTCGCGTCGCGAGCTTCCAAGGTTGGTCCGGCACCCTGAAAGGCTAATTCCGACTCGCACAACCGAGGTCCGCGTTCGCGGAATGCCGTGCGGAGTCTGCCTGCCAAACTTCGGCCCATCCACCTGTTCCGTCCGCTGTCACCTGGGCCTTCAACAAGCGAGTCTTGGCCGTCGGGATCACGGGACCGACTGTCGAGGGGCTGTGCGCTGTTACACGTCGGTCGTCTCCAGAACTATCAGTACTAAATTGCGTTTATCTTGCAAGGGACGTTGCCCCTTGTTGTCCTAGCACACTGGCTGTGGTTCCGGCCTAATAGAGGAACTAAAAGCAGACGACTGATAGTCTACTACTTTTACACAAGACACATATATCCCCTTTCGACATTGTTCGAGTGTATCGCGACTCCTTGGCTGCATGTACCAGCCAAGAATAGTCCTCATATCACCGACCCTTTATTGGTGTTACTACTTAACTAATTCCTCATGATCGTGGATCAGCTTCTTCCTGGGTCTTTTGGGACTCTTGCCCTGTGGCTAGTCACTGGCATACTTGTCAAGTTCATCTTCAACAAATATGGGAGTGGGATCAATGGAGTACCCGGTCCTTGGCTAGCCGGGTTCACGGATTGGTATAGATTATTTGTTGTGTGGGGTCGACGGCCAGAGCTGTGGCACATCGCATTACACGAGAAGTATGGAAAAGTTGTGAGGCTTGGCCCCAACTCGGTGTCGATAGCAGACCCGGAATACGTCAAGGCTATCTACGGGCCGAGCACCGGATACGTCAAGGTAAGAAAAGCCCATCAGTGGTTCAATGTCCGGACACTACGTGCGAGTGTGTTCAAATGTTGACCACCAAACTTTTAGTCGGACTTCTACCCCGTGCAGCAAACACTAGCCGCCGGCCAGCGCCTTCAGTCTCTCTTCAACTCGACGGACGAAGGGTTCCATGCCCGGCTTCGAAGGGCAGTGTCAAATGCCTACGCGATGAGCTCGCTGGTGGCTTTCGAGCCCCTGGTCGACGACACGACTGTTGCCTTCCTCCAGCAGCTGAAGCAGCGCTTCGCTGGCAAGTCCGGAGAGGATGCAGTCTGTGATTTCGGCCTCTGGCTGCAGTTCTATGCCTTCGATGTCATTGGAGAGTTGACGTATTCCAAGCGTCTAGGTTTTGTGGACCGTGGCGTAGATGTTGACCACATCATTGGGAATATGGAGAAATTACTGGATTATGTGGGGGTGGTGGGTAGACTGACGAAGCACTACGAGATCCCCTGAGGAAAGCCGCAGCTGACGAAGACAACACAGGTCGGCCAAATGCCCATCCTAGACAGCATCTTCTTCAAGAACCCGATCAGGCTCTGGATGAGCAGGAACAACCTCCTCAACTCCAACACCCCCGTGGTCCAGTTCGCCCGTGCACGCATGGCAGACCGCAGCGACGAGATCGAGAAGGGCCAAGCCGTCACCAAGCCCAAGTCCGCCACCGGGAAGCCCGAGAGGAGGGACTTCCTGTCGCGGTTCATCGAGGCCCGGGGCAAGGACCCAGAGTTCATCAGCCAGCAGCGCGTCCTGGCCCTGACCGTCGCCAACATGTTCGCCGGCTCCGACACCACGGCCATCACCCTGCGCTCCATCTTCCACAACCTCCTCACCCACCCCGCCGCCATGGAGAAGCTGCTGGCCGAGCTCGCCGCGGAGGGCGCGGCCGGCAGGCTGGCCAAGGCCGACTACGAGACTGATGACCGCGAGAGGGGCGAGTATGCGGAAACCCTCGTGCGCTGGAACGACGTGCGCGAGCTCCCGTACCTCACCGCCGTCATCTACGAGGGGCTGCGGTGCCACCCGGCCGCTGGGCTGCCGCTCGAGCGCATCGTGCCTGCTGCAGGGCTGAACATTGACGGCCACCATATCCCTGCGGGCAGCATCGTCGGCTGCTCGGGCTGGGTGATTCACCGTGACGAGGGCGTGTATGGGGCCAAGGCGGATGATTTCCGTCCTGAGCGGTGGATCGAGGCGACGCCCGAGCAGCTGTCGAAGATGAGGAACTGCCTGCTGTCGTTTGGCCAGGGCTCGCGCACCTGCGCAGGGAGGAACGTGTCCCTGCTGGAGATGTACAAACTTATCCCTGCGTTGTTGCGGATGTTCGAGGTACGTTTGTGGGTTGACCAGCCACTCCCCAACCTGGCCTCATATAGAAAGATAAAGAGGACCCTCCCCCCTTTCAGGCCCCCCCTTCAGGCCGACCCGTACTATTTGCCCGGTTGCTAACATGCTGTGTCTCCTCAGCTGGAACTGGTCGATCCGGAGAAACCCCTGACGTTTCGCAATTCGTGGTTCGTGAAGCAGAGTGGCTTCCGCGTGCGTGTTCGGGAGCGGGAGAATGTCCTGTGATTGAAGCCCATGTCAGTGCAGTAGAGGTGGAAGGACATGATTGCGTAAATTATGTACTTCATTATCAAGACTGTGGTCACTAGTTATCACAGTACGATCGAACATTACAACCCACTCTATAGGGGTATAAACACCTCAGCTTCGACAGCGACCCCTGGCTCCTACTTCTTTTACTCCACATGGAACAATAAACTCGCAACCATCAATGATGACCTACTAGCCTAGGTTCCTAGGTAGATACTAACGATGTGACATTCACTTTTCGAACTTAGCACCCATAGAGGCCATGTCTACGGCCTATAAAAAAATTTACTTCTTAATCTTAGCTACGAATGTTTTATCGGGCTTTGCTCTTGTGCCGTACACGTCCGAAGAGACACACCTCGCCTTCACACAGTGGTAAAAGTCCAAAAGCTCAGCGTCTGAAGAACATCCAACAAGGACAACAGTGGTAAAATACGGGTAGTTATATTCAGTGGTGCTACTGCTATGAGGAGCGAGGTAAAGCATCCTATATACAAACTACTAAAGTCGCGAGGGTGTGCGCCCCGTCTCCTCCTCCCATTTCTTCTTCGCATCCGCAGTGGCATCATACCCGTAGAGCCAATCCTGAAATATCGTGTTCCCCATCAGGTTCGGGCTGCTTGGGTAATCGCCATATTCAAACACGCCACGCCGCATGGCCAGCGGCTCTTCCTCCTTCATGTGAATGAAGAACCGATTCGTAAAGCTGCCCCGCTGGATAGCGTGTGCGCGGCGGACCCGCGTCCGGTAGAAGAAGTCCAGGAGCTTTGGCAGCTGGTCCTTGGACTCGATGTGCGACAGTGTGGACCCGAGGACCGCGGCGTCCTCGATGGCCATCGCTGCCCCCTGGGCCAGGTAGGGAAGGGTCGCGTGGGCGGCGTCGCCGATGACGACCATCTTACCGCTTGAGTGCACCCAGTCGTTGATGGTCGGGAGGTCTATGAGCCGCCACTTCTCCACGTCCTCTGGCAGGAACGAGAGGAGCTTCTGGGTCCTATAGATGGATCGGTGAGCTGGGGGAGCAGGATACGTGATAGGGGGTGGAGCAAAAGCCACGTACATGGATGACCAGCCCTTGTAGGCGTTTCTGACCTCAGTAGCCGTCGCTGGCGCCTTGTACCCTTTCATCTTCCGGTCGTCTGGGATGACCATGAGCAGGTTGAATGTCTTCTCCTTTTGCATGTTGTAGCCGATGATGTGGTGGTCAGGCCCGAGGAACTGCTCAAAGTTCGGGTCCAGGCTGAGCGGCGCGAGCTCCGGGTCGTTGACGAGCACCTCGCGCGGTATCACCACCCGGAAGCAGGTGTCGCCGGTCTCGTGCGGCTCGACGTCGCGCCCCAGCGCCTTCCTGGCGATGCTCTTGACGCCGTCTGCGGCGATCACGAGGTCGCCGCGGACAACCTCGCCGGACTCGAGCACGACCGCGCCCTCCTCTGGCCTGTACTCAACCACCAGGACGTTCTTGCGGAGGCTCGCGCCCGCCTTCTCGGCGGCCTGCAGCAGGACCTTGTGGTAGTCGGGCCGGTATACCTGCCAGTAGGGGGCGCCGTACTTGTCCTTGTGGTTCGACATGACCGTGAAGCCCTCGGGCTTTCCGGTGCGCCAGTTGCGGTAGTTGATGCGCGAGGGCTTGGAGGAGACCGCGTCCATCTGCTCGCCCAGCCCCCACCGGATCAGCTCCCGCGACGCATTTGGCGGGACTTGGACTCCTGCGCCGATCTGCGAGTGAATTAGCCAGCTGCTCGTGACAGATTGTGGTCTGTCTGGGCTTGGCAAGTCTGTCTGCTGCTCCGACTCTCACCTACCTCGACGAATTCTGGAGCCTGTTCCAGCACTGTGACTTTATGACCTGCTCTTCTCAGGGTCACTGCTGTCCCCAGCCCTCCCATGCCGGCCCCCACTATGATTACGTCCAGCTGGCACTTTGCAGTCATGATGTCTGTCGATCGTGGTGTTTGATCTGAAGTGGTATCGGAAGAATCTGTTTGAAAACTTCAATATACATGCCCTTCTAGCCCAGTCTCACTCAAGCCTTGTATGTGACTTCTTGATCGTTCGATCACGGAGTGCCAAGCCACGTGAGCGGTCCTGTGTATGTTTGTGCCGTAGTGCCGGGGACCTCGGGACGGAACGCTATACCCGTCTCCATTCCGAACTGACCGCATTTTCGGATGCGTGAAGGGTTAGGGCCGCTGTCTGGTGACGGCCTGGGGAAGCGTAAGCTCCCCCTCTTTGGTAAATTTGATTGTTGTGTACGAGTCATGACGATGAGAGAACAATGTGCGACATGCAAGAATAGCTGCTGTGTAGAGGGCCTGTGTAAGTATTGGGATTTCCTGTCAAATTAGAGTTGTTCTAACTACATCACTAAAAACACTGCTTTCGGTAACGAAAAGAAAACCAACAGCACAAAACTCCTTTTCTGTGGAGACATTAATTGCCCGTGCACAAGATAAATTTTATCAAGAGAACGGAAATTCGTGTACCCTCAATCAGAAGGTGCGTACCCATCTACTAACTAAGAAGTATTCTATATAAAACGACTTCTTCTTAAAAGGGCCAGCTGAGGTAAAGAGGGCAAGCCCTAGAGTGTAAAGTATAGTGGAGGGCTATAAATAGGGCTAGTAGGTATAACTTAAGTTCCTAAAGGACTAACCTACCCTATTTATAGTTCTTTATTATAAAGAAGCCTTATTTATTAAAGTTATAAAGACTTTAAGGCTTTATACTCTAATTAGTTAAATAATAGGGAGGGTATATACCTTCTAATTAAGGGTACACGAATTTCCGTTCTCTTTATCAAAGCCAAGGAGCTGCTTGGTACGTCATACACAGCGGGCGAGTTAACAAACCCACCACCGTTATAATATAGTAGTTGCGGAGATGTATGCTGAACTACTCTGAGCGCAATATCAGAATGTTCTAGCTCTTTGCTGCGTATAGTGTACAATGTGACAGCTTGCTCAAGTGCTATGTTGGCTTCCTAAGGTACTGAACAGGCATATTGCTGGTCTAGAAGACAATTTGCTGGATTGCGAGGCCTCTTTGTAGACATCCCAATGCCTAGGTGGTGCTGGAATTTGCTCTGAGAAAGGCCTAAGAAAGCTGACCGTGGCTTCTCTCTTGAATTTTGAAACTGTTTGGACTTAACTTGGGCGTGGGTGACTTCATTACAGGGGACTACGAGGTGGACATCCTTTCGCATCTGGCCGCCACTAACAATGCTCACGCAAATGCTCTAAGATTGTATGCCCAGCAACATCTGGACCATGTTTACACTCACACTCACGTGTCATTTTACGTTCACATATGCAATGGGCAACTCTCCAATGTTTCTGAAAAAAGTTTGGACTCATGCATTTTGCATTACTTTCATAAGTTCGGTGATAGTTTCCTTGTCGGATTCCTCTTCTCCTCACTCCGCTCTATGCGCACCACGAACGAAGTAGCCCGGCCCGCATCCTCGCCTCCAGCCCCTTCGTTCTTGTCGCTGAATAATACATGCGCTGTCTGGCCCTCAACTTCCAAGCAGCTACCCTCGACGCTGGCCCGGCTCCCGTCACCCCCAAGCACGCGAGGCTGTACTGGGCCGTCGCGGGAGTTGTGTATTGCCACATGTGCAAAGGCTGACTGAAGTGCCGCCCGGGGGAAGGTCCCCAGATAATAGTGCTCGATGGTCGGCGGCCCCCTTGCGAGCGGCTGAAGTGTCTCAAAGAAGGGCTTGGCGGCTGCGCTCTCGGTGAAGCCCGCGTGGGCGTCCATGCTCTCCCACTGGGTCAGTGAGACCGCGAAGTCCCCATCTGGGCTGCCGGGGGTGATGATCTTGCCCGTTTGGACTGATATGATGCCGCGTTGGGCCAGGAGGACAGGCTCGAGCTTCGTTGCGAACGTGGAGAGGAATTCCTCGAAGGGGATCGCTAGCGGGATCCGCACGAGCTCTGTGACCGGGCCTGTACTCGTCATGTTTGTGTGGGGATATTCAGCTGGTAGTCACAGGGCGTGGTTGTAAGATGGGATGGATATTTGGTTGTTATCCTGTTTTTTTGTGTCGAGGCTCATATGTATCCTCGTCTCTGAGGACACCTGAGAAGTTGATGCGGCTGGCAGTCGTGCCAAGAATTGCCGCACAACAGCGATCACGAAAGTAACTACAGCGGGTCCCGGAATTTCCGGCAGGGTTCCGTAATTGGGTTTGGCGTCTGTGATCTTACTGAAGTATGGGTCTGAAATCACATTCACGCTGACATGAGATTTCACGTGAATATCGCCAGATGTGAATATGGACCTTGCAATTATTCAGGAATGTGAGACTGATGTGCATACAAAGACCACGCATGTGCTTTTAATTTCTTTACTGTGAAAGAATTTGTTCCATGCTGAATGACTCGGAGCCTATGACAGTGCCGGCAAGATGGTACCCCTGCACTCCCCAAAGCCAACGTATCCATTTTCTTCGTCCCCAGCTCGCCCAGTGATGGCGATGGTATCTCCGTCTTCCAAGAATATCCTCGTCTCGGAGGACCCTGGCAGCTGTATCGGGTTCTTGCCACCGTCAGTCGCCTCCAGCATGGAGCCCTGGGTGCCTTTCTCGGTGCCGCTGATGGTGCCGGAGCCGAGCAGGTCCCCCACGCTGAGGTTGCATCCAGTGATGGTGTGGTGGGCGATCATCTGGGGGAACGACCAGAGCAGGTTCGACGAGCTGGTCTTGGTGAGGGTTGTCTTGCTCCCAGCAGCAGCTGTAAAGTAGAGCGGGGCCGTTAGCATATAATCAATAGTCACAACTCGCATTGAAACCCCCAGACTTACTTTCCAGCTCGACCTCGAGCTGTATATCCAGCACGTTGTCCTTCCTCTCCTCCACGAGATATGGCAGAGGCGTGTTCTCGTTCGGCAATGCAGGCGCCTGGTGGGGCTCCATGGCGTCCGCCAACACCACCCAGGGGCTGATAGTCGTGCCAAAGTTCTTGGCCGTGAACGGGCCGAGGGGAATGTACTCCCAGGCCTGGATGTCCCTCGCCGACCAGTCGTTCATCAAGACATACCCAAAGACATAATCCGGCGCCTCGCCCACCGAGACGGGCGTGCCCATCTCGCTCGGCCTCCCCACAAGCGCCGCGATCTCCAGCTCAATGTCCAGCCGCCTGCAGGGCGCGAAGCTGGGCGTCGTGGAGCCCGGCGCCGGGATCTGGCCCCTGGGCCGGCGGATCGGCTGCCCGGAGACGACGATGGACGAGGCGCGCCCGTGGTACGCGACGGGCATGTGCTTGTAGTTTGGCTGCAGGGCCTTGTCGGCGCCGCGCAGGATGGTGCCGACGGTGAAGGCGTGGCGCAGCCCCGCGTAAAAGTCCGTGTAGTCGCCGATGCGCATGGGCATGTGCATCGTCACGTCCGACTGCGGCAGCACCGCCCGCCCGCGCAGGTCCGCATTGTCCCTCAGCAGGCCCGCCCTCTTTGTGTCTGCCGCCAGGACGTCCTGGAGGTACAGCCTGACCGCGTTGGTCACGCGCCTGCCCAGTGCGGCGAAGTTGTTGAGCGTTTCCTCCCCGAAGACGTGCAGGTGGCTCTTGATCTCGGGGAGCTCGGCGAAGCCGCCTCCTTTTGCGAACTCGTCAAGGTCGACCACCGAGGACCCGATGGCGACCGCTGGCCTGCGAAGCTGGTTTTTGGACGAGGATATGATGCCGAAGGGGATATTCCTCAGGGAGAAATGAGACCCCTTCGGGATCTCGATCCAGGACTTGAGTGCTGACATTTTGATATTGGTCTTATGGTCTCGCGTTGTGTTGATCGCTATAATTACACCGTCTCGTCTCATTCGATGTAGCCGTGATAGTTCTCAAATGTATTATAAACTCAATCCCAGCAGCTCACAGCATAGACTGCCGCCAATTCGTGGCGGAACTAATGAGGCCCGTTCCGAAATCCCGGTTGCGGCTCAGCGCCGAGGTGGGCAGCCCGAGCCGACATGATCCTCCGGGCCCGGAGCCCACCAACGCCTCCCCCGGGACCGAGTCTCAACACGGCTTGCGATGGACGAAGTGCCCAATGAAGAGGTAGTTCAAGTCGGGAAGGCGATAGACCCGTTGCTCAACCAATTCGAATGGTGAAAACCAATATAAACCAAAACCCGAATGCCGAGGAATGGCGACGCGGCATTTTTTGACACGTCTCGCAGCTACTGGTCTCAGCTCTAGGTGAAGGCTTGTGTTAGACATGAAATGCGCAAATAAAATATGAACGACTTATGCTTGGCGATTGTTCTTTGCTGTTGGATGCATTTAAGGTGGTCACTTATTATCCCCAAGAGACCGTGTAGTTACTCCTATTAAACTGATGCATTACTACAAGTCTCAAAGGCATCTATCGAAAGAAGTGACTTCAAAGGGATAAGCTGATAATTCATCGCTGCTATATATCATGTGACCGTAGGAGATCAATATGTGTCTCCGTCCATGCTATTTCTGGCTTCCCTCGGGCCGTACAAAATGTGGTTTCAAAGGCACCCAACTATGCGCGTTGTAGTCAGCCTGCAACTTCTTGCAGTGCTCCAGCCCCCAATCGGTCACGCCAACCATCAGGGAGCTCTCAAACATGAACGCCATGCTGCCCTCCCCGACCTTGTGAGGCTTCAGCTCGGCATTGCTGGCGCGCTGGTGCGTGTCCGCGTCTGGCCCGTGGGAGGCCATCACGTTGTGCAGACTGGCGCCGGCCGGCTGGAAACCACCACCGGTCTTGGCATCGTAGTCCCCACAGATCAGGCCCATGAACTCAGACATGGTGTTGCGGTGGTACCAGGGCGGCCGGAACGTGTCTTCGGCCACCAGCCACCTCGGCGGGAAAATCACAAAGTCCGCTATGGCCGTGCCGGCAAGTGCCGACTGGGCGGTGAGGACGGTGTAGATGCTTGGGTCAGGGTGGTCGAAGCTGGTGCTGCCGATGACGTTGAAGCGTCCCAGGTCATACTTGTACGGATAGTACAGCCCGTGCCATGCCACGACGTCAAAGGGGGTGTGCCTCTGGTGAGCCACGTACGACTGGTTCGCGTACTTGATGGTGATGGCCCACTCGCTGTCCGTGTCCAAGTCATACGCGGCAACAGGCGCCTGGAAGTCCCGGGCGTTGGCAAGGCCGTTGGAGCCGATCGGCCCCAGCTCCGGGAGCGTGAAGTGGTGCTGCTCGTACGTCTCCAGGATGTAGCCCCTCGCGGGGCCGTCGGGCAGGGTGACGCGGTAGCGGATGCCCCTGGGGATGACGGCGATCTCGTTGGGGCGCACGAGCAGCCTCCCGAGCTCCGTCTGGATGTCGAGGACCCCGTGCTGCGGCACGATCAGGAAGTCCCCGTCGCCGGAGCTGAAGGCGCTGTGCGGGCTCATGTCCCTCCCCGCCGCGAAGATGATGATGCCGATGCCCGTCTTCATCGTCGGGTCGCCGACACCGGCGACGTGCTTCAGGCCGCTCACCCAGTCGGTCGAGTCGTCGAGGTCGAACGGGTTCCACCGCATCTGGTTGGGGATGTGGTGCAGATTCTGGGGCCTGGCGGACGCGCCGGCCGGGCTCCCTTCCGCGGGGGCGGGCTCGAAGGACGAGTGGGCCGCCGACGGGAGGACCCTGTACATCCATGTCTGCTGGTTCTGCTGCCGGGGGGCCGTGAATGCCGTGCCTGAAAGCTTCTCTGCGTAGAGGCCTAGTGGTGGCTTCTGCGGTGAGTTTTGGCCTATGGGCAGGGCACCTTTCTCCGCCTCGGTCCTGCAAATTTCAGAGTCAGAGTTAGCTTATTGATCCTTGTGATATGTCGCCGGGAGTCCGTACTCATGATAAGAGCCGAAACCATTCTTGTATTCGTACTTCTCGGCGAAGCGAAAAGCGGTAGATGGCATATTGAGGTAATCGCAGGGCGGGCTATTCGGGATTGGTCAGGCGGCACATATGAGACTGATTCCAGATGTCACGAAGCTGCCAGTAGGGTTGATGTATCAATATTGGAGCCATACATCTATGTGGGCCTGAGTTCGATGGTTTCTCATGATGACTATGTACTTTCTATCTTGTGTTCCGTCACTGTGAGGTTTGTTAGTCCAAGGTTCACGGACGGTGGGATCACGGCCCGTTTTCGGAAAACGCGGAATTACCTGAGAGCTGCGACCCCCGCACCTGATGCGCGATGCCGAAGGAGAAGCTTTGGCATTGAGTTTTTGTATGTCAGCAGCAGGACTGATGTGCTTTATGAATGCGAGCCAAGACCCATTGAACGCGACTTGAAGGGTAAATAAAGCGTTTGTTATTTCAACCCAAGATAGCAGATTGAATCAGGATCAAAGTCGACAACATTGAATCAACTCGAAGTCCAACTTAGAACATTCAAACAAAACAGCCGCGACGATGACACAATCAGGGATACAGCTGCCTCCCCGCAAGCTTTACCTGGGGAATGAGGTACGTTCAATCATAGTCTACGGCGTTGACAAGGACAAGCTGCTAAGTTCAGGAATACAGTACGCGGATAGCCTCAGCTCATCCAAGGAGAGATTGACATTGTTAAACCCTGTGGACGACTCTGTCGTGGCGAACGACCTGCAGATCGCCGGGAAAGAGGACGTAGACCGCGCCGTCGCCAACGCAAAAGAGGCCTTCCGCAGGGGCCCATGGGCAAAGTTCACCGGAGGCCAGCGTGCAGCGTGTCTGCAAAAGTTCGCCGACCTCGTCGAGAAGAACGCCGAGCGGCTCGCGCAGGCTGAGTCCCTGCCCACAGGAGCCCCCGTTGCCGGGATTATTCATTTCGACCTGGCACACGTGGTGCAGGTTTTCAGGTGTAAGCAGACAGACCTCTGGCTCGGGGACGGTGCTGACCGTCAACAGACTATGCAGGCTGGGCAGACAAGATCCGCGGCGAGTCGTTTGGCGAGGACAACGGGTTCGCCAAGATTGTCCGGTACAAGCCGCTCGGCGTCTGCGCGGGCATTGCGTCGTGGAACGCCACATTCCTGTACATTGGGTGGAAGATCGCGCCCGCCCTCGCAGCGGGCAACACGTTCATCTTCAAGCCCTCCGAGAAGTCACCGCTGGGGGCGCTGGCCATAGCACCACTGTTCGCCGAGGCGGGCTTCCCTCCTGGCGTGGTGCAGTTCGTCACCGGCGCTTCAGAGACGGGCCATCTGCTTGCATCGCACATGGACATCGCCAAGATCAGCGTCACCGGCTCCATCGCCGCTGGTAAGGCGGTCCAGGATGCGGCGACCAAAAGCAACCTCAAGAAGACCACGCTTGAGCTGGGCGGCAAATCACCAGCCCTGGTCTTCGCAGACGCTGATTTTGAGAATGCAGTTGGAAGGTATTTTTTGCTGAAAATGCCATTTCTCACAGTGACAGCGAGCTAATGAACTTGTTCACAGCGTTGCAGGTGGTTTCCTGGCAAAATCTGGCCAGATTTGCGTTGGTAAGTCGCGCATTTCCCGTCCCAACCCTCGGGGAGTCAGCCATGGAGCAGGTTTCTAACTCGACGATGGTTTCAGCTGCTTCCAGGGTGCTGGTGCAGGAATCTATTGCGGAGAAGTTCCTCGCTGCGAGCAAAGCCGTGTTTGTAGGCATTGGCGCACAAATGGCCAAGGCCGCCAACCCACTGGAGCTGTCGACTGAACATGGCCCCGTCGTGGACAAGATACAATTTGACCGTATAATGTCCTATATTGAGAGCGGGAAGAAGTCGGCACAGCTTCTCACGGGAGGCAAGAGGCTGGGCTCGAAAGGCTGCTTTATAGAGCCTACGATTTTCCTCAATCCCGACCCCAAGAGCCAGATCTGGAAAGAGGAGATCTTCGGCCCAGTCTTGAGCGTGAGGACATTCAAGACGGAGGAAGAAGCTATTGCCATGGCCAATGACACTGTATACGGCCTAGCTGGTGAGTCGGCTTTGATTCAGCCCCAAAGGATCCGGGGCTTTTTTATTTTCCATGACTTCGGCCACAACGAACTTCTAACCACGGTTCTCTTATTTAGCAAGCGTTTACACCTCTGACGTCAGTCGAGCGCTCCGCGTGTCCTCTGCGCTCGAGTCAGGTGGTGTGTCTATCAATTCGCCGTATCTCCCTGAGCTCAACACGCCTTTTGGCGGCATCAAGCAGAGCGGCCAGGGCAGGGAGCTGGGTGCCCATGGCCTGTACAGCTATCTCGAGCCTCAGTCGGTGCACATCAGGTAAATAAGCTGTCGCCATGTTTATCTGTAAAACTTCATGCTGATTACATCTACAGGGTCACTGAAGCCTCAAAACTGTAGTGGTCGTCCTTCCTGTCTGCGTGGGCGCGCTCGGCTTATAAAACCATTTACATACTTAAGTAGCCATCAATTAGAATATTGCTCAGCCAATTTACTTCCTGAAAGAAATTCCGAACGTAATCATAATTGAATTCCAACTTAGAATGATAACAAGCTGAATATGACACTTTTGTGGCGTGATGTAGACCTCGTCTTGTCATGTAGAAGGCCGGAATGGGTGCCCCCGGGGCCGAGTCCCGAAGGTCCGATAGCAGTCGACCGAGATTGCTGCAGTGGGTTCCGGCTAGCATCAAGACCCGACGGTTTGCCGGGGCACAAATTGGCCTTATATCCAACCACCAACGCGAATGCTTCGGTGGCCGAGCTCTGCAAACCTAGCAACAGTGAATCGGCAATGGACCCTTCGGACTTCTTCACGGATTCAGCACTCATGAGCCCCGACATCGTCAAGACTGCGCACTACACGCGCCGCAGCTATGTTATCCCTGCCAGCCAGCCCAAACCTGGAGACACGTCGGTGCGGCATGGCCTCGGCTCCCAGCTGAGACTTGCGGCGCACGAGTATCTCGTCGCCGGCGCCAACGACGGCGGTCACACCATAATCCTCACGCATGGGACGTCGTTTAACAAGTACTTCTGGGGGTTGGTCATCGAATACATCCTGTCAACGCCGGGCGTCAAACCTGCAGTCAAGCGCCTCATAGCCATTGATGCGGCCAACCACGGCGACAGTGCCGTCCTCAACCGAGGCATTCTGCCAAGCAAAGGTCTGGCGCGGCCTGCGGACCATGTCTTCTGCAGCATTCACCGTATCAGTCAGGACGCTGATATCCTCTATTCTAGCATGCTGGCCCGACGATTCCAGGGACATTCTTCACACTTTAGAGTACTTCAACGCGCAACAACCGGTAATAGGCATTGGACATTCATTTGGAGGAGGCGCCATGTATGCACGAAAATAACCTGAATTGATAAGCCCTTGGACCATGGATTTGCTAATCATCCTATCCCTATTATAGGTGCCACGCGGCTATGATGAAGCCGGACGCGTTTGTGGCGACAATTTTCGTGGAGCCGATTCTGTTCCAGATGAAAGAACAAACCGAGGCTGTGGCGCAGAAAGCCCTGCGAAGACGTGACCGCTGGGAGTCCACGTGAGCACCTCGATCAAAGTCAGGGTCAAGTTGGCCGTCAGGGCACAGCTAACCACCAGCGCAGGGATGCAATGAGGTCAGGTTTCAGCAGAGGGTTCAAGGATTGGGACAAAAGGCAACTTGACGTGTTCCTTGTGAGTATTTGCGATTAAATATGGAGCGATGTCACAACTGATCTAATAATGCATGCCGCTCCATAGGAACAAGGCGTGATCCCACTCCTGCAGGACGGTCGGCCGTCCGTCTGGGCGCTCAAAACCCCAAAGGAGCAAGAAGCAGTATGTGACAAGCATCCCACCCCAGGGTTGACATACCCTGCCGAATTATGATATCTGACAGAGTTGTTACGAAACCGGCCAGGCCACATATCTTGCGGCACCGCATCCGCAGATCCTAGACCTGCTGCAGCGGTCCAAGCAGCGGCACCATTTCATCTGGGGCTCCGAAAGTATTGTCATGTAAATGCCGCCCAGCCTTCTCCCTTCCCACGGCAGCCCGCACGGAGACATTCCACTGCTGACCGTGGACTCCTTCGACAGCTCCGAGGAGAACAGACGGCTAGTCGAGCGCATGGTCATCCCTCCATCGACGACCCGCGTGATCAACGGAGCTGGTCACTTGGTGAGTGTCCCTGTCGTCGCCTCAGCCCAGCTGAATGTCAACCTAACCGCTTGAGTACCCTAGATCCCAATGACACACCCTGAAACCCTGAGCTCCATACTCGCGGGGCTCCTAAGAGAGACTGCACCGGTGGCCAGGACGGAAATTCCGCAACGATTCCGGCTCTAGTGTGAACTGCCACTGCCATCTAATGCGCTTGGGCAATGCCACGCTCCCAAAGCACTCCCCGCTCCGGCATGTGTGGCGCTTGGAGTGGAGACGGGGGCCAGGGTACGTGAATTGAGCAAGGGTGTGAAGTTGTTGGGCGACTTGTTGCCAGCTAATTGGGGGCGTACAAGTACCGAGGTAGTCTGTGTGTAGTAACGGAGTACGGATATAGAGGAGAAAGTAACTGCAACGCCAATTCTGTGCCAAGAAATTCACTCTCGCCGGATACCCCGGCCGCTGGGATATCATTTCTGGCCGGCACAAGCCGCCTCGGTGCTACGCTGCAGGCCGCAGGGGATCCAATACGTGCATGTCGTGTCCATGCGCAGCAGCCGAAGCGCCGAGCTTGATTCTGCAGCGAACCTCAATTCTTTTGCTGGCTAGACTGTGGGGTACGCATAGGTGGATACGCTTGTCTGTGGGGAAACTCGTCTGGGGTCGGCGAGCCTGGGGGAGTTTCCTCTGAACTACCGGATTTATCAGTTCTACGAATCAACGAGCGCCAAATACAGCGTTGGTTTTTTCTTTTCTCACTTTGGCTTCGACCTCCCACCCACCCAATTATCAATGACCACCCACAGCCCAGTTATCGAGCCTTACAGGAGGTCGTAGACACCTTGAAGCAGAGGACCCACTCCCCCCCTTGCCGAGGCCCCTTCTTTGTTTAGCTCCCGTCTGGGGAAGTGGAGATGTCCGTCACAACCGCGTCCCCTGAAGCAGTCCTGCCCGAGGGCGTCCGGAGCAGTGTAGTTGTCGCCACGAAGGACGTCGGTCTGACGACGCCCGGGAACCAGACTGACAACAACAACATGAGCTCGACGATGAGCGAGACCCAGGACACGACGGCTGTCAATAGAGACCTGCCCAGCCCGCCGGCCAAGAGGTTGAAACGGGGGAAGTACATAGCGAGGGCCTGGTATGTGTGTCGAAGCCGCGGGGAGGAGTTTTCGAGGGAAGCTTCCATTTGAGGAATACCACCTTGCTGATAGGGTTTGTCGATACTCAGCACGGCATGTCAACAGCGAAAGATCAAAGTCAGTACCTACGCGCCTCATCCTGGGCATTGTGAACCATGTCCCATATGCCTATCGCCCTACACCTTGCCTGGAACTAACCATACCGCAGTGCGAGGGCGGAGACCCGTGTGCTCACTGCAGAGCCAGGGGCCGAGTATGCGAATCTACTGCTCGGGGCCAGCCCAGGCAAGCGTCGCGGACCGCTGCGCCCAGCTCGGTCGACGGCGCACGCAGCATAGACAGCCTGTCGGTTTCCACGTGAGTTGTTCCTCTTCGAGTTGAATAACCTGTTGCGGCGCGTTCCCAGCTCACATCCTCCCCCCCTCGGAAAGCAGTTCGACCAACCAGGAGCTCGCGGCGCGCGTTGCCCAGCTCGAGCGGCAGATGGCCATGATGCAACAGTCCCTCGAGGGGGCCACCGTCCCCACGACAGGTGCGACTGCCAGGCGGGAGTCGGGCCTATCGAGCCACGGCCACGGCATCAGGAGCGACCCGGCATCGCCGGCCTCTGCGCAGCTGCAGAAGGTCCTAGAGCCGGACGGGCAGTCCTTCATGGGCGAGCTGTCCATGACCTCGAACCTCGTCGAGGTTGACGGCAGCCTGAGCGAGGAGTCTACGACCGAAGACAACTTCATAAAACTTACAAGGGAGGTTCCATGGGACAAGCCCCCCAGGCAGAACAACTTGAAGTCCTCCCGAAATGTGAGGGGTTGGCTGGAGAGTGTGTTGCAGCGGCATAGTATCGTCGCGGACGAAGAAGACTGGAGGGGCTATATGGAACTCTTCTTTGAGGAGATACACATTCTTTACCCTGTCCTCTATCCACCAGCCGTGTGGCAGACCTTCAATGGTCTTTGGGAATACGGTGCTCTCTGGCCCATGTCCGATTCCAAAGAGAGGGAGGAGAAGCGACTGTCGGTAGCCTTGGTCTGCATCTGCCTTGCCCTCGGACGCTGCTGTGTGTCCACGAGGTTGACAGATGCTACTGGGGTGCATTCCTCCGGCTGGAGTTTATGTAGTGTAGCGTTGGAGCTCATGCAAGACTCAGAGCGCATCGGCAAGACGGCGTCAACCTCCCTCTTGAATATGCAAATCCAGCTGCTAATGGTAAGCATCAACACATCCGCCCATCAAAGACACAAGTCGCTAATCCCTCTTCTCCGGTTGAAGATCATGTATCACTTCCGCCTCGATGCAACTCAAGAGTCAGCTCGCCTCACCGCTATCGCAGTCTCGAACGCCCATATTCTAGGGATCCACCAGCAGAGTAGGCTCGATAGCCTACCCTGTTACTACAGCCAGCTCTTCAGTCGGATATGGTGGTGCATCTTCATACTTGATCGCCGGATGGCCCTTGAATCTGGACGCCCTTTTATCATCCAAGAGAACAACACAGACACATCTTTACCCCTGGACGTAAGCGACGAATGGCTTGGCCAGTTTATCAGACGACCCGAGACTGTGAAGAACTTACAGCCCGACGTCAATATGGAACTCGCAAGAGAGCATGTCTCAACAATACCCTACCTTGTAGCCATGGTCAGATACTCTCGTGTCGTCAGCAAAGCCTGGGAGCTCATTTATGGAGTAAAAGCCTCCTCGAAGCAGCCGGTATCCCACATGATCGACTACGCCGACACCGTGTTGTCTAACCTACTCGAAACGTTACCCGAAGACCTAACATACAACCCCGACTTGCCTACTCAGACACAATTTGGGTCAAGAAAAAGGTGGCAGGTCAAGCAGACCATGCTCCTTTCTACTGTAAGAATCACACCGGGATGGTACATATGGAGTGAGCGAGTAGCATAGGCTGACCTGTATCGGCTTTCTAGTGTGTAACATTTTTACGGATATTCATTCGCAGGCCCTCAATGCAGGGCAACGGCTCAACAGAATTCACAACCGACGACCAACTGGAATCGCTCACGATATGTGCAAGCCTAGCAGCAAGCATACTCAACGCGCACAAGGACCTAAAGGACGAGAGCATGAAACACTGCTTCCCGTACTGCCACTACCTCACCAGCTGTACCATGGTGATGATGAGCCTGGTGGCAAAGAACCCCACCCTGAAGAAGAGGCACAGGGAGGCCATCCTGGCCGCCACGCACTCCCTGCGGCTGTACTGCCACACCATCTGGGTGTCGGGCAAGATGATGAGATGGGTGCTGAAGCTGACGCTGCTGGCCCGCCGCGTGCTACACGTCGAGTCGGACAGGCCCGCCACGGCCACCGCGGGCCCGGCGGACGAGGACATGAGCCAGCGGCAGCAGCTCACGCCGCAGTCGGGCATCCTCGACTCCTCCTCGCACGAGGGCGGCATCGCCCGCGCGGGCTCCATCAGCAACCAGGGCAAGTCCTCCTACTACGGGTCCAACACGTACGCTGCTCCTACGGCGGGGGCGGCTGGAGCAAAGCAGCAACAGTCTGGGGCGGGCGGAGGCGCCGGCGACGGCAGGACGAGCGGGGCCCACCACCACCCGGAGCAGCTCTCGCAGATGTGGATGATGGGGGACGGCAGGGAGGGCGGCGGCCAGGGGGCCATCGAGGACCTGCCGGAGTGGGCCATGATGGACTTCAACTTCGAGGCCATCAGCGGGGATGTCTTTGGGGCTGGCCCGGGCGGCGGCGACGCAGGCCTCAAGGATGCCGCCGAGCACATGCATAACCACGGGAATGAGGGCATGGGCCTGGAGATGGGCATGGGCGAGACTATACTTGACGCTATGCCCCCGGAGATCTATAACCTCGACATGAATCTAGATTGAGCGAGGAGAAAAGGAGCCCCCGAGGGAATGATTAGATGTATGATCTATCTGCTGTCCAACGATCACTCAGCGAGCATGTATATCTATGTATTTAAAGTTGTATAAATCTAGCTACAGCCTTGCCATTGGCACGGTACCGGGCACTGGACGACGAGCGGCACTGGCGGCAGCCAGGTTAGCTGGAAGGAGACGGCGGAGAATCTTGCCCGATGGACTGCAGGAAATGTCAGCGCCTATGTCATGCTGCTTACTGCATTCAGCAATGCGATCAGAGAGGTTGACTCACTTCCTTGGAATGGCATCCAAGATGTGCACCCCACCCGTGATGCGTTTATATCTTGCCACTTGATCGTTGACATACTTGATCAGCTCGACCTTGAGCGTCTCCTGGGCAGCAGAACCGGCGGTATCGGTCGTTATATATGCGATGGGGACCTCGGAGGTTCCGTCCTCGTTGTACACTCCACAGACGGCCGCGTCTTTGACATGCGGGTGGGCGATCAGTATGGCTTCTAGTTCAGCCGGTGCAACTTGCTGCCTGTGAAGGACTCGGTTGTCAGCCAGCCCAGTCCGAAAAAAAAGAAAATCGAGCGAGATGTCTTACCCCTTTACTTTGATCATCTCCTTTGCTCTGTCAACGATGTAGAGATAACCTCGGTCGTCTACGTATCCGATGTCTCCCGTCCGAAGGAAGCCATCAGGTGTCAAGGCACTTGAAGGTGTGCCCCCCACGTAGCCCTTCATAATGTTAGGCCCGCGAAGTACGAACTCGCCGACTTTTGCATCTGTCGAAATAGGTTCAATGTCAGCCATCAGGTGAGTCGCAAATCTAGCTATAAAGGTCCACGAACCGTCTCCATTCTCATCCAGAATTCGCATCTCCATGCCTGGCAGCGGCCTCCCAATCGTGCCATCGACGTTGGTCTCGTCTTCCCGTTGAGAGGCAACACTGGGGCTCGCCTCAGTCATCCCGTACCACTGGGTCACAACGCAGCCGTACCGCCTCGACAGCTCGAGTGACTGCTTCTGTTTGAGGGGCGCCGCCGCGTTCATCAGGCACTGAACGGACGACCAGTCACCCTTGGCCGCCTCGGGGTTGCGCAAGAACTCCAAAGCGATAGGGGGTACAACATTGATGTGAGTGACTAAGAATGATGACCGTGAGAAAGGTTTCATGTTTGAGGCGCGCGGGATTGCAATGCTTACTGCGATGTCTTTTGATAGCTGCGAGAAGCGGCACCATTTCAAAGCGCTTGAAGACCACAATCGGCACACCCTTCCGAGTGTCAGTTGATATGAGTTCCGTCAAAATTATTGTGAACACGCGGAATGAGCTAACCTGGCTGATGAACTGGCAGCAGAAGCCGGCTAGCCCGAGAATATGGAAGAACGGAACAATAAGGGTGACGACAGTGCGAGGGTTGAACATCCCGCGGAGGCCTTGGGACTGCTGAAACAGGTTGGCGACAATATTCTCATGAGTCAGCTGCACACCCTTGACGAGCCCAGAAGTGCCCGAGCTGAAACATATGAAGGCCACCTGCTGAGCAGCAACACCTGGGGCCAGCTTGGCCGGTTCAAAGTCGGCGGAGCCATGTTCCAATATGTGTTCAACGTTCAGAGTGTGTGCGTTAGAGCCTGCTGGCGCCTCTGCGTCCCATACGTACAAGCTCGGTCTGCTATGAGCACCCGAGGTACCGGACAGTGCCTTGAGAAGGTTTGGGAGCAGAGCCTTCTCTACGAGGATATGGGTTGGCTTGCTCAGGCCCAAGGCGTGTTGTATCTCCTTTTTTTGCTGTCAGAACCACAACTCCAGCAGTCCAAGACCCTCATGTGAGGGCACATGTTTGTCATACCTTGACTTCATAGATGGGATTCAAAGCGGACACAGTACCGCCGGTCGCAAGAATGCCGTGCACACACACAGGGAAGTAATTCTGTCATCGCGGGGGCTTTCACGTCAGACCAGCGCTCAGATTGGCCTTGACACGACTTGTCTAGAACCGGAACTGCGAACCTTGGTAGTTGAGAGAATTCCGACGACATCTCCCGTCCCAATGCCAAGTTCCTTCGAGAAGTGGCGTGCGATTTTGCGAACACCAGTCCTGAAGCTGGTGTACGTGAAGACTGTCTCGCCTGTGTAGCCATCAATGATTGTGGGTTTGTCGTCTGGCGTGTTATTCAGATTGTGGTAAAGCAGGACTTCAGTCAAAGAAGTATCTTTCGGATACTGCAATTTTTCTGGGTTGGTATAGAGACGTGCCATGGTGCCTGTGTGATAGGGATGAATAAGTGGTGGGTGTAACTGGTGGGATGGTGTGCATGCACTGCTTAGGCAGAGTGGGTCAAGCGCCAACGACTAAGTAGTGGACAGACATGAGAACATGCTGCAGATGAAGGCGCCTACAATGCAATGTTTACTACCTTCTCGAGACTGCAACGCTGGTATTCGGGACACATTTGCCTGCCTCCGGCTTGTCCGACTTACACTAGGTATGCAAGGTGGCCCGGCTCGGGGTAGGCCACCGACGGCCGCCAGACAGTTCCGAACCTTATTCCGTGTCCAGCCGGAACGACCACGAGCGCGCACAGGGTCGGGCGTCTGTCGCCATGGCAAGAGGGTCGGCGTTCCTATCATGTGCTTACTCACAGGGACCCGTTGTACCCCCACACCCGCCTTCGGCCTCCCACCTGGAAACTAGTTGATCGATCTGAATGCGGGGCGTTTGGAGTCTCACCCGTGGACGGTAATTGTTCTCGGCCGCTGTTCGCCTCAGGCTCGAGTATAATAGCATCCGTGCTGGCCAACGACATCAGTTTGATTTTAGCACAACCATCTTGCTCTCCTTGCAATCCCCTCGAATCTCCATCCCATCACAATTTACCATGGCGCCTCTTCGCCCAAAAGTCGCCTTCGTCACCGGTGCTAATGGCATCACCGGAAATGCCCTTGTTGAGCACCTGATCCGTCAGCCAGAATCAGAATGGTTAGTCGACGCATGATATCCTCCCACTCTTGAGCTGCGCAGCATACCTGACCAAATCTCGGTGATAGGTCAGAGATCATCATAACTTCCAGGCGAAAGCCGACTCAAGTCTTTTGGCAAGACCCTCGGATACGATTTCTTGCCTTGGACTTCCTCAAGCCTGTTGAGGAGTTGAAGGCGGCTATGGAGCCCTTGTGTGGCCACGTCACTCATGCATTTTACGCTTCTTACGTGCATTCTGCAGACTTCGCTCAGCTGCGCACGCACAATGTTCCACTGTTCGAGCATTTCCTCGTTGCTATCGACAGTGTGGCCGGTGACTCTCTTGAAAGGGTCGTGATCCATACCGGGGGCAAGGTGAGCACAGCATTTGCATCTGAGCATCTATGAATGCGGGAAGCCTTCTGCCGTTCAAGTATTTCTTTTACTAATCCTTGGGTGAACATCTAGCACAACGGCGTCCACCTCGGCCCCGTAGAGGCCCCCATCCACGAAGGCATGCCAAGATATCAGGACCATGGAGAGAACTTCTACTACACACAAGAGGACTTCCTGTTCAACCTAGCCAAGAACCGAAAGTGGGACTGGAACGTCATCCGTCCGAACGCCATCATTGGGTTCACACCGGCCGGCAATGGCATGTCAGCCGCGCTGACACTCGCCATCTATATACTCTGCTGCCGTGAAGCTGGTCAGATCCCTGTGTTCCCAGGCAACAAGTACTTCTGGAACGCGGTGGACGATAGCTCCTACGCCCCAAGCATTGCTGATATGAGCGTCTGGGCGGCAACACACGAACACACCAAGAACGAGTCCTTCGTCCACCAAAATGGCGACGTGATGATTTGGAAGCACTTTTGGCCCAAGCTTACCAAATACTACGGTATTGACGTAGGTGTAACATCTTTCTTTGTTGCCCACTCCCACCCAAAACCTCAGACATCTGCTAATGGTGGCCGGATGCGTACAGCTACCCGAAGACGCATTCGCCGGCAAGGGCGAGGGCGACAGTGAGCACATGACCCACGCCTTCCTTATGGAGGACTGGGCCAGGGGCAACAAGGACGTCTGGCAGCAGGTGGTGGCCAAGTACGGAGGACACAAGGACGCCTTCAACTGGGGCACGTGGGACTTCTTCGACTGGGCCCTGGGCAAGGGCTGGTGCACCATCGGCACAGTCTCAAAGGCGCGCAAGTACGGCTGGACGCGTTATGATGACAGCTATGACGTGTGGATCAAGACCTTCCGCTCGTTCGAGAACGCCGGCATCCTGCCGATCATGAGGCCGCCGCCGGCACTGCATGTCGACTCGTTGCCCCTCCTGCCCAACCCGGCCGATGTTGTCAATGAGAGGGCGGCCAAGAGGGCTCGGTTGATAAGTGCGCCGATCGAGAAGAATCTCAAGGCGGACGTTACACATGTTGAGACGGCGAGCGGGCATCCTCCCTTAAACGGTGTCACGGCGATATAGGGGCTACAACGATTTAGTGTCTTTGATCATGTCATATGGATTTCCTCTGTCATCGCACCTCTGCGTTTCAATGGTTCAGCAGCGGCTGAAAGTCATTCTGCTTTGTATTGATCTGATTGGGTCTATATCAACATTTGTGCTAGTGGGTACGCATACCTAGGTATCGTCGTGTTCTGTCCGATCCTTCAGAGGGAAATACCACAATCAAGCACGAGCCACAGAATACAGGTACAGAGTTCGGGGATCATCGGATTAAATTCAGTCTTCTTTGACAGACGGATGAAAATAAGAGAAGGCTATCGTTTTCAAAACAAATGATATTACTGTTATTTTGATGGCATTTCCCAAGACTGACGCCTCAAAACCAAGCCAACGTGTCAACACCACACCTGCTAACGATTCCACCTGTTTCGATGTATTGACAAACCCTTGTTGTAAAATGGAACCAGAGACCATCAAAACGTGGCGAAGCTTCGGCCATATGCCCAGACCTGATATGACAATACCACAGCGGGGCCTTCAGAAGCCAGGGGATCCGAAATATCACGCAGTCTAGCAGCTTCTCAACGGCAAGACAACATCAGCTGGGGGAGCGCCCCTGGTGAATTCCAGGTGCCCAGAACTAATCAGCGGTCACATGTCAAACCTTGCGCCCCTGACAGGCCCCGTGACGCGGATTTGAAGGAGGAATAGACGGCAGGATAAACAGTTGGGCTCGGAACTGGTCGGAAATTCCAGCACCACCACACTGGAACGCCAATGGGAGCTGCTACGGCCTCTATGCATGCTAATCTAGCCACGTGGGCCCATGCTCATAAATTCCATTGCCGTCTTTGTTTGGGCATAGTACGTCTTGGTTTGGCACACACACTAGTCAGGACCGCCGCAGGATTGGTATGACCGGGCCTGGGGTAGGATAAGTACTCCAGGAAAAAAATCTGGGGCCCCGGAATTTCACGTCAATTCCATCCTAGCTTTGAAATTCAATGTTGTGGGGCTTCCCCACGGGGTAAATGGTCCCGCAAATTCGGGATCGTATTGTGGCTGGCCAGGCCCTGGGTGTCAAGGTTCGGGATGAGCTGAGCGGGGTGAAAGCCTCGTTGTGTGCTCTAGGGGCTAATCAGACACGTCGGCCGTGAGCTTTTGACATAAATAACACTCTGTGTCTCGACATCAGCCTCGTGAATCTCTTGACCATTGTTCGTACCTCTCAAGTTAGCCAATCAAATTCTGCGATCATGGAGAAAACGAAATCTGAGCATATTGAATATCATGACGAGACTTCAACAAGTTCGATACCTGGGTCCAAGGAGTTGGGAGCTTCGGACATTGAAGCGGAAGCACCAGACACGGGACTCCGTATCAGGCAAGATGGAAATGTGAGTAAACACATGCGTGCCAGTCCTAACTACCTGGATGAGGCCAGCCGGAAAGCTGAACGTGGTTATTTACGTGTTCCAGATCGTCCTGATACCACAGCCAGCGGATGACGACAAGGACCCCCTCAACTGGTCATCGACCAAAAAGCACCTAGTTCTCTTGACTGTTGCGTGGAGTGCCTTCTGTGCGGATTTTACATCCGCTGGTGGAAGTGCTCCAATTATCTTGCAGTCAATTGAGTTCCAAGAAAGTATTTCGACCGTGAACGAGACCAACAGCATAAATGTTCTCATGATGTGAGTTCCTGTGTTCATCTGTGATTTAAGTTCCCTGCACGTGTGATCTGGCAACATTGAAGTGGTTTTGGTTTATTACCACCTTGACGGACTCTTGCTGAACTCGACAACAGGGCTTTAGGCGGCTTGGTCTGGGTACCTATGACGAACATCATAGGGAGAGCTCCTACCCTGTTCTGGACCAACTTGTTGGGGCTTGCCTTCAGCATCGGAACTGCGGCCTCACCAGATTTTAAGACCTTCTACGCCATGCGGGCATTGACCGGGTTCTTCATCACCTCGGGCCAGACCATATCCATCGCTTTCATCAGGGACATGTTCTTCTTCCACGAGCGGGCCAGGAAGATCGGCCTCTGGGCGCTGCTGTATATCGCATCGCCATTCTGGGGGCCAATGCTCGGAAACTTCGTCGTTGGTGGCACGAACAGCTGGCAGAACGTGTTCTGGGTCTGCGCTGCCGTCTGTGCCCTGCAGATGATCTTCATCGTCGCTTTTCTGGACGAGACGTGGTACAACCGAGACATCCCCGTTTCTGAGCAACCCCCTCGTGGAAAAGGCTTTGCCTCGAGGCTATCCAGAATCATAGGGGTCTGGGAACTCAGACATCGAACCACATATTACCACACCGTGGTGCACTCGTTCAAAAGATACTTTCAGATGCTTAGCAAACCGGCTTTTTTCATCGTCGCTGTTGCATAGTGAGCCACCCTGACGCCCCGCCTCCCAATCTATCCAACCACTAACCTCGCGGATCTCATAGTCTCCTCTACTTCATGTGGACGATCGGTATCAATATCACCACAGGCATCCTCTTCGGAACACCTCGTGCTGCTGGTGGCTACGGATACTCCCCAACAAGCGTCGGATACCTCTACTTCGCACCGGTGGTCGGGGTGTTCTTCGGCGAGGTGTTTGGCCACTTCGCCAACGACTGGCTGGCCCGCCGACACATCAGGAAGCACGGCGGCGTCTACCAGCCCGAAGTTAGGCTGTGGATGATCTATGTATCAGCGGTCTTCATGGTTGCCGGCCTGGTCCTGCTCGGCCAGGCACTGGAACACGGCTTGTCGCCTGCCGCTGTTGTCATGGGCTGGGGCATGCACACCTTCGGCATCATGACCACCTCCGTTGCTGTGTCGGCATACGCCTTGGATTCGTATCCCGAGGCACCGGCTGAGGTGTCGGGCTGGTCGAATTTTGCTCGTGCCATCGGGGGGTTTGGCGTTGGCTATTTCCAGGAGCCATGGGGCCACAAGCTCGGCTTTGACGTCAGCTTTGGCACCCAGGCTGCTATAGTCGGGTTTAGCACCATTCTGATCGTTGTGGTGCACCGTTTCGGCCCCTGGCTTCGACAGAAGGCCGGGCCTGTAGAGTAACTTTGAGCTGCGTTGGGCCTCGTGCGAAGGGGAAAAATCGGGGGAAGATTTCGGGGGTAGCATTTGGGGTATTTGTATTCTTTATAGTGCCTAGCAAGCTGAAATCTCAACAAGTACGATATACAACGACCTGAATGTACTGTGTATGTGAATGCGAGTGGAGCCTCCTTCGATGCAATGCCTCTTGGCATGTGTTTGTTGGAGGCGGCGCCAGCGGGATCCTGCAGCAAAAAGTGGCACCCGCTGACCCAGTACATGAAGTGGTGGATCGTGTAATTTTAGAACCGCCGTATCAGAGCGGGTTGCCCTACAAGCCTTACCACATTCGCGTTATTAGGGAGGTCATCCTCACGGCCGCAGCGGGTCCATGAAACAGCGTGAGAATCGTCATTCGTTGAAGGGAAGCTGCCGACCATGACTGCAGTGGTGGATGGCCGCAGATCAATCAAATTTGGGGGCGGGCGAGGGTTTGAAAGAGCCGACCAGTTTCAAGCAAAAGAAAGAATGATCATGTTGGGGAAGACCGCGCACTGCGCTCTTAAACACAATCTGTCTAGATCTCGAGCACACTCTTTCTTCCCCTTGTCTTATACCTCCCCTTCTTATCTAATTAGTGCAGCATGTATTCGCTGCGCTGGTTTCTCACAACGCAACTCCTCGCCTCTCTGGCATCCACCCAAAATTGCTACATGCCGAATGGCAACTTGGTATCTAACCTGAAGGCCTGCTCCGTAGCTTCCGGCAACGACGCTGCTGCGTGCTGCTTCGCGGACCACTACTGCATGACCAACGGCCTCTGCCTGTCGCCAACAGAGGGAACATGGTACCGCGGTGGATGTACGGATAGCCAATTTGAGCAGAGCGGATGCCCAAAATTCTGCGGTGACGATGTTATAGGTGGAGGTGAGCTGATGATGCAGTCTCTGGAAGACAACTTTCCGCAACGCGAGACTCTGCTGACTGACCGTTTTCTCCCAAACAGTCGCCAACGCTCACTGCGGCGTGTGGGCCTGCGCCTCAAGGATCTTCGCCTGCGGCAGCCTGAATAATTGCGACAGGCAGAACTTCTCGACCGGCGCGTATAGGGCGGTGATGAACGCCGCCATCTCAACGGACCTTTTCGACAGCGGGGCCACATCGACGACCTCCGTAGCATCCTCGACGAGCACCAGCACCGAAGGTGCAAGCACGGAAACCTGCCCACCACCCACGGAGCAGGCGACCAGTGGGATCTCGGCAGGTGCAGCAGCCGGCATCGGAGTCGGTGTGGGTCTGCCGCTTGCGATTACGATCGGCGCGCTGACTCTCATGCTGTTGCGTGAGAAGAGAAAGTCGAGAGGTGTGCAGGCAGGCTATCCACAGCAGTACCAGTACCCTCAGCAACTCCAGTACAACACCCAGCCGGGCTGGGTGAAGCCGGAAGGGCAGTTCCATTCTCCTGCTGAGGCACCGGGGCCGATATATGCATATGAACTAGGAGATACCCAAGGCAGGCCTGAGCTTGGTCGTTGACCGTGAATAAGCAAACAAAGCATAATTCTTACCTGCGAATGGTCTTGAGCGTTTACCACCGTATGAAGGCGCCATGTATGTCCTCGGATGTATATGGAATAGAAGCGAAACCACATATCTTCGGACGTAGGCGGAATAGAAGCGAACCCAGTTACCCGACGGGAGTTTACATGGACCGTCAATTCGAAGGTCCACAAATTCCGAGGACATCTGTATTTAAGCTTTAACAAACTAATTATTAGAAAGTACATTATAGCACTCTAAACCAGTATATATCAAGGGTCTAATTGCATAGTTAACAGGTAATTTACCCCACAATTTACACTTATATTCTTAAAACTAACTTAAAGATAAAAGTCTTATAAATCCTATAATACACTACCTTATTATATAATTAAAAAGATAAAAATTATAGGTTTTATAATACTTAATTGAATAAATAAAACTATCTAATTAAATTCCCTATATATATTTTTATTATAAAGTTATTATAATATAAACTTTAATAAATAGTTTAAATATATTATTTAAATATAATTACTTATTAATTATATTAAGGTTACTTAATATATTAAGCCTTTATTATATATTTAATTAAATCTATATTTACTTTTTTAATATTTATTAATAAATTTTAAAATATTATAATTAATATTAATTAAAAGTACCTTTAAGAGTATTAATCAATTTAATTATATAATTAAATCCTATAATAGTTAATATACTATAAGTAATATATCTATAGAGTACTTTAATATTATATATAATCATCTATTATTACTATTAATTATATAATATAGTTATAAAAGTATACTTATAATAGTATATAATACTTTTAAATAAAAAATAACTATAAATTAAATCTATATCTTCTTTTATATATAGTATTATTATTAATTTACTTTTAAAAATTATATATAGTATTATAATAATATAAAGTTAAAATATCCTTAATACTTTAAGATAAATTTTATATATTATAATATTATAAAACTTTAATATTATAGTAAATCTTTAATTCTATATTTATATATATTTATATATCATTAAATTATAACCTAAAAATAGACTTTTAATAATATAAATATTAATAAAATTTATTAATAAAAATAAAAATAAAATAAAAATATTTATATAACCCTTTTAATTAAAAGAAGTTATATAAATATAAACTTTTAAAAAAATTAAACCTTTATTCTTTATTTAAAAATAATTATATTATCTATTATATTATTAAAATATTAAATTACTTCTTTTATAACTTTATAAAAAAGGAAGATAAATAAAAATATAGTTATATAGTTTATATATATATTTAATAATATATAAAATAAATATATTATATTATTTACTATTTAAAGTTAATTTAATAAATATTAAATTTAAATAATAATAAATTATATTAATTAATTTATTTTAATAAACGTATTATAATAATATAAATTATATTAAAATAAATAAATTATAATAAAATTTATAATAGTTATAAATTTAATTTAACTATATTAAAATTACTTTTAATTAACTTATTAAAGATATATTAAAAATTTATTAAATAAATAGTAATATATTATTATAACTTTATAAAACTATAATTAAATAAAAATAACTTATATTAATTAAATTAATTTAAAATTCTAATTATTTTATATAAATAGAAGTTAAATAAAATAGTTAAATAATAGAAACTAATTATATATATACTTAAAATAATGTATAAAATTTAAAATTTAAAATCTAATTATATATTTAACTAAAAGAAAATATTTATAATACTATATAAATAATTACTTTTACTTTATAAATACTTTTAATAACTTAAAAAGATCTCTTTTATACTTATAGTTTATATTAATTATTATAACTATCTCTTTTTAATTATAATATTTTACTTAAAGTTATAATTTATTTATAATTGTTTTCTAAATAGAAAAGTATATATATTATATAAAAGAGTATTAATATACTCTATACTTCTCTTAAGGATAATAATAATAGATATATATAATATACTTTTATATTAGATTTACTATAAATTCTTAATTAATAAAAGATTATTTAATAGGTTATATTATAATATATATATTATATTACTATTTAGAATAATTTTTACTATTTAATAAATAAGTTAAAAGGTCTTATATTATTATTATATATATTTAATAATTCTTTTATTTTTATTTAAATTTAATAATAAATTTAAATTAACTTAATATAAGGTATAGTTTTTAATTTAAGGTTATTAAATAATTATAAATATATATAATTTTATAATAATTTTAAATTATAAAACTATAATATAAATTATTTAATTAATAAAGTTTTTAATTATATTAATAAAGTCTTTATTTTTAATTATTTATTTTTATTATTATTAACCTTTTTAAAATAATTTATTATTAAATAATAAGGTCTTATATAGTCTATATAAGGAGTATATTAGTCTTTTAGCTTAAAGCTATTTATCTTTATTTAAATAGTCTTCTATATATATATCCTTAACTTAATAAGTAAAGATTATAAATTTTAAATATCTAAATACTATATAGTAAAAGATTAAGTATTTAAAGAATAATGTTTTTAGAAAGATAGTATTTTAAAGAAGGATCTTTTAAAACTAAATAAATACCTTAATTATAACTATACTAATAAACTCTTAGTTTATTCTTTAAGTTTTTATATAGCCTTTATTAACTAAAGACTATACCTATTTATTAATATTAAACTATATTATACTTATTAATTTTAATAATAATTTAATTTAGATTTAAAAATATTATATAACTTAAAGGTTAAAAGTTTAAAGTTTATTAATACTTTTATAAATTAAGGTATTAATTTAATAAAATATAATTATATTAAAAGTTAAATTTATTATTTTAAAGATTAATTTAATAAATTTATAATTATTATCATATAAATAATTATAATTTGAAATTAGAATATTAAAAGATATAATAATTTATAATTTAATTTATTATATTATATTTATTTTAAATCTATAAACTAATATTTTATATAATACTTTAAAATTTATTTATTTAATCTTTAAGTATAAAGTTAAATCTATTAATATTATAAATACTTTATATCTTCTATATTTAAGCTTTAAAATATTAATTTTAATAACTTTAAGTAACTTTATATACTATTTTAAATAATTAAATTTATAAAAGTATTTATAATTTAAGTTTATAAATTAATTATAAAATATAATTTAAAATTAATTATAAAGTATAATATAATTATATAAAATATATAATTAAAATACTTCTATTATATTATAATACTTTATATAATACTATAATTAATAGTTTAAAAGATTTAATAATAGTTTTTTTATATTTAAAGTATTAAAAGTATTAAAATATAATTTAATTAATTATATAAATATAAAGGTTTTAACATTTAAAAGTTTAACTTTTTTAATTCTATCTTTCTAATTAATTTTACTTTAATATATTATAATTATAAAGGTATATATTAAGGGTTTATTCCTTTTATAACTTTTACTTTTATAGTAATATAAAAGAAGATATTTAAAACTTTAAATTAAAGATTTTATTTAAATATTTAACTATATATATATCTAATAGAAAGTTAATATTTATATAAAGTATTTATATTATTATATATTTATTAAATTATAATTAAATTATTTATATATAATATAAAATATTTTTCATTTATAAAATTATAAAAGTCCTATTAAAGTAGCTTTAAAACTCTTTCTATTTTTAATAATAAATACTATATTTAATATTATTTTAAAATATTCTTAATTATTTAGTTTAAAATTATTATAAAAGTTAATTTTTAATTTTTAATATACTTATAGCTTTATTATAATTAAAATATAGTTTTTATTAAATTATAGTATATTTAAATCTTTTAACTTAATTTTTTATTAAAAGAGTTCTTTTATTTTTATTAAATAATTTAATAATAATTTTTATATCTTTTAATTTATTTATATTATTTAAGTTTATTAATTTATATTTTAAATTCTTTTTTAAAGTTTATAATATTATAAAGTCTTTAATTTATTAAAATAGTTTTTAATTATTTATAAAGTTTTTAAAAGTATTTAATTTTTAATTAAGTTTTTATTATTTAAGCTTAATTTAAAGGGATAAGTTTAAATTAACCCTTATATTATATTTATAAAGTTTAAACTTTAAAAGAAATTTTTCATTAAAAATATTATAATATATAGAGAGTTTTAGAATTAAATAGATCTTATAATATATATTATTAAATATTTTATTTAAAATTTAATTTATTTTAATTTATATAAATTTTTATATTTTTAATATATTTTTAAAATATTAATAATAAAATATATAATATAAATTAAATATTTTTAAGTTTATATTTTATTTTATTTTAAAGGTTTTATAAATAGTATAATAAGTATAATTTATAATATTAATTAATTAATTAAAAAGAGGAAAATATAATATATTATATATAGGTAAAAGTTAGAAATTAAATATTTTAAAATAAAGGGTTAAATATATTTATAAAGTTCTTAAATTTTTAATTAAAAATATTAAAACTTTAATTCTATAAATAAATTATTATAATATCCTTATTAATAAGGTTTTAAAAAGTAGAGTAATATTATAAAATAAGGGGGTAGAAGTATATAAATAGGGGTTGGTTTATATATTAATTAGGTGCCAAGCCCTTTTACACCCGTTTATGCAACCTCTTATCTTAATGCGGTATTGATTAACATCGTTCTGCTATTATAGCGGCTCCATTATATGCGTCTGTAATGGCGGAAGCTTGTTACACTTTAAAGTTGGGCATGTGACAGGCGCTGTAACCAAGGACCCCTTGCCGCCTTGATCATCACAATTACAAATGAGAGGGGAAAAAAATACTACCAATCCTTTGGACTGTTTTCGTCCTGGCAGTGAGACTACAGTGTTGAAGCTGAGTTGGTGCTGAAGAATGCGTTCTCTAATAAGTTTGTCTACCGACGGGGTGGGCGGGAGCCCTCTACTATTAAAAGCGAGGATTCTAAAGTATCATACAGAATGCAAGGAATTTGAAATATTGCCCCCGGGCCCGTCGCGCCCATCACCTCCCCGCTCGATGGCCCAAAACAATAAGGCCCTCGGGTGTTCTGACACTATAGTATCGGCGCACCGGACGCAGCGAGCGTAACGTAGAACAGCTTGGTCTGCCCGGTGATGATCATCCTCCCCTTGCCGGCGAACTGGAAGTTCGCAGCAGTGACACCGGTGTAGATCTTGCCGATCAGCTTGCCGGAAGGGTTCCAGACGTGAACGCCGTCGCCACAGCCGGAGTAGACGCGACCGGCGGAGTCGGTGTGGATACCTGTTCATAGGTTAGAGTCTGGCTTATGAAGAGCAAAGATCAATCGGCAGAGAGCGTACCATCGGGGATGAAGGAAGCAGTGTAAGCAAAAGTCTTGCGGTTCTGGAAGGTGCCGTCATCGTTCACGTCGAACGAGTAGACCGAGGCGGGCGAAGAGAGGTTGCGGCCGTAGAATCCTAGGGCAATGCCGGTGTCGGTGACATACGCCTTCTTCCCATCTGGCGAGAAGGTGATACCTATTGTTTGTCAGCACGAGCTCATTGTTATTGCTGAGAGGGATAATGAGGAGCATCCTGACCGTTGGGCAGAGTGAAGTCATCGGCAACAACAGCAATTGCGCCTGTCTGGAAGTTGTAGCGGTAGACTTGGTTGCGAAGGCCAGGAGGAGGGCGGAAGTCCTGCAGGAAGCCGTAGAGGGTATCCGTGAAGTACAGTTCTCCGTTGCGGGGGTTGATGTTGACGTCGTTAAGCGAGTTGAATTGGCGACCGAAATAGTTGTTAAACAGGACTTGAAATTGTCAGCTCTTCATCATGACTGGACAGACAAGGGGAGCCTACCGGTAGTATTGAATGGCGGTTCCGGGTTCATGAGATACATCGTCGAAGTGATGTCGGCGCCCTGACCCTCTCCCGCAAAGACGATGTTCCCCTTGTAGTTGGTGCCACCTAGTAGGCTGTGAGCACAGGTTCCCATGAGAACCACGAGTCAACATACCGTTTGGGTTGATGACCTGGGGGTTTGAAGGCACGACCGTGACGGTGGCGTTGCTCAATTGACCCTTGCGCACAGCCTCGGCATCTGCAAGAGAGATCTTCTGAATGATCGAGGACTTATTCAGCCCAGTACCTGCAGCCGGCGCACCGGCATTCTGGACGAAGAAGACCTCATCTCTGGGCTGATGCCACACGACAGCCTCGTGAAAGATGGGGTCTGTGTCCGAAGTAGCAATGAGAGTGAGGGAAGGATTGTAGCCAATGACGTTCAAGAACTCGTCATCGTAGACGTGGAATGGCTTCGCCAGGAGAGACTCCGCAGTGACTCCAGGCCAAACAAATATCTAGTCATGAGTGAGAAACCGCCAATCGCATGGGGGTTTGAGAGTCATACTGTCGAATCATTTGCCACGGCTGGAGGTGGCACGGACGGGAGGACATTGAAGCTCTTCCAGTCAATGCGCTGAGCTGCAGGAGGTAGTTGGGCAGCGAGGGTACTTCCCACGGGGATCAGACACCCAGCTGACAGGAAGCATAGAAAGAACGACATTCTGGACATTCTAGAACGAGTGTATTAGATGAGACGGAACTTTACGCTACGTCCCAGAATGTAGGACGAAGGGGGCTTTGTATGCAACAGTCAAGACCACTAGGGTCCTGAATCCTTGCTGCATTGAAATTATACAAGCGAGGGGTCGGCATATCGAAATGAGTGGGATGAACCATCAATCAATGCCTCCCAAGGAGTCCACAAGGAATACTAGTGAAGCTTAACGAGTACCTGGTGCCCGGATCTTGGCCAAAGTGCCCCTATACCTGCGACCATCCCTTGGCACTCGCGCGTCCAGGCTGCATCTGGCAAGCAGCCCGTCGTCCGGGTTTGATTGACTTAATACTTGTTACGGCATTCATATGAAGTCGAGGGTGAACGCCAAGACGTTACCTCGCGACCTTATAGCGCCGGAATACCCAAGCTTCCTCGCTTCGAAAGTTCCAGGGCTGTGGCCCCGTATCTCCGATCGTCCTGCAACCTCTGCACAGGAAGGTTCGGCAGAAGATGCTATGAAACGCTGGTTAGACGAACAGGTACACCACACGCTCAACGATCATATCTGAAGGCGTGATCCTCTTGAAAGCTTGACGCCTCGCTACGCTACATAAGGTTTTGCACATCGATCACTTCCATCTTCGCAGCCAAACCTGCTGTCTTCATCTTCTTGACACCTCGTGCCATCTCATGGTCTTGTCAGAGACAGCTAGCCATCATGGCATTCCTCGACTCTTTCGAACCGTCCGATCAGCAAAGGATCATTGTCGTGCTTGTGATTACCGTCTTCATTAGCATCGCCTTTTACAATGTCCTCGAACTTACCGCCTCGATCTTTACGTCGTTCAAAAAGTATTCGGGTTTATATTTTTGGAGTCTCCTGATCGCGACATGGGGCATCGCGTTCAACGGCACCGGCTACCTCTTGATGCACCTATCGCTAACGACGGAGTCAAACGTCTATGCCACGCTCATTCTGATCGGCTGGTGCTCTATGATCACAGGCCAGTCGGTTGTGCTATACTCGCGTTTGCACATTGTGATGCACCACCAGAGACGCCTACGACTCGTGCTATACATGATCATCGGCAACGCATTGTGGCTCCACCTCCCAATCATCGTCCTGGTGTACGGCACAAACTCTGCAAACCCAGAGCCGTTCCGCAACCCCTACGTCATCTATGAGAAGATACAACTCACCGTCTTCTTTGTGCAAGAACTCATCATATCTGGCCTCTACGTCTGGGAGACGACCCAGCGTCTCCACCTCGAGAAGAGCATCGGCCACATGCGCACCCGGAAGATCATGAACCACCTGATCTGGGTGAACGTCCTGGTCGTGCTTCTGGACGTGACGATCTTGGCCCTCGAGTTTACCAACCTCTTCAACATCCAGACGGCCTGGAAGCCTCTGGCATACAGCATCAAGCTGAAGCTGGAGTTCAGCATCCTCAACCAGCTCGTCAGCCTCCGGCAGGGCGGCGCCAACTCAAACAGCAGCTTCTACACGCGGAGCCAGAGGCGGCCTGGGAACGACGTTGCGATGGATACGTTCCATGGCGGGCGGTCGAGGCATTTCACGGCTGCGGATGAGCCGGAGTATGAGATCCGTATCGGGAAAGGGGAGGTCAGGGATTCGATGCCTGCGCCTCATGCGTATCCTACGAAGACGACTGAGATCACGATACACACAGAGGCGAGACCTGGCCACGGTTCGCGCGACAGCGACGAAAACAGTCTAGGCAAGGAGAGGGAGGGGGACGTATGCTCGACATCCTCGGAAGTTCATTTTGCGAGACATTAGTAATACCACACTTTGGAAGCGTTGAGATATGATACCAGATACCAGACCAATACTGCAATTCAGCCCTATTTACTGTTTTCCTCCATCAATGGCGATGTCTCGCAGACTTTGACACGACACGTGGAGGCAGACTCTACTTTTTCGCGTACGGTGGGCTGACCAAAGGCGAGAGAGCCAAGACGGGACCACAGACCTGCGTCGGGGGATTTGGGCACACAGACAGACAGGTGGGCAGCCCAGCCGGAAGCCACCCGGCATCCCATGGCTGTATTTCTTTCTCCGAGGAGGGTTAAACTTCGCATCTATACTCAGCCCAGCCTTGAAGCCCAATGATGTTGAAGCCTCCCTCAAACCATGACTCGCGCCGGAAGGGGTCCCTTTGACCCCCCTTGTGTTTGCCCAGCACACCGGCGACGAAGACCCGGTCGAGCCAAGATGCTAGCACCGGCCCACAACAGGTGTTAAGCTTAACAGCAATCTTACACCCACCTGCTCCCAGTGGCTGGGTGTTGCTCCTTTTCCCCCTCCTTGATGAACACATGGACCGGGCTGCTATTGTTTTCCCAGGTTCCGGCCCTCCCACGTCGCGGGGTACGCAACCCATCCACCGTTTCTCCCCTGATGAGTCCCCCCGCCCGCCTTGGGGGCCATCTCCGGTCTATAATGTGGGCGGCTTACATGCTCATATCGGGCAAGGCCGGCCCAGTTCCTTGGAGTGGGAACATTGAATCGTTCGTTTGCGTATTCGCAATTCTCTCCTAGTGCGAACTTGATATCCCTGTGGGTAAGGAAGACATACGATTGTGCACAAAGGTATCATGATTGCCCGGATGTGTCGCAGCCCCTTTCGACGCCTGAAACCAAGAAATGGAATTTCGTCGCTGCGACGCCACCACACTTGGCCCACCCGTCCAGACCATCAAGCGCACTTGGCGGACCCGGCCAGCCGGCTATTTCTCTGATGATCTGCCGTGGGGTGTCGGCCTGAACCTTATTTCTGAGCCGAGTACTCCGTAATAATGAACGACCCCCCCTAGTCGGGGACAAAATAGTTGGCACCGCATAGCGTTGCCCACAATATATCGTTATATTATGGGCGCTCTCATGGTGTTTTCGCCAATTCAATTACACCAATCAATTTGTTTTTCTTCAACGTATCTTTTGGTATAACTCCCATCTTCTCAAGTCAATTAGTTGTTAAGTTGTATGGTGATGAAGTTAGGTGGGTGTAATAGAGGGTGAGACAAAATAAGGGTGTTAGTGTGGGCGGGGCCTTAATGCGGTGCCAACTATTTTGTCCCCGACTTGCCCCCGGCCCCCCTCCCCCCAGAATGCGAATTGGAGAAGATGTCCCGCATCCGACATTGCGGGTATTGATCTTCGCTTCCGTGCGTGGGACCTCGGGAGCCCAGCGAAAAGACGGAGGGGGTCATGATGCCACAATTGGTCAAACTGCCGAGTTGGGGAAAAATCGCACCTATCAGCATATATATCGGTCATTTGGTATTAAGAAGCTTCCACAGGATGCCTTGTCGAGATAGCATCATGTTCTGGAGACCCCTACAGCAGGTGCGCGCGGCTGACAAACAGCGTCTCTCCTCGATAATTATCCAAAGGTAGCCCTGGCTCAAATGGCCTCTGCCGGTGCTTCTTTGTGCCTTGCGGGCGAACAGCCACAGCATTGGCCAGTCCATGCGTGCTGTCCAACATCACCTTACATGGGTAGACGCCATTTCTCAGCTTCACTAGCGTACATGGAGGGGGATAACTTATAAGTACGAGGTATTATTTGAGAGCTACTGTAGCGAACCTCAAATATGCTTTGAATTTGAGATCGGATATTCGCACCCGCCGAAACGGAGGGTATACCTAAGCCCCAAGGGATAACCTCTCATAGAACGACCTCCTATGGGACAGGACAACCTCCTATAGGACAACCTCCTATAGGACAACCTACTATGGGACAAGCTTCTATAGGAAAGCATCCTATGGGATAAACCTGTGAGATAATTACCCGTGGTTTGGTGCTAAACTAAGCACTTTGATCTCTGAGTTGGTGTACCCTCCGTCTTAGCGGGTGCGAATATCTGGTCTCTGATTTGAGAGCTAGCGAGCCTCAAGTATGCTTTGAATATGAAACTCAAGTCGAGCCGGAATGGGCCGTATCCTATCCTTGACGTCCCTTTCCTCACCAGAGCGTCCCTAGAAACCCTCTACTGTTTCAACGGTCTGTTGGGTATTCGTTTTCGTGACGATGTCCCACCTCTAGACCCCTCCAAGGAGTCATCCTCGGGCACACCTGTCGGCTCGATTTTGATCCCATGGCGGCGCTCGAAGTTCGCCCGGACCTTGAGTAACACCTGCTCGATTGCAGCCTCCTCCTTCTCCTTCATTTGGGATACTTCTGCTGGGAGTGGAGTAGTCGGACCGCCGTTGAGCTTCTTCAATCGTCGCCTGACAGTTGTTTTCAAAAGTTTCTGATGGTTCCTATGTATGTGGGCCGTTGTCTTTCGTAGCGCCTTCCCTAGCGCGTCTTCGAATTTTATCTGCGACTCTCTGCTGAGCCGGGCCTGGGTTCCTGTCGCTGCTTGCGCCGCCTGCGTCCGGTTCACCTTGCCAGGACCCGGAGGGTCTGGCTGTGCCTTGTCTTTCGGCGCTGGAGGCACCCGGGGTCTGTGCTTCCTCGCCGTGATTTTGAAGAAGTCGTCCGTTCTGTCCTCCCTCAACAGAACAGGTGTCGTCCGCTCAGCACCAGGTGGCATCGCCCGCAAGATTAGGTACCTCCGGACGCAGGTCGGCGCGGTTGTGGAGGGCCCATTCGACGCCGTGAGGGCCCATTCGGTTCTTCGGGGAGGTGATGTGGAACTGAACGGGATACCGCGCGGCCATGTCAGGGTCCTCCAATATTTTATACGCCATTGGAAGAGAATAAGGTCCTGGTCCCCCAGGGAGTTCGCCATTGCTCCTGGAGAATAGTCGATACATCCCCTTCTCTCGGACATCCCGTATGATGGCGCTGCTCACATCCAGCCTGTCGCTCGATTCTTCGATCTTGATAATGTCATAGTGCAGGATACAGTTGTTTACCCCCTTGTCGCTGGCGCAAGTTGAGGTCTCAACCTCTGCACCACTGGCATCTGTCGAGCGGCCCTCGAGGCCCAGCTGTCGAAGGGCCTCATCACCGACACGCCAGCTCAGGGTCGTTCCCGGCCTCAGGACATCTGTAAGAGCCCTCTGCAGCGTCATAATCCCGAGGTTCTGACGTCCCTTCCACAGACCGATCTCCATCTCCGAGGCAGGGTGCAATGGGAATTTTCGGTAGACCGGGTTCTTACGGGCAGGGATGGAGGGCCTCTTGGGTCTCTTTGAGGGTTTGCCATGGTTCTAGTGTGACTGATGGATCGATCGTTGGCATGGGGACAAGACTCTGCGGTAAAAGCTTAGTGTCTGCCTCAGCTGCCTGAGCAGGGCCTGTGGTGCCAAAGCGGATGTCATCCAGCCTGGGCCACGATAGATGGCGTGAGATGTTGGCCCGTGCCAGTGTTTTTCCACGCCTAGTTCCATACTTCAGTAATCAAGACAAGGATCTGTTCATCCGTACCCTAACCCCATTCCTACTCTAGTCTCATCATTGCTGAGGTCATTTACTTACCCTAGTACCTAGGTACTTAATGCCAGGTAAGTTACCTAGGTACCTAGGTACTCTAAACGTTACTTACTAGTAGGTTATCTTAAATATTTAAATATCCTTAGCTAGACCTATAGTTTAACTATTATTTATAAGTATAGACTCCTTATTTATTTTAAGTAAGGAGTTTATACCTTATAATATTAATTAGTAAGTAGTATTTAAATATAAGTAAAGAATATTTAAAATTAAAATATAGAAAATTTAAAATAAAGTATAAAGTCTAGTAGGAAAAAAAAAGATATTCCTTTAAGGTGACCGGCCTATATCTAGACCACCCCCCCATTTAAACTACCTAAATTCACCCTCTTACACTAACTACCCACCCTCTTTATCCTTCTCTAATATATTTAATTTACCTATTATAATATAACTATTTATTATTTTTAATACTTTTAAACTTACTTTATCTATTAACTTAGCCTTAATTACTTTAGCTATAATTTATACCCTTTATATATTTTTAATTTATATAAATTTTAAGTTAAAATTTATTTTAATCTTTTATTTTTTAATAAGTGTTAACTTTATTAACTTTACTTTAAGTAACTTAACTTTTTATAATGCTATATTTAGCTATTAGTTTTTTTTATTATATACTTTTTTAACCTTTTAAAAGAATAGTTATTAAGTTATAGTTAAATATATATTAGAGTAAAAAGCGTTATATAAAGATTGTATATTTTATAAGTATTTAAGTATTAATAATATTATTTTCTTTATAGTAATTAGTATTAGGGTAATTAATTTGGTTCTTCTCTTTTTTATAAGAGAGTTAAATTTAATGTTTTTTACCTTTCTTTTAGCCTTTTTAAGGAGTTAAATATTAAGGAGTAGTTTAGTTATATTTATTAATTATAATCTACTCACTTATTATCTATTAATAATGTTTAACTTTTTAAGGGCCTTTATACATCCTATATGATAGTAGTGGAGGAAAACTTATTTGTTATTTATTATATTATTAGTATAAAAGTTAAGGAGGTTAGCTTTAAACTTATATATTACTTTAAGTAATATAAATATATTTAAGTTAAGTAGTTATAATATATAAGAGGTAAATAGTAGTAAATAAAGTATATATACTTTATTTAAAAGTACTTTTATATAAACTTAAATGTATAGTAGTTTTTATACTTATTAATAATTAATAATTATTACTTTTCTTATTAGTTAGTTTAGTTTATAGGATAAAATCTTTTAAAGTTATTTAAATACTATAATATTATTAGTTTAGCTATTATTTATAGTTATAAATTTCTAGTTTTTATAACTTTTAAGTATTTTAAATTATTACTATTATATACTTTTACTTTTAAATATTATTAATAGAGGGTAAGCCTTATTTATAGTGGAGATATATTTTATAAAGGAGGTTTATACTTTCCCTTTATTACTTTTTTATATTATAAACTTCCTTATTTTAAGCCTTAGAATAATACTATTAGATCTAGTGCTTTTAGTAATACCTCCTTTATTAATATTATAGTAGTTTTTTAACTTAATATTAAATATAGTAGGGAGCTAAAGGAGGTTAAATTAAGGCTTAATTATTTTTATTTTAGCTTTATTAATTTTTATATAATATATTTAATAGCTTTTATAATTTAAAATATTTAAATTTCTTATTAGAAAGTCCTTAAGCTATTTTTTATTAAAGGGTAGTAGTTATAATTAAAGGTTAGTTAGCTAAATAGTAAATACTTATATTTTAAAGTAATTTAATAATATTTTTAGAGTAGATTAATTAAGTATAAACTTTATTAAATTAGTTTCTTAAGTAGTTAATAACTTTATTTATAAATTTACTATATTAAAATAACTTTAAGTACCTTTTAATTATTAAAGAAAGATAGTTTTTAGGATACTTTAATATTAGTATACCTTTTAAATTCTAATACTATTAGTAATTCCCTTAAGGGTTATCTATACATTATCTTTTATATATATCTTTATTAATAAATAGTTATAATAATTATAAAGTTTAAAAAGAGGAAAAAAATCCCTTATAAAGTTAATACATTTTATATATAGGTGTGGAGTAGTTATATATATAGGTATAAGGTAATTTAAATAGGGGGGTGGTCTAAATGTAGGCCGGTTACCTTAATACTTCTTAATTTTAATACCTTTTTAATTAGTAATTTATATAGAAATAATATATTAAAAGAGAGAATTAGTAAAAGTTTCTTTTTAAAGTTTTTTTATTTTTAAAACTCTTTATTTAATAAAATATAGTATATTTAATTAAAAAATTAAATAAAGTATAAAATGTTATTTTTTTAATTATTTATATTACTTTTTTTAAATTTTTTTAGAAATAGAGTGTAATTTAATAGATATTAATAAGAATTAGTATTTAAGATTAGAAAGGGTATTTACTTAAAGAGAAGAGAGTTATTAGGGGAGAAATTTAAGTTTAGAGTTAGGGGCCCTTTAGGGTCTTGTTTAGTCCTTATAAGGATTGCGTTTTAGTTATAAACCTCTGTTATCTACTTCTTATCCCTACTTATATAAGTGGGTGATAGAGGTCTGTGTGTTAGAGATAACTAGTAGGTAGGCTTAAGTCCTAACTAAATTTAAGTGGTTTTATTTTTAATCCTTATATATATAAAATATATATAGCACCTTTATATAGTAGTAAATACTTAAGATTTAATATTTAAAGAAATATAATATTAATAATAATAAATAGAGAATCTAATATATAAATATATAAATAAGTTTTATATTATATAAATAAATTTAAAAAATATTACTTTTAATAATCTTATATTAAAATTATTAATATAAGTAGTTTAAGGGTTAATTTACTATAATATTAAAGTTAAAGTTAATAAAGTAGTTATATAGTAAGATTAGAATGGTATTAAAATAGCCCCTATAAGAAGAAGAATCCCGTAACATAAGATCCAGCAAGCCTGACTAGATCCAATTGATTCTACTCGAGTACAATGTTTTGTTTCATCTCCATAAGTTAGACTACTCACTCATCTCAGTAGGTTATTTGCAACTGCCTGCTTACTTGATAGAAGCTTCAAGAAAGCCGCAGTAAATATGTATTGATCACTTTGTATTTACATGTTCAGGCGAAACAGTACGTCGAGTTCACCGTGTCAAACTTCCCCCTGGCTAGGGATGATCGGTACGTCCGTCTGTCTTAATGGGTTCTAGCTTGAGGCCTTGCAACACTATTTTGACATGTCCTTCTGCTATGTGAGCCGTTTCTTAGCGAGCGATTTCCCAATAATAAAGAGAGAAGAACGTCAGCAACGATTGCGCGACGCGACTGATCATGCTCCAAATGTCTTTCATGTGTAATTAAAAAGAGCAAGTTTTATTTTGTTGAAAATACTTATTTGGCGCCGGTGAATTACCTATCTCTCAGTAGTCGCCTCAGATTCAGAAAACCACTGGACCGGTGCCCGCCCCCTGCACCATGGAAGTGGGGACAACCGATGGCGAATTCAACGGGGCCGCTGTCGTCAGAGTGTATCTGGCTGTGCAAATATTGCCCGCACAGAGCGTGGACCTGAGCAAAAAACATTTGTTCAGAGCTGTGCTTCGTCGTTTGGTCGAGGTCTGGAGGACTTTTGATTGGGCTATTGAATATAAGGCGGGGGGCGATGCGGCCAGAAGTCGTCATCCGGCCTGGACCCGTCTCCGCTTTCGCAGACGATTTCCCGGCTTTCAAGTTCCTACCCCGACACTAGTTGATGTTCCCTGCCGGCAGCACCGAAGGGAGTTTGGATCAAAAAAATCATGCGGGGTCAGAAGATTCAGAGGCGCTCAAAAATCCGAGTCAAATAAATAAACTTCTTTGCAAAGTCAGGGGAAGGGGAATCTTGATCAGGACCTCTACCTTGCCGCGATAGACGCCGTCCAGTCATGAAGTGGTTATCAGCTTTGTCCGTACAGGCCTTCCTGGCCGTCGTTCCTGAGCTCGCAAGAGCCAGCAACTACTTGCCTGGCACCACTTGGACGATATGTGCGAACTCGTCAACAACGTGCGCCCAGGCTAATGTCACATTTGCCTACCTTGTAAGTCACACTCCGGTGAAACGCTGCCCGTTTGCCTACTGACGGTCCACATAGTACTCCTATCCATTCTACCCCTTCGCTTTGGCAGTGCAAGGAACGCCAAACGCGACGACGAACACCTTGATCCATCAGCGGGAGTTAGTCACAGCGGCCCAGACCTGGGTGGTCAAGCCGAATGTCGACACTCTCTACTCCAGGTCGTTCCTCGACCTCTCATCTTCCGATTTGGAAGTCACGATTCCAGAAATCGATGATCGTTACTGGGTAAGCTGTAATGGTTCTCGACTTTTGCACGACCAAGAGATACTGGTGGTCCTTGTGTAACGCTGCTAACGATATGAACCTAGCTCTGGCCCTTCTACGATGCGTAGGTTTACGGACATTGTGGACATCTGGTAGACTGAGACTGACCATTCATCAGATATAGCAACAATGTGGTGAACATTGGTGTTCTTCAGAACTATTCCGCCGGCGTGTACCTCGTGCAACACGATGCTAACAGAGCTGCGGGCGTATACAAAACAAACGACTCGAGCCATTACCAGGCAGTGGTGAACCTTCCCACACCATACGCCATATCGATAATACGCATTGCCGTCAAAAGCCAGAACAATGATACAGATCTGGAAATCATCAACTCGGCACAGGATCGGTTCAACATTACGGTCCTGCCACCAAGAGACTGTGCAAATCCATCAGCACCAGCCCTGGACCTGAGCATGTTCTCTGACCCAGCGGTGGCACCTAATGCGTTCCAATCCCTCGAGGAAGGGATACTTCGGCTAGGGGCAAAACTCACACGATACAACCCCGCCGAGGAACCGGCCGATCGAGCCTGGGTGGAAGAGACCCTTACAGCAGCGGGCTTCGTCAATGGCACCTTCGTGCAACCGACAGGTACAAACCTCACGGCCGCCGTCCAGGCAGCCAACCAGTCTGTTACCGCCCAACAAACCGTTCCAGGATTCAATATCAACCTTGGCGACCAGTGGACCATAAAGAACAATTCCTACCAGGCCGACTTCCACAGCGCCTACTTCGCACGGTACTCAGTCGCGGCCGGGGGATATCTGGCCCTGACAGGAGACCAGGTGTTGTATCCAGTTTTCTCCGGCTCAACCAGATTCAACTCCTCAAACGAGGCGCTGCTCGTCACCTTCCCAGCGAAGCCCACACTTGCGGACCTGGGGTTCTGGAGTCTGACCGTGTACGACGCCAGGGGCTATCTGGTCCCCAGCGATATAAACGTCTACGCCCTGGGTGATCGCAGCAACCTGACGATGGCGGATGGAACCAAGTATGCTGACGGAGGGGATGGGCCGTTCCAGGTGCTGATACAGCCCAGCGACGTCGTGCCGCCTGCCAATTGGACGACGAACTGGGTACCTTCTCCAGCCGGTGGGGCCGCATTCTTGATGAATCTGCGTTTTTATGGTCCTGAAAGTGTGTTGACAGATGGCACTTGGGTATATCCTTCCGTCGAGAAGGTTACGGCTTTCACGGCTTGAGTAGATTAGAAATTTAAGCTTGGAACAAATATGGAGTTCGAGGCACTTTGTTTGCCCCAGGGTGTTCTTGGTCTTTCTCTATTTAAGCTGTATATTTTCGCTTCCAATATAGTCACCCATGTTGCAATCACTGGTAGTGCGCTGTCTTGGTTAGCATATTCTACATACAATAAAGGATCTTGGCAAAAAGAAAGTAATGAGAATCAATAAAACTTTGTGTCGATTCCATGTCTCTTGTGTGATAATACCCCAATGGGGCAGAATTATGATAGTGCCTAGACCTCTGTTTTGCTGAACCAGTCCCTTCAGTGTGAATCCCGCTGGACTCACCGACTGTTAAGAACCCCTTAGTCAAAGCCATTTTCTATGAGATCGGATATTCGCACCCGAATAAATGGAGGGTTCACCCAAGCCACATGGAATAAATTCCTATGTGACAATCTCCTACTAACCAACGTCTAATAGGACAACCTCCTATAGGATAACCTCCTAGGAAAAACTCTTATAGAATAATCTCCTCTAGGACGACCTTCTTTAGGATAATTTCCTATAAGATAAGTCTATAAGATAACTGGTTTAGTACTAACCTGAGTACTTTGATCTCTAAGTTGCCTATATATGCAGTATGGTTGTACCGTGGGCTGTTTTTTGTGGGTGCGAATATCCGGTCTCTTTTCTATATCTCTGGCAATTTGTTTCAATAAGCGTAACATGTGCGTGTCAGCGGCCGCTCACCTTTTCCTCACAATAAATTCTCCCGGGTGTCAGATGATCTCGGAGATCTTGATTCTTCGAAACGGCCGTACAAGACGCAATTATTTCATGGACACTATGAGTAACAGTTTCGGAAGGGACGGTCAATTGCAAGGAATTTAATCCTCCCTCAGCTGCCCTACCCTCTAATTCATACCCAATCAGGCCTGTATTCGATGGTAAAGACAGGTTTCCATGGCGAAAACCGTGTGTTCTCAGGACTGCGCCAAGTGAGCCCAAGCAGTCCATGTCTCAAAACAATTTCCTCGCCCTTCACTTCCCCCACGTCTTCGGCCGAGAATCAACGTTTAGATGATCATGACTTTTTATCATGTAACGGCTTATTTCCGGCACGGAAAGTCTGCACGGGCCGGCATGATCCGTGTTCGAATTTCTGATCTTTCGGCTACATCGGCGCCGGGATGATTCCGTCACAAAGGCTCAATACTCAAAACTCATTCCAAGAGATCTTGGCCATACAGTTGATTCATCATTGTTGATAATTTAAAGGGCACCATTTGACAAATGCAAATGTCGATGCAAATGTCGGACCTTAAGAAGGGGGTTTATTTTATTTTCGATTGTCCCCACGCCACCTAACGGTTTCTGATTCCGCTAAACCGCCAACCTGACTTGAAGTCATCGAATATCCCTGTTCCAACCATGCACGACTGCCAACACGTGGGCATTTGCTGAGAGAACCGATTGCCACTATTGACAGCGTATACAATGACACCGACATATTCACGGCTCCTAACATTATTATTGATCACGACTTTGTGCATACTCCACACCTTCGCAAAGGGCCAGTACCCTCGGTTGGGAGGATCCGGAGACCGGTATGAAGCACAGTTCGACAGTGAATCAATATGCTTCACATACTTCGTGACTATCCCAGTCACAGGCTGGGAACAGTCGATGTCAGACCCACCAAACGGCTTGTCCTCAGGCGACCCAGAAGTGGTTGCCCCAACATTAGGCAATGGTGGCTTTCCAGCAGGTTTGCCTGGCCCAGCAGATCCATCCTCACTTTTAAGCAGCCCATTCGATGTTTCAGATGGTCCAGCCGACCCTTCTCGTGGCGGAGGACCTCCAGGCTCTGTCGATGATCGCACACCTACTCCATTTGGTCCACCTACACATTCGGGGATGGCAGGGGACAGTCCATCACCAGGACAATCGGATAGGCCAATTGAGCAGTCCCATACCGATACCGACTTATCAAATGCTGATCCGACAGCAACAGAAGTGGCCACGATGGCGTCGACGAACACACTTTCGGACGGGATTCCGGGAGGCATCCCCCAAGGTACACTGTCAACAGCTGGAGGAGCAGCTGGCAGCCCGAATCCACCATCCGCCGGGACAGGGGGTGGTGTCTCCACGATTGCCGGCACTGCAGGGAACTCGTTGGCATCTTCCGTCGCAGATCGTCCTCAGAGTGGTAGTGCTTCGCCAAGTGCTCCCAGTGGCGGCCTTCCCGGAGGCCCTCTTTCGAATCCGGCGTCCGGCTCAAGGACAAACACAGCGTCTGTCGATCCTGAAAATGTATCTGGTATTGGGCCCGTGCCTTCCATAAATTCAACTGAAAGCCCTGTGACGCCGTCGGCGGCCCTGACTACCCCGAGCATCACATCGCCGGCGTCAACGTCGCTCTCAGCTGACTCCCGAATTATTTTAAGCGTCAGGCAAGATCTCACGGCTGTTGCACCTACTGTCACTGTCACCAATGGCGTGACATCCACAACCAGCGACGACCAAGGTAGGAGGAGGCTTTTGAGGCGGCAGGCGTCACCTGATAATTCGTCATTCGTTGGCGATTCAGATGTTCCCGTCCCTCACAGTTGTTCCAATGCCAGGGTGTTCAGAAGGAGCGTGGGCACGCTGCAGAGATCTGGGGCCGGCCGACCACTCTCAGTTGATCCTGGTGTCCCATACATCGACCTGGCGGATTATCCCGGAGGCTCTATTGACACGCGTTTCGAGGTGATCGAGGACACGCTTGTCTGGAGCAGCCGGTTCTTCTTCGAAGGCAGGGCTAGGTTCTGTCAGGTAGAGGGCGGCAGTGTCTACGCAACATTCACTTCGGCTGGGGGTCCTGAGAAATGTAGCAACGTGAGCTTGGTTCCGTACAAGGGTATGTATTTCCCCAGTCGAGCCAAGATGGATCAGCGTCAAAACTCAACCATCGTTCAGAGCTTCAATGCGAGGCGGGCGTAATCGTAAACGACACTGTGATTCCGCCTGAGCAGCCGTCAACTCTTCCACCGGTCACTGTTACTGTATACAACGGAACCCTATCAGCATCATCTCCCGGCTTATCAACCACGCAGGACTCTCCGAGTCAAGACAGACCAAGGACAGTATTGACAGTCGCTCCAAGTGGTACCACAGATTCGTCAGCATCCTATGTAAGACGTTCCAGAACTGGCTCGAGTCGCCCACCAACCTTAATATCTGGAAGTGGAAGCTCAGTCTCTATGACATTCACCAGTCCACTCCCCAGCACGTCACAAGCATTTTCTGGGCCGTCGCTGTCTACAAGTGGGACGTTGACAGATATCACTTCCGGAGTATCGACAAGCGGACCAACACCCATGTTTCCCATCTCTGCTTCTACCTCGTCTACTACCCCACGCAGCGAAACTGCTTCAGCCGGTAACAGCTTTGCTGGAACGAGTACATCTATTTCAGTAGCGACGAGCACCGCATCCGCATCAGTTCCGGCTCAAAATAGTGTACCAGGCAGCTCCACGAGCATTTTGGCACCAGCAAGCTCAACCTCGACACGAGCTTCAAATGAGCAGCCTATTTCTGGGTCAGCCGTGACGCCAGGCCAAACGTCTTCTCGCTCGCAGTCTCCCTCCTCTGGACCGCAGACCACATCCCAGACCGATATTGTTGGCGGCCCAGGCCCTACAGTGCCAGCAACGCCCAGTATTATGTCTTCCATGGCTAAAACCTCTTCCCGGCAGGCCGGGACGTCTTCATTGCAATCAAATCTCCCGTCTTCCACAAGTTTGACTGTTGAAGTGACCAGTCAAAGAGGTTCCGTGGGGCCAGACTCTGATCTGGATATATCTTCAGCCAGTCAATTCAGCTCACTTGGCATGGAAGCCTCACCAAGTCTCCCAGCAACAAGTGAACCTGCAGTTGTGTCTCCCGCTTCATCGGAAGAGGCAGGCCCATCAACTCCATCAAATGCTCCAAACACATTTTCCAGCCCATTCATCTCAACGAAACTATCCAGCGACGAATCAAGTGCTCAGCCGGGAATTACATCCTCTGATGGTGTATCGGAAGACCCAGTCCAGCTCAGCTCGTCAGACTCTGCTCTTGAGCCAAAACCTACATGGTCTGCTTCTTTTGAGATACCAAGCCCGTCAGACTCCTTTGGTGCGCCTCCCAGCACGCGCATCGTAACAAGTGAACCATTGGCTGTGCCACCGGACTTGTCATCGTCTCCTGATCCATCGGCAACACCAAGTGCTCTGGACCCTCCGGGCCCTCTTTTCAGTCTGAGCTCGCAGACATCATCAAGCGAGCCGTCAGTAAGCCAACTGGACAGCGCATCCTTACCAGATGAAACCACAAGCTTGGACAGCGGCAGTGCCTTCGAGTCCGTCTCTTCAGAAGAGGCAACAGAGATCCCTACTTCCCAGCCAACGACATCTGTAGCCACCTCCCCTGATGCAGTTACTACTAGCTTGAGCCTGTCAGAGGCGCTAGAACCAGACTCGACGCTGAGCTTTGTGACTACAGATGATTCGACCATTGTGTTGCTCAGCTCGTCTTCGATTCTTTCGCAAAGCTCAGATGGGTTCCCCACAACATCTGAGCGCAGTGACATAAATGAACCATCTATGACGGCCGAGACCAGTGAATCCACAGAGCCCGTGACCAGTGGCCTGGATGAACCATCTACGACACCTGGTACGAGTGACTCCACAGAACCTGAGACTAGTGGCCTGGATGAACACTCTCCAACTTCACAACCCATTGAGTCAGATGAATACTCTACATCTCAGATTAGTGGTTCCGATGAGCCCTCTACAACTCGAGACACAACTGCTTCGGGTGAATACTCTACATCTCAGATCAGTGACTCGCACGAGCCCTCTACAAGTCAAGAGATAACTGCTTCGGATGAATACTCGACATCTCAATTCGGTGGGGGAACACCCTCTACGACTCCACAGGCCATTGCGTCAGACGATTACTCTTCGTCTCGGACAAGTGATCCGGATGAACCCTCTACAACTTATGAGACCACCGGATCGAATGGGCCGTTCACAACGCCCGAACCTAGTGAGTCGCTGGCAGCCGAAGCTTCCACGACATCCCAGAGCAGCGGCTTGGACGAAACCTCTATCATATCTGATAGTAGTGCCATCAGCGAAATCTCCACGACTCCCCAGACCACTGTCCTGGAGGAGCCTTCCACATCTCAAGAGAGCACTGGCCCGGGTGAACCTAGTCTGACTTCTGGGACCAGTGGCTCGAATGAGGGTTCAACAACTCCACGGACCACGGTCTCGGAGCAACCCTCCACAGCTCAGGGTACCAGTACGATGGAGGACTCGTCCACAACGCCCGAGTCAAGTCCTTCGAGTCAGGCCTCGATGGAACCCCAAACCAGTGGGTCGGATGGATCATCCACCGGGCTTGAGGCCAGTACCTCAGTTGGACTTTCTACGACTCCAGCGGCCATCCCAATATCCTCCACACAGGGAAGCTCGAGTCCCAGTACCACCGTTGAGTCAAAGTCAAGCAAAGAAACAGCCACGTCCAGCCAGACCCCATCAACAGGAAGCTCCAGCTCCAGCTCCAGCTCGACATCGTCAACAACCCATTCCAGCTCAAGTTCCAGCTCAACATCGACATCGACTAGCTCCAGCTCCAGTCCAACGTCAACATCCAGCTCGTCGTCAACATCGAAATCGTCAACCAGCTCGTCAACCAGCTCGTCAACATCCAGCTCAACATCGTCTCGAAGTTCAACATCGTCGTCGTCTTCAAGCTCTCGAAGCAGCAGCTCGAGCTCGAGCTCGAGCAGCAGCAGGCCTCAAGCAACCCTGAATTGCGATACTAATGGTTACTTGATCCAGGGCTCGTCTTCTGCGAGCCTTTATCGAGTCGACATAAAGACCGGGGAAAGCACCCTGATCAAGTCTCAAGTCTGGGGCAGCAGTACCGCTTTGAACGCGATGGGCTATAATATTGCGGACAACCTGCTTTATGCGGCCTTTACTTCAACTCGGCCGTGCCAACTACTGCGCATCGCCGGTAACGGGGACGCAGTCAGCGTCGCGACGCTCAACGTCACCGGCTGGACGGCCGTGAGCGCCGGCGACGTTGACGAAGAATCGCAATACTGGGCGTCAGATGCGGGGAACTCCTGGATACAAGTCGATCTGAGGCGAAACTCGACCTCATACGGCACGATCGTCAGGTCAGGCATCGCAGACCCCAGCCCGTACAGGGTCATCGACTGGGCGTATGTGCCCGGGAGAGGAAACTTCCTCTGGGGGCTCGGCGCTGTCGGGACGAATCCCACCGCCACGATCCTGATGCAGTTCAACCGCACCAGCGGGGCCTGGAACCCCCTTGCCAACTTTGGCGATGTGGCGGGCACGGGCACCGGGACTTCGCGCAACGCGTGGGGCGCCGTCTACGCCTCTGACGACGGATTCTTGTTTGGATCTGAGAACAATAGCGGTCACATTTTCAAGTTCTCATTGGTACCTGTGAATGGAGTGTACCCGCCCCCTGTCAAGATATCAAACGGGCCGATATCCAACGGCAACGATGGTGCGCGATGTATCAACGCTGCCAATGTAGCATGACCAGCAGAATGTTCGAGAATCATGAGGCAGTATAGCACATTGGGCATCGTCCTTTTCAGTGTATTAAAGCATTCACAAATTCGCATACTGTCTTTACCGAGCATCATCACTATTATAGTGAGGCAATAATGCGAAGAATTTCACGGTCTTTGTGACAGTGTCGAACAAGCGGTTTGTCCTCCCACAGCAATAGAATTTTTGGCTGTGAAAACTCTCATAGGTGAAGTCTGTGAATCCGACATATACCTAGGTAAATCTTTCAATTAGAATTCGAGAAACATTTCAACCCTAGTGGCTCGTCGGTTGGTATATTTATCGAACGGACTGTGCTACTTAGAAAAGCACAGGCCATCCTGTTGACCATGAGATCTTGTTGAAACCGAACAGATATTGTGAGTCCGCCAGACCCACCCGAGTGTCAGCTGCCGAGAACAACCAAGTTAGCATGCAAAATCCGGTGTGTCACGGGCAGGAGTACTTACCATAATGATAATACATCACAGCACCATCATAAGCAGTATCGACCAGTATCCCCTGCCCACCGGGACCATACACGTTCCCATGGCTCTCAAGCACCTTCGTGCCGCCGCCCGACGTGCACGCCTTGCCGCTGGCATCGGTGTAAGGCCCAGTGACGGACGAGCTGCGGCACACCCGGACCGAGTACTCCTCCCCGGGGGCTGGCTTGGTGGTCTGGTAGCCGCAGCAGATGCCGGCGCTGAAGAAGAGATAGTAGTACGGCGAGCGGTAGTAGATGAAGGGACCCTCCATGGCGTGGTTGCCCGTGCCGTTGTACGCGATCTGGGTGGCCGATGCGGAGACAGTGGCGGGGGGGTTGTTCATCTTGGCGATGTAGACTGATCATTGTCAGGAAATGCTGCTGCCGGGTGCAGAGGTAGAGGGCTCGCATGGGTAATGGACCTACCATCAGACCAGAACGACCCAAACGTCACGTAGTAACTCCCATCCGTGGCCTGGACAAGGGCCCCGTCGATGGCGTTGTACGGCTTGCCCGAGGAACTGGCAATCCCCGTGGCGCCGTGGTCCGTCCAGGAGCCGACCTCCATGGTCATGGAGGTCGCATAGCCTACGGCAGAGGCCTGCGAGCCGAACACACTGACCGAGTAATACAGATAGTACGTGCTACCGACGAGGTGGACCGACGGAGCCTATAAAGCAGATTTGTGAGTTGACTCCACAATAGCATCCATCTCAGACGCCGAGCCGGCCTCTGACGTCGAGACATCAGAACCTTGAAATGAGAACCGCAAACGTACCCACAGATCATCATTCCCAGCAAGGTTAATAGAACTCCCAGACGGGAGCGCGGCGCCCTGGTACGTCCACGACCCAGTGAGGCTGCTCGCAGTCCATATCCCGATCTTGCTGCCCGTCCCGAACCGGAAGTACTTGCCGTCCGACGCCCTCTTGACCACGCCCGGGTCGTGCGCCCAGCAGGCGCCCGTGCAGGCGATCGGGTCCGGGTAGGCCGCCTCGACCGCGGCGGGGAGCTGGCTGGCGACGGTGAGGAGCGCCGTCAGGCCCCGGAGGACTCGGCCGAGGAACATGGTGGGCTGCTTGCTGCTGCTTGCTGCTGTGGTTTCGCGGTGGGTTTTTGTCGATCACGGCTCGATCCGCGAAGGGGAGGGCGTGTTTCAATGCGGGATCAGGAAACCACACACATGATCGACGGCTTGGCTTCGATTATAAAACATCTCGCAGCATAATGTCCTGTCACGTCGCTGGATACGGGCGCCAGGCAATACCGCGAGCTGGGGCCGGCCCATGCCTTCCGTCGAAGCCAGAAAGCTCCGGGTCCTCGTGGGCCTCGATTGGTGGGAATTAGGCTCCAAATAGCTGCCCCTGTCCCGCCAGACGCGGGATGAACGTCGATGACCAGGGGGGGGGTGCTGGTGTGTAAGTGGGAAATCCCCACAGCGGCCACTCAGGTGCCGGCGCTTCGCCCAACCTGGCAATATCGAAGGCCACCTGATTCAGGTACCGGAGGCACGACAGCCCGCGATGGGAGCGTTGCGTTCTCCTATACCACACTAGAGTTGCTCGTGCGAGGCCCCCGATGGTGACATTTTGGGTGCAAGTGCCGTGGCCCGTCTCGGCCGCAGCTGTCATCCCCCCAGTATTCCCCACACCCCCGAGCAGAGGACACAGGCGCTCGAATCGGTTGCTTTCCGGGGGGATTGCAGGGTCGTCAGATAGGAAGCTCGGGTAAGCGAGGCGGTCTCTGGGATGATCACATGTGCATGTGACTAGGAATCCGGAGTGCGACCCAAGGCGCGTGGAGGAAATGCTTGTTTTTCTCCGCCGAGAAATTCGAACGGCACATAGCAGAAATCCGTAATATTGACAGACAAAATACGATCAACAAGGTGCTAGTCGTGTCCAGTGCCAAGACCTGATTTCATGCCTCGGATAGGATGGCATGATTGTATCAAATGGGGTCAAAGTAACTTTCAGCTGTGGGCAGTAGACAAATTTAGCAAGATTTGAAAACGAAAGTATGGACGCTGGGTACCCTAGGGTACCTAGACAGGCCGTTCTTCAGGCGGAGAATCCTCGGAGCATTCGACCAAACGACCTCGGGACATTTGCTGTGCTGGATATAAGATAGAACTGGACAACAAGCTCTCTATGATCAAAGACTACTACTACAATGTAAGCAGCTCTAGGTTTCGAGGAATTTCGCCCCCATGAACCTTTGTGCAAAAACGAAATCAGATTGCCTACGTAGGTAGTTAGATTCCTATTTTAAATCTAGAGAGGCCAAAAGTATTCAACAAGCCCACATGTATCCAAGGCAAAACTCCATCCAATCCTATCCTGGGATGTTGCAATTCTAACAACCTTTTCATAAGGCCTCTTGCTACTGCAAGTTGATTGAAGCACATGCTTCAAAGATCCAGATCCTGTCCTTTGGTAACATAACTATTGACTGACACTTCTAAGGTTGACAAGCCATTCATCGTCGTCAGCGCCAAATACATCCCAGAACCGCCTTGTCACGCAATTGATAGCATCCCCAAGGAATTAAATCTTAGACTTGTCATTGACCTAGTCATCTAGTCACATCTACATCTTCATCTAATCACACACACACTGCATGCTATCGTCCACGCTAGAACCCCCCCCCCCCGAAAACCGAACACAAAGCGAACAAAATAGGCCACAAAACCTCAATAAGCAGCTTTCTGGCCCCAAAATGCCGTCGCAAACCAAAGATGCCCATCGCGGACCGAAATCCTAATCACCGTTTCCGTATCATCGGGATGGGGCAGCCCAGCCCATTCATCAAAGCTGCCTTTGCTTCTTCTCAGGGAACAGCCCCGGCCTGAAATGGCCTCGCTGAATTTCCAGCACTAAACAGCTCGCTCCTCCTATCAAGAGCAATTAAGTACCTAGGTACCAACGAGCACACACCCGCAGGCTCACCCCTTCATTCTTCCACCCAGACATGTCTCTCCCACCACGTTCTCAATTAGGCAGACCGCCCTCCGCCGGCGGCGGAACCATAGCATATCTCCCCCGCCCATTCATCGCAGCAGCAGCATTCCGCCGGCCGCCACTAACGCCGACAAAGCCACCCCCGCCGCCGGCACGTTGCTGGCCATTGTCAAACAGGCTGATCTCCGAGAGCAGGGCGCACGCCGCCACGATCCTGAAGCTCTGCATGCCCTCGAACCTGCTCTCCCTGGGGCCGGCCGTCTCCTCGCAGCCGGCATGCACGCAGGCCAGGCACAGGTGCAGGTTGTCGAGCTCGGTCTGGTAGCCCGTCGGGGGCGCGACGTTGCCCTCCGCGTCGTGGTTGACCTTGCGCATCTGCCGTGTGATCCACGTCGCGATGCGGCTCATCTCGTCCTTGAGCTTGATGCTGCTGTCGCGCTGCCGTTGCGTCTGCACGCCCGACTTGTTCAGCACGTTGCCGATGAACACCTCTAGCTCCCTCAGGGGCTTGGTCGGATGGGACGAGTACTGGCCCATCGCCGTGGAAATTGCTTCTTCGTACCACCCGCGAATCTCACGCGCCGTTTCGAGGCGGGAGACCCAGCCGCGTGGGTCGTCGACGATGGCCTCGTAGTGCGGCCGGGTCTTGCTGAGGAAGTCATCCCAGAAGGATGAGCCTCCAGTGGCAGGCACCTTGGACTTGATATCCTGCTGCCAGATTCTCTGCTCGTCGATGGCACGAAAGAGGTGACCAAGTAGCTTCTCGGATTTGTAGAAGACATGGCGCGGGCGGCTGAACTGATCCTCCTCTTCGTCCGCCGCTTCTTCGATGATGTATTGGTCGAGCTCGATTTCGGACTTATCTACCACGCGACAATCTGGACCTGAAGCAAGACTTCAACAAGTTGTCAGTACAAATTTGATTCTGACCAGTTATCAAGGATTGGAATTACATCGCGTGGGTTCGAGGGCTTAATGTATGAACAGGCAGTATGGGTGGGAAAGCGTTTGCGACCTGATCAAGTCGGACACAAAGTGAGGGGGAGCGTAGGAAATTCTGATATCAAACTCACAAGTCAGGTCGAAATCTGTTTGGACGAGGCGCTTCCTTCAGGTTCACCCCAACACCAGTCTTGGAAAAGTCCACGGCGGTAGAATGAAACCCAGCGAGGATTTTGCATTCTTCGTGGCGTGTCCCTTCGGTATGCTGGTCGGCCAGGATCATGTGGCGGGTTGCGATGACGCCTAGGTGGTCGAGCTTCATGAAATCAATGAAGAAGTTTGCCATGTCTTCCCGCTCAACCTTACGACCAAGGTCCACCGGTGCCACACGAGCGTAGTCTGCGGGCTGGAAGGTTTCCTGAGGCATGGCCTCCTCGTCCCATATGACATTGAAGATGTCACCGTCAAGATCTCCACCTGAAAGCTGAGATGGGAGGTCACGCTGGCCGTGCTGACTGAACACGATGACATTCGACAATTCTCGGAGCGGACTGTCATGTGGCGGGACAACGTTGCACGGAACCTGGATATCACCTGGGTGTAGAGCAGGAGACCTTGTGACGACCACGGGCCCAGGGCCAGGCGGTTCGTCGAAGCGGTCGCCCTTTGTATCATAAGTGATGTAGACCTCATTCTCCTGGAGGAAGCCCGTCTCATCCATGATGCCGAACAAGGTGATTCCTTTTCTAATCGGGATTCTCGCCTTGTGTTTCAGCAGGCGCAGCTCGCGGAGTACCAGAGCCTCGACCACCGAGCGAAGGAAGCTTTCCTTGCGGTAGTCAACCCCCATATTTTCACACAGTGTGATCAAACGATGGAGCCGCATCGTGTCACCCACATTCTGGTGTCTGAGAAACTTGGCCACGTTGTATGCATCCGCTGTTACTTCTCGAAGTCTGGCCAGTTCCATGTTCTGCATGCGGAAGAACCAAGCGCTGGCGCATCCCATGTCTTCCAAGATCTTGATAATCTGGCGGTTGAGCACCAATGGAATCGGCTTGGAGGCCATGTCACATATCTCAAGGTTGCGCTTGTCGTTACTCTCAAACTTTGTCATGGATGGTCTGATGCGAATCTCGGACCCGTCCAAGTTGGAGTCTAGGGCAAGCATGCCTTTGGACCCTCTGAATCGGACCTGGAAGGCGGTTGGAGCAGACTTTGTCTGAGGAATGACATCCCAGATATGGTAGACCACTTGTAAGGACATGGTACCAACGCCGTCGCTGAAGACACGACCATTCCGCTGCACGTCGTCCATCAATCGCACTGTAACACCGCATTCATCTAACGGAATGAAGTATGGTGTTTCAGAGAACGCCTGCCCGATTCGAGCGGCACATCGAGCAGGTGAGCGAATCGCGCCGAATTGTCCCAAGTCGCCGATGACGTTGAAGTAGGCATGTGGTATGCCATTGGCGACAAATTGGGCCATGAACTAAAAGTGTTGTCAATTGAGATGTCGACAAATGGGTAACGAGAGCAGAGACAACATCACGGTCGAACTCCAAACAAAGGTAAATTTGAGGGACAGTGGAAAGAAGTGAATACAGAAAAGGAGGGGAGCCAGTCTTACCCATGCCGAGTGAGATCGCAAAGACGAGTGCGAGAATCCGAGAAACTCGTACTTCCTACCAGCAATCACGAAGCCCTTGCGGAACACCTCCTTGAATCTGTCATACACATTGTCAATGCTGACTTGTGGGTTGAAGAAGAGATCCTCGCCGTTCTCATCACAGAACTGGACCCGCAAGAAGTATTCGTGGTGGTCCGGATACTTGCGGAGAATTCGATTGTTCGTCTCGAGTTCCGGGCCATGTAGGGTGCTGCGGGTCGGGGTGATGGTGACTCTGTGGATCAGAGCCAGGTTCCGGGTAGGGCCCATCAGGCCCTGCCGAAAAACCTCGTTGTTGCCCATTTTGTCTTCTGTTTCCCGAAGGTACTCCACGATGGCCTGAACCTCGAACATTGATGGGTCACCGTGAGGCTTGGGCCACGGAGTCTCCTTCATGAGCTTCTTCATGGCCTCAACCGAGATGGGACGCCTGCCCGCCGCCTTGTCTGCGAGGAACATACGGCGCAGTTCCTTTGCCAGTGCTAGGACCGTGCCTGGGTGGAAGTATGCATTGGTGGCCATGGCTTGTAGCTGGAACAAAATGCCGAAGGGGAGCTGGTCTGGATAGGCGTCGACGGCCAAGTCTTTCATCAGCTTGCTCATGGCTCTGGATGACGGTCCCAGATGCAGCGGGGCCGTCCTCAGGGTGAGCAAGTCGTAGGAGACAAATGGGATCACTTCGTGGCTCTTGAGCGACCGGATCTTTCGCTGGAGGCCGTCACCCGACAGCCGAATCTGATACACAAGACACTGGCCGACGACTTTGGCGTGTTGGCCGTCGAGTGCGCACAAGCGCGTACGTGTGGGCCCAAAGTTGGGAGGCCGGCCACCGACCGAGATGGCCAACTCCCTGAAGAGGTCTTGCATCTGGTCCATGCCCTGGAAGAAGGAGGGTTCCTCGGCGAGGGTGATGGTGAGGGTATGCTGGAAACTGCAGACGAGATCTTGAACAGTATTCAGGGGGATCCTGATGACGCGTTGGCTCTCAAGCTTGATGAGTAAGGTCTGCCTGGTGAACTTTGCGGTACCCATATCCTGGAACTCGACCTCGGGGATGTATACGAGGTCTTCGCCGACGAATGTGGTGTGGCCGCAGCTAATGGAGGCGAAGTCGAAAACCAATGGGCCTTTGGCGATCTCGATGTGGCGGGTTGGGTTGTTCTTCTCTGCTGCTGCATGCTTCAACGCCCGCAAGGTGATATCGTTGGGCTTACCGGGGACGGCGTTGGGGATGGACTTTGGCTTGCTCTTGGAGCAGAGGATATCGCAGCCCATGAGCTGCAGCCTGGCTCTGAGCTGCACCCCTTTCTGGCGTCTGTGGTTCCCATAACCATTGACCATGGAAGCAGTGCCGGCGTGGCCTCGAGGCGGAAGGAATTCTGTGCCATGCCTATGCAGGAATGCCTCGGCCTTGGAAACGTCGAGGAAGGTAAGGTTGGCCCATTGCTGGTTTCGGGGTTTGTCGCAAGTAAAGGTGTGCTCTGCGATGCCGAGAACATCCATGAAAGGCTGGAGCCTCTTCTTGACGGCGTCCTCAGCCAGGTGTCGAGGCCAACCGTGTGTGTGTACCTCCATGTTGGCTTGACTGGCAGGCTGAGGGCTCGAGCGACGACGCCGTAATGTGGAAGATGGTGACGATGTCGGTGGCGGTGGGAAAGGTGGCGGTTGAGCTTGACCAAAGGTTTGCGTCTCACACCTTCAAGTCGTTAGCACTCCAAGGAGGGCGGGCCAGTGTTGAGACTGATGGCCAAGGTGAGCGGCCGGGGAGCCGCTGGCCAAGAGGTGGGGTGCTGGTGTGGGAGAGAGGGTGGTCAACTGGACAAAAAAGTTAGAACGAAACGTTTGATTGAAGGTGAAGTTGTGATCGCAGAAACGCAGCTGCTAGGTGGGGGTTGGGTTGGCATGGGACGAAGCTGCGACTGGCCTTGAGCTTGACCTAGAGCTTGACCTGGATGGGGCTGCAGTTTGGCCCAGCTTGGAGGGACCTGCACTTTCCCCGCAGCCCAAGCAAGAGGCCTACCAGATGACGACGGTCACAGAAAACGGAAGGAAAGAGCTGAGCTGAAGAAAACGTGACAATGACGACCTTCAAAGTTGCAACACTTTGAGTAGCATTTGGATGGCTGCTCAGGCAAGTCTGTCAAATCTATAGTTTTTGGACCCCTCCTTCAAAATGCAAGAGAACAAACCTTGAAAATCATGGGCTCATGACCCAAGGCTGACAACAGGCGGTTACGGACAGCTGCATGTCAGCACAAAGAAGATGAAGTCAGTGTCCGCCTCATGCTGTAGCCAGGGCGATCTGGAGCCATTATCTCTGAGCACATTGCTTTGACTTGTTGCGGGAAGCTGCAGTCGGCTTCTTCAGTGAGGCTGTCTCCTGTCACCAGTGGGCTCTGCAGAGAAAGAGCTGTAGGCGTCACAGACCGCATGCAGAACACCGTGAGCCAATTTGAGGTCCCGTTGAGGCTCTCTCGAACCTGTCCTCGTTTGGATAGTTGATCGGTTAATCTAGGTCTAACGTAGGCGGCCCACATCTCACTATCCCCCTAATTACACTACCTATCCCTCACTAACCATACCTTCTCTCCACCCCCTCTAATATTATAATTATAATTATTATTTTTTTAATTATTAATATATTTAATTAATTATTATTATTATTTTTTTTAAATATTTATTTAACTTTAATTTAAACTTTTTTAATAATTTTAATATTAATAAAAAGTTTATTTAAATTAAATTTTATCTTTTATCTTTAAATTCTTTTTATAAACTTAATTTTCTTCTTTAACTCTTAATTTTTTTATATAAATATTATTAAATTAAAGTCTTTTAATCCTAATTTTTCAAATTTTTTTAAAAGTTTATTATAAAGTTAATATTTTATTAAAAGTATATTAAATTATTATTTTATATAATTTTAAAATTATTTAAAAGTTAAAAACTAATATTTTATAATAAATAAAAATATTTATTAATATAAAAATAATTTATAATTTTATAATAACTTTTCTTTAATTAATTTAATTTTTTTAATAGATTTCCTTAATAAAATAATTATTTAATATTTAATAATAAAAAGTAATTAAAACTAATTACTTATTAATTAAAGAGTATATTTAACTTTTTTAAAACCTTTTAATAAACTTTATAATAATAATAAAAACTATTTTTATTATTATTATTATAAATAAATTATAATTATTTTATTAATATAAATATTTTTTAAAAGTAATTTTAAATAAATTAAATATTATTATATTTATTAGTTAGCTTTCTATATATATATATAAGAGGAATAGTAGTTATTTATAAGATAATTATATTAGTCTTAGTTAGTGTATGTATCGCCTCTCTAGGAGGGGTAGTAAAGCTATACCTAATAAGGCAACCTACTTAATAGGCTAGTTTATATAAGCAGCTCTAGCCTATTAATAACTATTAACCTATCTAATTAGTTTAACTTATATTAATAGTCTCTAAAATTATAATATTAATCTATTTAAAATCTATAAAGAAAAATAAAAAAAAGAAATTCCTTTAAAATTAAATTAAACCTTAAACCCTTTTATACTCTAATTTAAAATTATAAAACTTCCCACTCTACTATATTTTTATTAAATAAAGGTATACTTAAAGTATTATTATTATTATTAGGGAGGTTTAGTCTATATATTTTAATTCTAATTATTACTTTAAAGGGTTAGGATAAATATACTACTTTATATATATAAATCTTTTAATTTTAATAAGATTATTTACCTTAAATTCTAGATTTAAGTATATAGGTAATTATTTTTAAATATATATATAGGTTTGTGCTTCTATTATTTATAGGATAATATAAATAAATATAAATCTAGACTTTTATAGACTTTTATAGACTTTTATAACCCTAACCCTAATATTATAGATTATTTAATAAAAATAAAAGCTTAGCTATTTATAGTTTTTAGAATAAAAGTTTATTATAATATTATTATATAATTATTATATTATTATTATATTATTATTATTAGTTATATTATAATATAATACTCTTTAAATAAATTAATAATATAGGTATTATAACTATAAAATTTAATTAAAGATATTTATTATATATAAATTAGTAATTTAAGTATCTATATAATAATAAATAATATATATACTTTTAACCCTATTAATATAAACTATTAATTTAAACTTTAATTATAAGGTTTACTTTTAAAAGGATATAAAGTTAATTATTAATTAATAGTATTATTTTATAAAGTAAGATATAAATAATTAATATAATATAGATTTAAACTTTTATTAATTCCTTTTATTATAATCTATAATTTTATAGTCTTTCTTTTAATTATTACCCTATTTTTAACTTATAAACTTCTTTATTTTACTTTTTTATAAATTTTAATATTCTTTAATTTTATTAAGGTAATTAATTGTTCTAAAAGTACTTTTATAAATAACTTTAAAGATTAGGTTTTAATACCTTTTAATTAATATATCCTTATACTTTAAGTGAAGTTTATTAATAAAAATAAGTTTTTAAGGCTTTATTTAATATTAACTTTATTATTATATTAATAGGGTTATTATTTCTATAAATTTAATAAATTTTATTAATTTTCTTTATTTATAGGATTAATAAAGTACTATTATATTAATTATTAAGTATTTCTTTTATAGTTTTTAATTTAATAAGGTATTTATAAAATAAAAATAAGTCTATATAGATAATAAGAGGTATATAGTCTATCCTTAAATAGTTAGTAACCTTATAGAGTATAGTAAAAATAACTATTATTATATTAAATTTATTAACTATTTTATAAATTTTAAAGGTTAATATACTCTTTATAATATATTTATATTTAATAAAAGATTAATAGATAATATTATTAATTATATTTTAATATATTTTATTATTATCTATTTTTAATTATTAAGATAATTATAAATTTAATTTATAAGTTAAGGTTAGTATTATTAATAAATAATCTATTTATAAAACTATTAACTTAGTCTTTATTAAGTTAATTAATATATATTAAAGTTCTTAATTAAGGTTTTTATTTATTATTTTAGATACTTATTTAACTTTATATAGTTATTTTCTATTAGTTTTTATAATTATATTATAATTAATAAATTAAATAAGACTTTTAGTTAGTATATTAATACTAGATATACTTTATATACTTTATTTAATATAGTAATATATTTAATTTAATACTTTTATATTAATTAACTTAATCTTTATACTTTAATCCTTTTATTAAATATATATCTAATTACTCTCCTTTATTATATAGACTTTATTAAAATTAAGTAAGTTATCTTTAATTAACTTTTCCTTTAACTTATATAAAATCTTCTCTTTTTACCTTTTATTATAAAACTTAAAGAAGACTTTAATAGTTAAAGTTAGAGTATTATTAATCTATAAAGCTATTATCTTAAATATATTTAATAAATACTTTAGATTTATTATTAATAAATATAAATTAAATATTAATATTTCTATTTTTAATATATTAATATAATAACTTTACTATATTTTATATTAATAAACTTTAAACTTAATAAAGTTATAAAGTAGTTTAATTATTTATATTATAATCTTAAAAGGGTATTTAAGTTAGAGTTTAATAAGGAGATAAGTAAGAATAATATACTTAAAGTTAAACTTTAATTATAAATATATTTAAGTAATATTCTAACCCTCTATTACTATCTTATAGGATTCTATTAATAAAGTTAAGATAATTAATATAAATTATTAATTAGTTTATTAAACTATAGGTAATTCTATAAAGATACTTTTTTTTAAATTATTATTCCCTTATATAATTATATAGAATTTCTTATAAAGCTTAAAGTTCTTATCTTTAATTTTATATATTATATGCTTTAAATATATAAATTTTATTATACTTTTATTTATTATATATTTTAAATATAAAGATATTATTTTTAATTAGGTTTATAATTTTAATAATATTAAACTTTTAAATAGTATTTTAATAATATATATTATATTATTTTTAAAGTTTTAAAGTTAATATATAGTTATTTTTCTCCTTCTATATTATATAAATATATATAATAAGTACTTTAAACTTATTTTTAAATTTTAATAGATATCTTTATCTTTTATATTTTAATAATATTAATAGAATTATTTATAATATTATATAATACTATAAATTATTAAAACTAATCTATTCTTATTTCTATTTATAAATTCTATTCTATTATAATTAATTTTAATATTTTTATTCTAAAAGTATAGTTATATAATTATAAAGTAGAACTTAATAAGTTTATTTAGTAGATTTAGTATTATATTATATTTATTAACTATAATTATTTTATATAGTCTTTATTATCCTTCCTTTTATATTATATATAAGTATTACTTTAAATAAATAGTATTAAAGTCTTTATTATTTTTAATTTATTATATATATTTATTATATTTTATATTTATTACTTTATAATATATTAGTATACTATTTTATTACCTTTTAAATTAATTTTATTTAATAGAGTATAAATAATATAAAAGGAGAGTTTATATAAACTTAAAGGTATACTTTAAATATTAATAATATTAATATTAGTTTATTTAAATTTATTATATTATTAATAGCTTTTATTATTATTTATAAGATAGTATTTTAACTTATTAATTTTATTATTTTTATAGATAGTATTTTAAAATATATTTTAATAACCTATAATAATATTCTACTTTTTTATAAATTAATAAACTTTTATAAAACTTATTTATATATAATTTTATAATCTTTACTTTAAATTTAAACTTTATAAAGG